CAAAAATTTTATTCAATTGTCACTTTTAATTTAAAATAATAATTCAATTTTTTTTATCATATATGACTCATATTATGTAATTGAAAATATTTAACACATTTTTATTTCACAATTGAACATTATAAATAAAATTGTAGAAACTAAAAATGTTATATAAAGAAAAAAAAAAATTTCCTTCTTTTCTTTTTAAAAAATAGAAAAAAATAAATATGCAATATTTGTGAGAACATTTTTTTTTCTTTCGTTTGTTATATGAAAAAGAAGAAAAATCTGATCGAACTGAATAAAAAATTTAAAAAAAAAAAAAAAGTGAATATAAAAGAAACGGTGCACACGTCATTTTACTTTTGTGAATTTTAAATTTCTTTTCATATATAATGGAAATGACGGGGCGCGACGTAAAACCAAGTCAGAAAATCATTTCCTCGATTTGCAACACATTTATATATACATATATATATTATATGTGAAAAGTTGTTATAAGGACGTGCTACTATGTAGTATTAACCTTGGAATATTCCTGGAAATTAAGAAACAGTTTATAATAATGTATGATACACTTTTTTTTATATTTTATTACAAAAGTCGTATTAGAAAAAAAAATTAAATACTTTTTAATACGATTAATTTACACCCAGTGAAATTTTTATTTGAGACAAGTAAAATTTTATTTTAAACAAAAATGCCAGGTACAAAATTATTTGTAGTTTGTACAAAAATTGAATTTTTCTAAAATGCGAATATTACAAAAAATTTTGTAAAGAATTTTTTTTTTGATAATTCTGCACTATATTGAGATTGTTTGCAAAATTCCATTTATTTAAAATTAATTTCTAGATTATTGTATTCTTTTTTTATTACAATTGTTTTTTTTTTTTTTTTTCCATATTGCTTTGCCTTTTATTTCCTTTTAACACATTCAACACACGAGTTAGAAATAATTCAGTATATATTATTGCTTTCATTAATATATATATAATTTGAAAAAAAAAGTTTTCTTGAATCAACAAACTTTTTTTTTTTTTATCCTATATATATATATATATTAAAGAAAATATAATTTATTGTAAGGGGAAAAATAATTTATATAGAATATATAAAAATGAAATAATACCAAAAAATAAAAATTGAATAAAATAAAAAATAAATTGAAAAAAAAATTCTTTATCAAACAATACTGGAAATTTGGCGCTAAATTTGAAAGAGATTTTTTATATGTTACATTAATTTTGTGAAATAATAATTTACACTCTAGTTTAATATTGAGTTATATATATATATATATATATATATATATATATATATATATATATATATATATATATATATATATATATATATATATATATTATATAGTGTCGTAATTAGGGAGTGGCATTGCTGACGCACGATAATGACAGATGCGAAATTGTAGCCAATTATTAGAACTGTTTCATGAACTATTGTTAATTAACAAGATTAATCCTGAGAATTTAAGAAACATAAATATCTAATTTTTAGTTTAGAATTTAATAATTCTTTTTTTTTATAACAATTTTTTTCCTAGTGCGTTTATTGTAGTACTTACTACTAATAATAATAATAATAATAATAATAATAATAATAATAATAATAATAATAATAATTAATTGATAATTAATTGATAATAATTAATTTAATTATTAATTAAAAAATGAGTAAAATTTATCTGTTTGCTACAATATTGAAGTTCTGATATTTTCATAAGGGGATTCCTTGCTCTGGAGTTTCCTTTTTTTTTGTCATTTAATTCCTCGGAACCTACCAGTAATTTTTTTTTTTTTTATTTTTTTAAATTCGCATATAAGCGAAAATATTTTTATTCCTTTTTTTGAATAATTATTCATCCTCGTCGAAAACCTGTTTCGATTTTGAATGCAGAAGTTGCATTTGTATCTCGTGTGTGGTTATTTCATTTCAACAATTTTTTTTTTTTTTTCAAAACTTCTTTTTCTATTTTTTTTTTTTTTTCAATTTGGAATTCAAAAAAAAAATTTTGCAATTGAATATTTAGCTGCAATCAAAAATGTAAATTTCATTACATTTTTTTTTTTCGAATATTAGTTTGTTTTTCAAAATTCTAAATGTCTTTTACATGTTAAATATTTTTTATACTGTTTTTGAAAATTTTCAAGTTATTCATAAAATTCCTGAAAACAAGATAATATGTATTAATGATGATTTTTTAATGATAGTTTTTAACATTCTGTTTATTTCCAATGAGTTTTGTCATTATAATATATTAATTCCTCTTCTTTATCATGAGCGCGGCATCAAACATTTTTTATCACTGCGCAGATAAAATCAATTGCTCTTTGAATATATATATATATATATATTTTTTTTTTTTTTTATAAATAAGAAAAAAAATATTTGCATTCAAAATATTTTTTTTTTTGTTTTCTAAAATAGTAAAATAGTTTTTGAACTTTTTCTTGAATTAATTTTCGCCCTTAATATATTGTATATAATTTTAAAATGATAAATTTATTGAGGAAAAAGTTAAATAGAAATAATATTAATTTATTTTAAAAAAAAATAAATAAATATTTTTCACATTGTATATCAAAAATTGATTGGCGTTCAATAACGATCGATAAATATTTAAAACGGCATCAATGATCAAATGACTATTATTTCCAGTTTAAGTTGATTATTATTTATGGTAAACTTAGACCTTTTTTTAATGATTTAAAGCATTTGGTTTTTTTTTTCAAGTTTAAAAAAAGATTCACAATAAATTTACATTTAATTTTTTTTAAACAATATTTTCATCACTTTTTGATATTATAGTGAAATGCCATTTAATTATACATTTTTCACGTTATTGAAATTTATAAAAAAAAAATTAGAAAATTTTTCAGATTAGAAAATTTTTGTTTAACAATTAATAAAAATAAAATTTTTTTATTGATTTTTTAATATTTAAGGTAATAATTTTCATTATAAAAAGAAGGAATTAAAAAAATTTTTTTTTTGAACTAAAAATTATAAAAAAAATAAACATTTTAACGCCAATAATACTAAAATTAGAGTATTGCATTATAATATCTTTTCATGTTTATTAAATTTAATATTAACTTTTACGGCGTGCATCACCTTGGATATTGTGTGTAGCACGTGCTGATCATATCTCGCGAACTCTCAAAACTTCTTATTCTTCCTTATTGCAAAACTTTTTGTTATACTTTCTATCTCTTGTACTATATATATATATATATATCAATTTCTGCAGATTTTTCATTCAATCGAGTCGAGGAAAGTCCTGTATATTTTTTACATGTCATAAAAAATAAATTTTATATTTTATTTTCAAAAGAATATAAAAATAGTATCGAATAAATGTGTCAATAATTGAAAAAAGTGGTTTTAAATAAATAATTTTTTTTTTTTTTTGATTTTGTAAAACCAGATTGACAAGAAATTATTAAGTAATAAAATTGATCTGATTTACACACCATTTGGAATGAATAAAATATTCTTTTTTTTTTTTTTTTGCACTGGTCCAAATTGTATAAATTTTTTTTTTTCTACAGCATCTTTAATTATATACATTTTTCAATTGTTTTTCATGCATATGCATTATTATCAAGAGCATATCAAATTATGATATTTAATTCATGATAATATATCAGAATTTACATTAAAAAAAGAAAAAAAAAAAAAAAAAAAATATTAAATAATAGGAAAAACTGAAATGTCACATGAATAATAATAATTCATGAGTGACATTTTGAATTTTATTTTCTAATTACCATTAGTGAGATATGTTTTGGTATATAATATATATTTATTTATTTAATTATATTTGTCTATGGTTTAAGAAAAATTGGAAAAAAGTTAAATTTAATATTTTAAATATTGAAATTACGAAACGAAAATTATTTTTTGTATTTCAAAAAAACAAAAAAACAAAAAAAAAATGATAAAATTATTACATACTTTGGATCAAATTAAATTTGACTGAGAAAGTTTTAGACCTCCTGTATACGATAAAAGCTAATGACTCCTATTCAGTAGACACATGTATATCAAAGCCTTTTATATGACAGGAATACGGAATTATTCTATGCACATATATTTCCCTAGCACATTTTCTATGTTGCGCATGTAATATAGAGAGAGAGAGAAATCTTTACAAAATGAAGAATAAAAATTATGTATAAAAGCAAAATATTTGCTTTGTATCTCGCAATTTTTTCATTATTTTACACTTTTTAAATCTGAATTAATAAAAAAAAGTTAACTAATTCTTATTTAGCCTAATTTTTAAGCGGCGCATAATTTTCTATTAAAAATTATTAATTAATTATAATATATAATTGAAATTAAATATATAAATTATATAATTTTTATATTTAAAAAAATTAGATTAAAAATTATGCCACATAAAAATTTGACGAAATAAAAAAAATTAAGCTATAAAAAATAATTAAAAATAAATTTCGATTTGGCCAAATACGAAATTAGGCTAATTAGATCGAATAAAAAATCGTGTTAATTCAAAAAAATTAAACCATATGATTAATTTAAAAAAAAAAATTTAATCCAGTAGAATGTACCCTCATGATATTCAAAAATTCATTCATAAGAATTAAAGAAGAAGAAAAAAAAACTAATACATAATGAATAATAATTCAAAATGGAGAATAAAAATATATAACGAATAAGGAAAAATAGTGAATATATATATATATATAAGGAAAATGGTATAATAATTGGTTGACTCGATTTTTGAAATGATGAATTTGCAAAGGTGTGGAAATCCCGCAGTGTGTGTATAGAGGAAAAATAGCGGAATAAGAAGAAAAAAAAAAAAAAAAAAAAGTCGATGAACGGTTTCTCAAAGAGTTGCGCCTATACAAGATTTCCAGTGACGTCATTTAAAGTCTGAGAAGATCGAGTGCAATGCGTGAACCAATGGAGGGTCACCGATCATCAGGTGGGGGCTCAGATTGTTGAACAAGAGTATAAAGCCCCACCATTGATTAATACTGAAAGCAGTCGATGTCCCCTTCTGTCTGACGATGTAGCGTGATCACCCCCCTCGAAAAGAAGAAGAAGAAGAAAAAAAAATCGATTTTGATCCAAGATCTTCATCTTCAAAAAACGTGCACGTGCTCTTTTTTTTTCCTTGTTAAATATTAATTTATTTTTTTATTTACAAACAATGTTGAATAGTTTTGAAATTTTTCCAATAAAAGTGTGAGTTTATTTTGTTTTTAATTAGTGATATTTTTTTTTTTTTGAAATAAGTTTTTGATCCACAAGTGTGTTGAATCTTTAAGAAGCGATTCAGTGAATTTTTGTGAAGTTTGTTTTATATCTTCCTTTTTTGGATTTATTTTATTTTTCTGAATGTGAGTAATATTTGAGATTATAAAAATTATAATAATTAATTATAATAAAAAATTTCCTTCTGAATTTTTTTGATTTTTTTTTATTGCTTCCTTAAAATTGAGTTATTCGAAAAAAAAAAATTTATCGTTAAATAAAATATAAACTAAAAAAATTATTTTATAATTAAAAAATTGACTTTTATAAATAGGATTTTTTATGAAAAAAAATTTATTTTTTTATTAAAAAGTAGTACTAATTAAAATTTTTTTTTTTCGAAATAAAAAAAAATACAATTATTTTTGTATAAGTTCAATTAAATAGTTCCTGAATTAAACGTAACTTGCTTGTTATTGTTTATAATACCTATTCTCAACCTTGATTTCCTGTATATTTATCATTTTAATTAAAATATTTCTATATTGGTATGAAAAATTAATCGTTATAAATATAACTGTATAAAGAATACAATAATTAAGAAAAAGAAAAATGAATTATTTATATCTAATTATTTCTTTTAAACAAAAACAATAAATATAAAAATTCTTTAACTTTTTTTTCTCTCTCTCATTGACAATACCGTTCCCATGATTTTCTTTGTTTACGTTACCTTTATTATTATTTTTTCTAATAGGGAAAATAATAATTAATAATTAATAATTAATAATTAAAATTATTAATTTGTAATAATTTCATGAAAAAAAAATTTTTTCTAGTGATTAATAGTTGTTTGAATTTAACTATTAATTTTCAATCTAATTAGAAACTGATAAGGGCCAATGTTTTTTTTTTTCTTTATTTTTCTAAATTATGATTATTTTTTTTTTTACTAAACTGGCGTTAATCGAGTGTTAATTAACATTTTTTTAAAGTTTAAGGATTATAGTGAAAAAAAAATGGTAATTTTTTTTTTTTAATTAATTTTTAGAATATATAAATATAGAAAATGACGGCAACGGAACCATCGAAAGCGGAAGAAGGTGGTGAGGAACGGCGACCAAAAATTGAAACTTTTGATGATATTTTGCCATATGTTGGTGAGGCTGGTCGTTATCAATGGCTGCTCTTCGTTATTTTACTACCATTTACATTCGTCTATGCATTTCTTTATTTTGCTCAATTTTTCATCACCCTTGTACCCGAGGAACATTGGTGCAAAATTCCTGAACTGGACAGATTGAACCTCACGGATGAGCAGATGTGAGTGAGCGCGGTGAGAAAACACCCTACAAATTTTATTATTTTTAATTACATATACAAAAAATTTCTTTTTCTGTTTATTAATCAATTTTTTTTTTAATTTACTTAATAATATAAAAATAATAATTTTATTCTATATTAATTTTTTTTTTAATTCAAACATAATCAGTGTACTTTATTATCAAAATAAATATTTATTTTGTATTAAATAATTTTTTTTCCACTGTATTAATATATTAATTTTTTTTTTTTTTCATTGAAATTAGATTTAATTAAAAAAATACTGTTTCTATTTTGTTTTTTTTACAGAACTAAAAATAATTTATCAAACAATTTTTGGAAAACATTTTTTAAATTTAATTGAATTTTCAAAAATTTTAAATTGATATTTTTGAAATTAATTGAAACTTTAAGTGATTTTTAATTAAAATTTTAGATGATTTCACTAAAAATTTATTTGAAAATGCGAACAAAATAAAATAATTTGAAAATCATTTTTAATTGAAAAATGGTTTCAGATAGTTGAATTTTCAAAGAATATTATTAAAATAGTTAAAAATAATTGAATTTCCTTAGAGTTATAATTGAAATTATTAAATTTCAAAAAAAAAAAAATTTCGATGGAAAATTTTAGAAATAATTAAATTTTATTTGATTTTAAATTTAGAAAATAATTGAATTTCAGTTCATTTTGAATTGAAAATTTTGGGAAATAATTGAATTTTAATTGAAATTTTGGATAATAATTTAATTTAAGTTCATTTTTCATTGAAAATTTGGATAATTAATTTTGAATAGAAATTTTAGAAACTAATTGAATTTTTATTAAAATTTTTCAAAATAATTGAATTTTAATTGATTTTAAATCGAAAATTTGAAAACAATTGAATTTTAGTTGATTTTAATTTGCAAACTTTGGAAAATAATTGAATTTTAGTTGATTTTCAATTGAAATTTTGGAAAATAATTGAATTTTAGTTGATTTTAAATTAAAATTTTGGAAAATAATTGATTTTGAATTGAAAATTTGAAAAATAATTTATTTTAAATCAAAAATTTTGAAAATAATTGAATTTTAGTTGGTTTTAAATTGCAAATTTAGAAAATAATTGAATTTCAATTAAAATCTTAGAAAATAATTGAATTTTAGTTAATTGTCAAATGAAATTTTGGAAAATAATTGAATTTTAGTTTATTTTGAAATTTTTGAGAATAATTAAATTTTATTTGATTTTAAATTTGGAAAATAATTGAATTTCAGTTTATTTTGAATTGAAAATTTTGGTAAATAATTGAATTTGAATTAAAATCAGTGTACTTTATTATCACATAAATATTTATTTTGTATCAAATAATTTTTTTCCACTGTATTTATATATTAATTTTTTTTTTCATTGAAATTAGATTTAATAAAAAAAATACTGTTTTCATTATTAGTTTTTATTTCTATAATAAAAGAATTGAGTCTAAAATGTGATTTTAAGAATTAAATTGCAAAATTAGAAAAAAAAATTGATTTTATTTTTACTTTTTGAAAATAAACAAAGAATTTATGTTTCCTTATTGGCATGTATTAAAACTAACGGTAATTAATACTGAAATGAAGAAGAAGTAAAAACTATAAAAGTAAGAAGCACGTTATGAAGTAAAAAAATTAATATATATATATATAATTTGATAAGAGAAGGTCGAATAAGGAAATCCACTGTTGATTCTTATGACAATTACATGATATTTTTTCTATTTCATCTGTTATAGTTATTAACTATATAACCTTGTCTATAAAAAAATCAACTAGGTCAAAAAATTTTTTAAAAAAATTTATTTTTTTAAAATAAGCCATTTTTTTTTCTTTTTTATAAAAAAATTGTTTTTTGCAAATATTTTCCTATAATTAGAAATTTAACCAATAATAAATAAATATTGATTTAATTTTATTACATTTTTGAATTTTCATATTACTTTCTTTTTTTTATAATTAAAAAAACAAATTAATTAACTCAGAGAAATAATAATTGTTTAATGTAAAAATGTCAACAATGTAAATACAATGTTTTTTTTTAACTTATATGAAATTACTTTCTAGCTATGTCGAATATAAAATGAATATATGAAATTTTTTTTTTTTTTTCATTACTCAGATTTTATTCTTTAAAAGAAAAAAAAATTACCATTTTTCTTTCCAACTGGTTTTATTCTTGACTTTATGAATAATAATTTAGAGAATCGCATACGAATTAAAAGTAAATTAAGCATATTGCATAAGATTTATATATATGTATTCATTTCCTTATTTATATTTTTGAAAAAGAATTGTTTTTTCTAATTTATTTAAAAATTAGAAATTTTTCAAATTCAATCAAAATAATGTCTTATGAATTTTTTATTTTCAATTCGAATAAATAATTATTTTTTCTTTACTAAATTTAAATTAAAGTTTGCTAAAAAAAAAAAGAAGACAAATATTATTTAAATTTTTTGAATAAAATGCGTTAATAAATTGACTTAATTAATTTGAGTGAAAAATTTATTTGCATATGAATTATTACACTGGCAGTTAATTTTCAAATTATTAGTATCTATGTGATAAATAATTTAATATTTATACATGAAATTGCGTATAAATATTAAATTTATTGTTATAATTAATAAAGGAAAAAAAAAATTATAAAGGAGCACTTTAATAATAAATTAGAGTGGCATGTAAACTTATGTGATAAATTGCATGTATTTTATATCATTTTTAATTGCACTAAATTTATTTTCTGCGAAATACAAAAATCGTAAAAAAAATTTTTTTTTTTTTACATCAAACATTACTTTCAATAACTAATGATTCTGTTGCTGTAATCATTTTACGATTTTCTTGAACTTCACCTGATTCAATTGTTGACAAGGGAGAAATAAAACTCATTTATCCTTTTTTTAAACTATTTTCCTTCTATTTCTTTTTGTCTTCGATTTTTTTTTTTTTTTTTTTTTTTTTTTTTTATTAAAAAAGTATTTATATTAAGAAATATATTTTTTTACAGGACATCGCTATGGATTCCAAGAGCAGATGAGGATGAAGTTAAAATGAATAACATTCCATTTTCAAGATGTAAAATGTATATTGTTGATTATGCAAAAGTTTTGGATGAAAATTTAACACAAGCCATAACATCGTGGCCAAAAGGACCCTGTCAAAATGGATGGAAATTTAATCAAACAATGATACCATATCTTTCAATTGGTGCTGAGGTACGACAATAAAAATAAATAATAATTTTTAATTTTTGGAACGTTCAAATTTTGTTAAATTACGATTATTAATTTATTCATTTATTTAGCTTTTAATTGAAAAATAAATAATAATTGATAATAAAATAAAAAATATTTATATAATAAAAATAATAATTTGATGATAATAATAATTTAATTAATATAATAATAATTAAAATAATAATATAAAAATAAAAAATTAAATTAATCGAAAGATAATAATTATATACAAAATAGAAAGAGAATATTTAAAAGTCGATTATACTTAGTCTTTTAAACTCTAAAATGTCATTAGTTTAACGACTCATTTAAGCATATAATTTTATTATTCTCTTTAGTCATATATTATCTCATAATTCGCAATTAATTTGATTTACAAGCACATAGAGGAGGCTGTTCATATTGCTTCCACAGTGAGATTTACTAGATAACGAGGAAGTAAATTTTGTTTCACAAACTATTTTTAATAATATTATATTAATCACATAATAATTATTATTATTATTATAATTAAAAGTTAATTTTTAAAAAAAATATTAATCCGCTAACTTTAATATATTAATTGTAATTAATAAAATGAAACTAAATTTTTTTATTTTTATTTTCAGTTTGAATGGGTGTGTGAGAATACTTACCTGGGTTCAGCGGCACAATCTGCATTTTTTGTTGGCAGTATTGTGGGTGGTCTTATTTTTGGATATATCGCCGATCATTATGGCCGGATACCAGCTCTTGTTTCTTGCAATGCAGTTGGATTTTTTGCCTCCATTGCCACTGCATTGTGCAACAATTTTGTATCATTTGCAATATGTCGACTCATCGTTGGAACATCATTTGACAATTGTTTTAATATTTTATTCATCATAGGTATAATTATTTTGTTTTTTATAATTTATCATTTAGATAAGAAAAAAAAAACTTCAAAAATAATTACAAAATTGAAAAATGCAAATAATTTTACTATAAAATTTTTTTTTCTTAAAAAAAAAAGATTTTTTTATTATTTATTTATTTTTTTTTATTTTCATGAGGCTTTTTTCGTTGATTAAATATAGAGAGAAAAATGTCCTTAAGCTCATAAATATTTAATGATTTATATAAATGTGTACTTGTTGGATAATTAATGTAATTATTAGAATGAATCTTATTGGAATTGTTAGCTATACACGATATATAATAATGAAATCATTTTAATCTTCGTAAATATATAAATAGTTAATGTGCGCATTTATATATATTTATATCTATGGCTTTACATAATATCTTAGACTTTTTTTTATTTATTTTTTTTTTAAATACGTGTTAATTTTTCTTGGCGTTTTGCGCGTGTCAAGGGAAAATTGCATCAATGTCTGGAAGCAATATATATATGAGATATTGGAATTTATGATCAACCTTGAAAAAACGTGGGTGCAAAATGCGATCAAAACGTGTCATGTGTACCGTTTGACATAACGGTCAGTCATTAAAAATGAAAAAAAAAAAAAAAAAAAAAATGGCAAAATAGAGCAGCGCAAACACATTTTTTTCGATGAAAACCCTCATTGATAATTGTTGGCAATTTTTTTTTATTCTTTTGTAAAATTTAGTATTTCACGTAGAAATTATAATTTTGCATTTAGTTTTGTACAAAAAAAAAGTTATTAAAAAATTACTGAAAAATAATTTTTTGTATCTCTTTCAGTAATTGAATATGTGGGACCAAAATATAGAACGTTGGTGGCAAATATGTCTTTTGGAATATATTTTGCTGCCGCAGCTGGTCTTTTACCCTGGATAGCATATTGGATAGCAGATTGGAGAATTTTGAGTGTAGTTACAGCAGTGCCATTAGTTACTGCCTTCTTGGGGCCATGGATAGTGCCCGAAAGTGCCAGGTATTTTTTTTTATTATAAAATTATAAAAACACAGGCCTCGAATCAACTTAAAGACACAAAAAAGTCGTTTTAGTCGATTTATATTCCAAAAAAAAGTGGATTTGTTTTTTATTTTAACAAAAATATTTTACAGATTTTTAAATAAAAAAATTTTTTTTTTAATAATAATCCTTTTCGAAGGTTTAAAGTTGAAATTTTTAGAAATAATTAAATTTCAAAAGATATTGTTGATTTTCAAATAATTATTAAATTTTACAGAACTAAAAATAATTTATCAAACAATTTTTGGAAAACATTTTTTAAATTTAATTGAATATTCAAAGATTTAAAATTGAGATTTTTGAAATTAATTGAAACTTTAAGTGTTTTGTAATTAAAATTTTAGATGATTTCACTAAAAATTTATTTAAAAATGCGGACACAGTACAATAATTTGAAAATCATTTTTAATTGAAAAATGGTTTCAGATAGTTGAAATTTCAAAGAATATTATTAAAATAGTTAAAAAAAATTGAATTTCCTTAGAGTTATAATTGAAATTATTAAATTTCAAAAAAAAAAAAAATTTTTCGATGGAAAATTTTAGAAATAATTAAATTTTAGATGCTTTTAAATTCAAATTATTGAAAATTCTATTAATTTTGAATTCAAATTTTTGAGAATAATTAAATTTTATTTGATTTTAAATTTGGAAAATAATTAAATTTCAGTTCATTTTGAATTGAAAATTTTGGGAAATAATTGAATTTTAATTAAAATTTTGGATAATAATTTAATTTAAGTTCATTTTTTATTGAAAATTTGGATAATTAATTTTGAATAGAAATTTTAGATAATAATTGAATTTTATTTCATTTTAAATTGAAAACTTGTTAAATAATTAAATTTTAAATTGAAAATTTTTGATAATTATTGAATTTTTAATTGATTTTGAATTAAAATTTCGGGTAATTATTGAATTGTAGTTTATTTTGAATTGAAATTTAAAAAAAAATTCAATTTTATTGTGATATTTTTTTTTAAATTATAAACAATTGTTAAATTTCATAAAAATTTTAATTGAAAAATAATTTTGATATAATTGAATTTGTGATGTATTTCATTGAAATTATTAAAAATAATTAATTTAGTGAAGAATCATTTTAGTTCAAAATTTGTTAAATAATAATTGAATTGAAGAAGATCTGAAGAAGATCTCCATTTTAGACTAAAAAAAATGTATTTTATTTAAATTTTTTTTCAAATGTAAAAAAAATGTCGCATTTTATTAAAATAAGTCGATAAAAGTCGTATTTTTGAAAAAAGTCAGAAAAATTCGTATAATCCGAGGCCTGTAAACATATAATTTTCATTATTATCATTTAATATGTAATAATATTCTATTAAATTAAATTTTTATTAATAATATTAATCTTTAATTTCTTTATAACAAACAATAAAATACTCAATTTGGCGCACATGCGCGCGTTTAATTTTGCTAGTTATAAATAAAAATGCTAATTATGGAAAATTCAATTTAATTAACAATTATATTTTATGAAAATTATTATTAGTAATTTAAAATAATGCTATTGTAAATTTAATGAAATTTTTCCATGATTGATATTGCTCCATTTACAATCAAATAAAGTAAAGAAAATTTCTTTTTCCCTTTTTCTTTTTTTTTTTAATAATAATATCAATCAATCTGTTCTTTGCAGGTGGTATATCACAGTTGGAAAAGTCGACAAATCAATAGAAATGCTCAAGAAGTTCGAGAAAGTAAATAGGAAGACTGTAAAGCAAGAAGTTTATGACGAATATGAGAAAAGTTGCATTAGTATGATGCAAAACGATAAGAAGCACAATAAATACACAGTTTTTGATCTTTTTAAGTTACCTCGTTTAGGAAGAATTACCGTTATGCTCATTATTTATTGGTAAATAATTTCTTTTTAATATAAATTAATATATATATATATATATATATATAATAATTCCTATATTTTCTCTATGAGAAAAAAAATGCTTTGTTTTCAAAAAAAAAAAACATTTGTTTTTAAATTGAATAAAAATAAAAATTACTTTTTCCTTTTTTTTAGGCTTTTGATTATTTTGGTATTTGATGGACATGTTTGGAACATGAAATTACTTCATCCGGATGTTTTTACGTCTTTCTCTTTGGCATCTATGACGGAACTTCCAGCAGCAATTTTACTCGCTTTGTTCTTGGACAAATGGGGACGACGATGGATGGGATTCTTTTCTATGTTAATCTGTGGAATTTTCTCATTTGTTGCTATTGTTATGCCCGAAGGTATTTTTTCAAAAATATTTTTATTAATCAATATAATTATTATAATGTATATAATAGAAAACAAAAATCGAAGCCAAAAAAAAGGTTTATTTAAAAATTATTTCTCAAATTTTTTTTTTTTTTTTTTGATCTAATTATTTCTGAATAAAATTTTATTTTTTGGAGTTTAAATTTGAGATTTTTTATAATAAATTCAGTGTATCAAATTTTGAATGCCAAATAAAATTTTATTTGATTTTTTTAGAGAGAGAGAGAGAGATTTTGTTGAGAATATGAAATTTTCTCTCTTGCGTTTCGATTTTTTAGGTGAAAGAAAAAAAAAATTGATGTTTTTTTTTTTTTTAATTTTTTATGAAATTAGGTCCCGCAACAGTGGCTATGGCAATTTTGGCTCGACTTGGCGTGAATATTGCTGCAAACATTGGTTTCCAATATGCAGCTGAAATGTTGCCGACAGTTGTTCGCGCTCAGGGAGTATCTCTCATTCACATCATTGGTTACTTTGCACACATCATTGGTCCCTATGTCATTTATCTGGTAATGATCACGTTTATCTCACTATATGATAATTTCTATTAATAATAAAATAAATACTTTTTTGAATCGATTATTATTCAATAGTATAAGAAAAAAAAAATAAAATAAATAAAGTTCAAAGAAGAGAATTTTTTGAAATAATAAATTTTAAATTATAAACAAAAAAAAATAATAATTAATTTTTTTCATTTTTTAGGCGGATGTCGCTGAGGAATTGCCACTTATTTGTTTGGGCGTCTTGTCAATAATAGACGCACTTTTGACACTTGGATTACCGGAAACTTTGGATCAAGATCTTCCTGAATCGCTTGAGGAGGGTAATGATTTTGGCAAAGAACAGAGCTTCTGGTGGATTCCCTGTATCTCAACGTAAGTTATTAAAAAATTATTTTTTTTTCAAAATTTAATTTTAAAAAAAAATTTATTACAAATTATATTAATTTTTTTTTTTTTTGTAAAATTTTCCAGATCCCATGTAAAAAAGAAGAAATATAGAAGGAAGTTAGGTGCGACAAATGCTGGTTTTAATCCAGGCAGTTTATCGAGGATCGATTCCACCCGATTGTAGCTAAGTGGCAAAAATTTATTATAAATTTTTATCTTTTTCTTTCTTTCTTTTTTTTTTTTTTGTAAATAGTACCTCAATTACACTCATGTGATTTACATATGTATAAACGTTAAGTCAAGAGAGAGAACCTGAACTGAGTGACCGTTTGTTGTTTTCTGAAAGTATTTTTTTTTTTTTATTTTCTTTTTTCAAATTTGAAAACAAATTTTTGATTAACTTTTTCTGGCGTTTTTTTTTTTAATTTTTTTTTTTTTTTCAAAATGACTTTTGAAAGAAAAAATTTTTTTTTAATGTTACTTTCCTCATTAACAAAAGACAGAAAAAAATAATAATGGTAATAGAAACAAAGAAACAATCTGAGTTGAGAAAAAAAAAAAATAATGGTAAAATCAAATTTTGCCATTATAAATTACATTTTTGATGCAGTTCTAAAAAGAAAAACGTATATAGAAAATTAAATTATAATTTTACTACTTATATAAGTGCCTTGGGTTTAATATTTTAAGTGTCATAATCGAATTTTATTAATATATAGAAAATTTTTTAAATGAAACAATTTTTGCTCAATGATAATGAAAATTATATGTGCCTTATTGAAAAAAAAATTTTATTCCCATTTAATATATTAAAAACTAATAAATTTATTTAATTAACTGTATTTTGTTAAAAGAAAATTTTTCTGTTACTTTTTTTTCAAAAAGAAAAAAAAATGATCATTTTCATTATTTAATCATCATTATAATAATATATTTTGATGTCTCGATAATGCTCAATTTGAAATATCGTTTTCCATTCTAGAAGATAATAAAGTAGAATCATTCGCGTACTTACTATTGATTCGCTGAATCTAGAAAACAAAGAAAGAATCAATTGAATAATATTTAAATTCTCGAAAAATTGGGAAAATATATTATTAATATCAATAATAATATTTATTAATTATTATTATTATTATTTTTATTAATATTTAAGAAATAAATTTATTAATAATAATTAACGAAAATATAAATTTTATTATTAGCAACTATAAATATTATTATTAATATTGATAATAATAATTTATTTTTGAGTATTTATAGTTGAAAAATTGAAATTTAGAAATATTTTTGAATTTAATGAGAAATATCATTGACTCTTTCTTGCTTGTTAACAATATGGTGAAGCAAGCATTTTTTTTTTTTTTTTTTTAGGAAACTATATAAACACATTATTGTAGCTAGAAATGACAGCATAAAATAAATGAATGTTCATTAATTTGTACAGTATTGGAATGAATGTTCATTATCGAAATCGACATTGCGTGTGTGATAATATTGTATACCAAATATCAGATAACAAAATAAAAAAATTTGGTGTCAAAAATTTTCTTTTTTGACCCCAAACAGTATTTAAAGTGTTTTATTTTTAAATAAATAAAAGAATCAATTTTTCCACAATTACATTTTTTCGAGAAATGAAAATTGGCCAAAATTTCTTGTTCTTGCAAAAATTTTCACCATCCTCAAGTGTTTGGGGTAAATGCTGTCCCACTGTTTCCGGTAAAAAAAGTATCAATATTGAATTTAATAATGATAAAATTGCAATTATTATAATTGGTAATTCCCTCCAAGTGCTTGCCTAATAAAAAAAAAAAAAAATGAAAATAAAGTACAATTGTTTTCAACTATATTAATAATTACAATATTTACTAACCAAAACTGTAACATAGGGTGCTGTGAAATGCATAATAATACTCAAAAAATGAACCAATGCCGTACCCTGTGTTCTTAAACTTGTTGGAAAAAATTCTGGTACATATTGAACGTATATTATTTGTACAAAACTCATGCACATTCTTCCTAAGCATCCGGCAATAATTTTTATCGTTTCTGTAAAAAAAAGAAAAAAGAAAAAATTATAATTTTATATTATAGAGTCAAAAAATTATTATTTCGTATATATGATGTATTCCACGCCACGGTGTAAGACCATTTTGCAATTGCATCTCCGATTTTTTTTTCTTTTAGTACTAACTGAGATTAGCTTTCATGAATTTTTTCAAATTTTTTTAGCAAGCCGTTTTCGAGTTCTGGAATTTTGAAAATTGGAGAATTTTCATGACTTTTAATTTTTGAATGAAATTTCTTTAAAAATGCATCAATTTTAAAAGTCTTTTTTTTCAAAATGTGTGTTTTTAAACGTACTTTCAAATAAAAAAGAAAATCGAAATTTTTTTTTAAATATATTACTTTTAAATTTTTGAGTTTTAATGATAAAAATTCATTTATCTCATTTGACGTACTGATCGATTTTTTTTTTAATTTTTTCAAAAAAAACTACTTTTTACGAAACTTTTAAGCCTAGCCTGATAATGGGCAAACAATTTTTACAATATTTTCGGAATTTTTCCGAAAATTTTTGAATTTTTTAAAAATATTTTTGGGTTTTTTTTATACTACGTACTTTTAGGTAGTTTGATGCGCTAATTACGAAAATCATAGTGACAATACTAAAAAATTTGATTTTTATGACGTAAACCATAAAAAAGTCCCAAAATTTATGGTTTTTTTTTTCGTTTATGGGGTAAAATATGCAAAATTAAAAAAAAAATGCATAAGATATAAAAAATGTATTTTAATAAGATCTATAACTTTTGTTTGGCCTATTTTTTTAATTTTGCATATTTTACCCAATAAACGAAAAAAAAAAACATAAATTTTGGGACTTTTTTATGGTTTACATCATAAAAATCAAATTTTTGGGTATTGTCACTATGATTTTCGTAATCAGCGCATCAAAATAGATAAATGTACGTAGTTTAAAAAAAAAAAAACCAAAAATATTTTTAAAAAATTCAAAATTCAAAATTTTTTGGAAAAATTCTGAAAATATTGTAAAAATTGTTTGCCCATTATCGGGCTAGGCTTAAAAGTTTCGTAAAAAGTAGTTTTTTTGAAAAAATTTTGAAAAAAATCGATCAGTACGTCAAATGAGAAAAATGACTTTTTATCATTAAAACTCAAAAATTTTAAAGTAATATATTTAAAAAAAAAATTTCGATTTTCTTTTTTATTTGAAAGTACGTTTAAAAACACACATTTTGAAAAAAAAAGACTTTTAAAATTGATGCATTTTTAAGGAAATTTCATTCAAAAATTAAAAGTTATGAAAATTCTCCATTTTTCAAAATTCCATAACTCGAAAACGGCTTGCTAAAAAAATTTGAAAAAATTCATGGAAGCTAATCTCAATTAGTACTAAAAGAAAAAAAAAAATTTCAAAAAAAAATCGGAAATGCAAATGCAGATGGACGTGGAATACATCATATATATGAGTAAAAAATTACCTGTTTCATTAAAAGTGAATATAATACTAAACACTCCACTAAGTAATAAAGCGATTGATACACTAAATCTTCGACCCCATTGATTGCCAAAAATTTTCACCAATGTTGTGGCTATAACTATCTCTACAGAAAACCATACAAATGACATGAATACAGAGATATTATATCGATTTGAAAAATATATATACGTATCCATAATTAAGGATGAAAATCCGCTGGAGAAAAACAAAGTAATTAGAATTATAATTTTTAATTATTAATTTAAAATTATTTTCATTTTTTTGTTTTTACATACTAAATTATTGCAAGAAGTATTGTATTTCTGGCTAAATGAGGTGTTCTTCTTAAATCCAATAAACTAGCATTTTCGACATTTTTCTTATCGTTAGATATACTTTGCTGAAAAAAGAAATTAATTATTTCTTTTTATTTAATAAAATATTTTTTTTCGAATTTAATATTATTTCTGATATTTTTGAATTCAGTATAACTTACTAAAAATTCATCGTACACCCATGCTTTGGGATTTTTATTATTTATTTTTGATATTCTTCTAAGTTTTATTAAAATTTTTTCATTATTCCCTTTAGACATATACCAACTAGAATAATTTTTTATATTTAAATAATGAAATTTTTTTCCTTTTTATTATTAAAATGTAAATAGATATTAATATTTTACCGTGTACTTTCGGGCATTAAAAATGTGAGAAAAAAACAAAATAAAAACGACGCTGAACAAATATAGGTGAAATATCGCCAATTTCTTATAAAATATGCACTACCAGAAATTGTTAATACAGAAATAAAATATAATATTCCTATTAAAATACAACCAACATTTGGCCTTCTTTGAACACCCAAATATTCCAAAGCTATATTATATAAATGACAAATTATTAATAATTATAAAAAAAATTCAAATTTTTAATTTAATTTATGAATTTTTGTAAACAAAAAAAAATTTATAATATAACAAGACAAAATTTACCAATAATTAATGGAATCATTAAAAAATTATCGTATGCAAAACCAGCAAAAAATCGACAAATTGCAAATGACCAAAAACTATGAGTACTCGGTATTCCAATTGTTGCAATAAATGAAGTTGCTGTACAGCACAATAAACCTTTAATTCGTCCATAACGATCGGAAATCCAGCCAAATATAAAATTTCCAAAAACAGAACCAACATAAAAAATTGCTTGCACTGTTGCTATTATATATTCCTTTTCACAAACCCAATTTAGCTATATATGCATTTTTTAAAATAAATAATACATAATTATTATTTATTTATTTTTTAGCTTAACTAATACAACATTTTTACCAGTTTATTATATTTTTGTTTTAAAATTTAAAAAAAATATATATTTTTTTTAGTAAATAATAATAATAATAAAAAAAAAATTACTAATATTTCTTTATTTTAAAATAAATAATAAAATTAAAAAGATATAATAATAATAGTAATATTAATAAATTATTAAATAATAAAGTTAATTAATATATTTATTAACCTCTGAGCTTATGGTAGCATATGGAATTTCATTAAAATCGTACTCCCACATTTTGCATTGTTCTATTTCATCTGTATTCCATTTTGTGGAATTAAAATTTATATTTGTTATGTTAATGTTTTGAAAATCTAAATTTTTATAATGACATCTGTCATAATAGGGATAATTTTTAGATTTTGGAATAGCTAAATTAATTCTGCAAAATAATAATTTTTTGTAATATTAAATTTTATTTTATAAATATAATTTAACGGATATTTTAATTTTAATCAATAATAATTAATAAATAATTCATTTTCCAAAGTATTAAAATTAGTTGAAAAAAAAAACTTACCTCTGCTCTTGTGTTAAATTAAGATTTATTAATTCATCAATTTTACACCAATGATTTTGTGGCACAATCATAATGAAAATTTGTGAATAATATAAATATGCAAATGAAATTCCAAATGGTACTAATGATATCATTAAAATCCATTGATATTTGCCAAAATCTCCAATAAATGGTAGTACATCGTCAAAATCTTGAATTTTTTTCTTTCTATTATTAACATCATCACATTTTTCTATCATTATTATATATTTTTATTTTCAATATTATATAAATGAAATAAAAATAAAGCAAAAGAGAATATTATTTATTGAACATATATTATTATTATTATTATTATTATTAAAATTATATAGTTGAAAAGCAACTCTTTTTATAAACGTATTTTTTACAATTGTATACTATTTATCGTAATAGCGGGGTTTTGTTAAAATTTATTTTTTTTATTACATTTCCATTGTTATCATTTTACAAGTTAAAATTAAACACAATTAACATATATGATAATGTGTATATCACCTGAAAAATAAATAGAGCAATTTTTCATACATTTAAAAAAAAAATTTTTAAATATATATAAAAATAAATAATGCTTTTAATAGAGAATTTTTCTTTCAGATGGTATAACAATTTTTCAAATTATTAAGAAAAATAAATTATTTAAAAAGAAGTTTGGTATTAACAATCAAATGTTTGGTTGGTATTTAGACCAAAAAATTTTCAATCAACAAAATTTTTTATTGTCTCAATCAAATTTTTTTTTGACACAACAAAAATTTGAAGAAAAAGGATTTTTGTTGTCCTAACTAAAGTTTGATTGGGACAACCAAAATTTTGTTGATTCAACAAAAAAAATTTTTTCTTAAATACCAACCAAACGTTTGGTTGTCAATACCAAACCCTTTTTTCAGTGTACGATTTCAGTGTGTGGAGTCAATAAAAAAACTAGAAATTTTGTATTTTAATTTTTTTTTTTTTTTTTTAGAATTTATTAATGACGCATTTTCTTTCTTTTTTTTTCGTTAATTTATAACAAACTTAGACTATGAGTAACAAAAAAAAAAAAAAAAAAAATTATAAAAAAAATAAACCTATAATTATATAACAATTTGTGCTAGACAATTATGTTTCTATTTTATTTTAATATTTGTTATCACTTCCACAACAAGGTAGAGACCAAAATTTTTGATCTTTTCCAAAATTTTCACCTTGCTCCAATGTTTGTGGCAAATGGCGTCCCGTTGTTTCTGGTAGAAAAAGTGCCAAAATTGCACAAATCAGAGAAACTGTACCAATTATTGCCATTGGCATTCCAGTCCAAAAAACTGCCTGTTATTGATTAACAGAAAAAAAGAATTTTTTTTTTATTAAAAAATTACTAAATAATTTTAGTTATAGAAAATGAGTTTATTTTGATATTAGGATAAGTGATAAAAAGAGGTTACACAATTTTAAATTCTTGGGATTTTAGTAGTAAAAGGACATTTTAGTTAGAAACATGAAAATTTTATTATCAGTATAGTAAAAGTACGTTTTCGTCAGGTTTTAGTATCGGTGGTAAAAGTATAAATTTTAGTCATGCCAATTGATTTTAGTAGTAAAATTAAATTTTGGTCAAATATATTTTTTATTCATGTGATTTTTGTTCCAGTAGTAAAAATAATTTTCATTGAGACAATTTTTTTTAGTATCAGTGAAAGTGAAATTTAGTCAGATTGTGGATTTTTTTTTATTTTATTTTCGATCGATTGATAAATTAAATAATTAATTGCTTACGGTATCAGTAACATATGGAGCTACGGAATGTGCGCAAATTCCAAAAATATGAATCAAAGCTATGCCTTGAGCTCGAACTGGTGTTGGTAATAATTCGGCCGCATATTGTAAACCAACGTTTGCTGCCATATTCAAACAAAATCGTGCTAACACAGACATTGTCAATACAGCAGTATCTAAACAAATTCATTATTTTGTTTTTATTTTTTTAGTATTTTATTACTATTTAATATTTATATAATTTAAATATTAATAAAAATGAGAAATTAAAAAAAAAAAGATTTTTGTAAATAATTTTTTTTTTTTTCCTACCATGAACTAAAATTAATTCAGCATAGCTAAAGAGCATTGTCAGTGTCATTGTGATGAATGCACAAAATCTACGCCCCCAGCGATCGAGCAACAAAGTCAACAGTAATCCAGCAGGAAGTTCTGTGGCACAAGCCAAAGAAAAGGAAACAAATACCGATGTTTTCAATAGTTTCAATGAATACACATGCCCATCAAACGCAATCACTGTCAAAGTCCTAAATAAAAAAAAAGGATTTTTTAAATTTATTTTTTAACTGGAAAATTTATTGTAATTTTTTACCAACAATTTAAATAATATATATAAATAAAAATAAAAAATTAAAATGAATGAAAATCATTTTTTTTTTTAGTACTAACCAGAGAGCTACAAGTAGTATAATATTTTTAGCCAAACGAGGAGTTTTAAAAAGATGTAAGAGCGTTGCAGATTCTTTCTCCTTATATGCTGCCTTTACATTTAACTGAAAAAGAAAAAAATTAATTTTAATAAAATTACAATTTTTTATTTTTTCTTTCATTTTTTTTTTTATTAATTCTTACTGTAAAAATCTCGTAAACTCGTGGATGTGGATTCATACCATTAATTTTGGCAATTTTTCTAAGTTTCATTAACACCTGATCTATTTTTCCATTTGAAATAAACCATCTGAATTGAAGAGTATAAAAATTTTTTTTTTTTAATTTCTCATAAAAATATATATGAGTATAGAATTTTAATGGTCTTTCGTCATGAAAAAAAATATATAATATTTACCTTGCACTTTCTGGTAATATCCAGGGAGTAACTAAGGATAAAAAAAATGGCACCGATATAACGTATGCAAAATAACGCCAATTTGCAACATAATAAGCAATCCATGGTATTGCTGTACTTGCAATTGCAAAATAAACTCCAAATGCAACATTCACTACCATTGTGCGTCTCTTCACAGCCACATATTCCATAACTAAAATTTTATTCTAAAATAACTACAATTAAATAAATAAGAAATTTCCAAAAAAAATTAAATAAATAATAAATTTCAAAAAAATTAAATAAATAATAAATTTCAAAAATAAATTAAATAATAATTATTATAAAAATAAAATATATATGTTCTATACTTGAAAATTACCAATGATGAGAGGGATATTTATCACATTGTCAAAGGCAAATCCAGAAAAAAATCGACAAATTGCAAACGACCAAAAAGCACCAGTATTTGCAGATGCAATTGTCGCAATTAATGCCGCAATATTGCAATAAACAACAGCTGGTATTCTACCTTTGTGATCGGCAATCCAACCAAAAAGAAATCCACCAATAATTGAGCCACAAAAAAATATTGCTTGAGCCGTTGATATTAAATATGAACGTTCGCATACCCAATCTAGCTAAATCGTCAACTGTCACTATATATACGTTACTTGATTATTCGTAAAAAAAAAAGAAAAAAAAAATTTCGAAAATTTAGAGATTCTTTTTTTTTAATAATTATACTAGCAAAATTAAACGCACGCCAAATTGAGTATTTAATTGTTTGTTATAAAGAAATTAAAGATTAATATTATTAATAATAATTTAATTTATTAGAATATTATTACATATTAAATGATAATAATGAAAATTATATGTTTACAGGCCTTGGATTATACGAATTTTTCTGACTTTTTTCAAAAATACGACTTTTATTGACTTCTTTTAATAAAATGCATTTTTTTCAATTTAAAATTTAATTATTTACCAAGTTTTCAATTTAAAATGAAATAAAATTCAATTACTTTCTAAAATTTCTATTCAAAATTAATTATCCAAATTTTCAATCAAAAATGAACTTAAATTAAATTATTATCCAAAATTTCAATTAAAATTCAATTACTTTCTAAGATTTTAATTGAAATTCAATTATTTTCAAAATTTGCAATTTAAAATCAACTAAAATTCAATTATTTTCAAAATTTCAATTGAAAATCAACTAAAATTCAATTATTTTCAAAATTTCAATTGAAAATCAACTAAAATTCAATTATTTTCCAAAATTTCAATTGAAAATCAACTAAAATTCAATTATTTTCCAAAATTTGCAATTTAAAATCAACTAAAATTCAATTATTTTCAAAATTTTCGATTTAAAATCAATTATTTTTCAAATTTTCAATTCAAAATCAATTATTTTCCAAAATTTCAATTCAAAATCAACTAAAATTCAATTATTTTCCAAAATTACAATTGAAATTTAATTATTTTCAAAATTTGCAATTTAAAATCAACTAAAATTCAATTATTTTCCAAAAATTTCAATTGAAATTCAATTATTTTCTAAAATTTCAATTCAAAATCAATTAAAATTAATTATTTTGAAAAATTTTAATTGAAATTCAATTATTTTCTAAAATTTCTATTCAAAATTAATTATCTTAATTTTCAATCAAAAATGAACTTAAATTAAATTATTATCCAAAATTTCAATTCAAATTTAATTATTTCCCAAAATTTTTAATTACTATCTTGTACGAAATTTCCTGGCGCATCTTTTTTCTCATCGTAAATTTTTTCTATTTGTAAACAATTTTTGAATTAATATACAACTTTAAAAAAAATTTCGTTGGTATGTGTACTTCAGTTTCGTGAATTGAATTTTCGAATTTGAAATTTTAAAAAAACTTATTCCGAAATTTGGAAACACAATTATACAATTTTGGCAAAAATGAGAAAAAGAATTGTCAAAATTTAACACGTCATAAGATTACTATTCAAAAAAAACACATGAAATCAAAAAAGGCCAACTTCAAGTTAGGACAGAAGGACAGACCAAGCATTTTATTATTATATAATTTTTTTTTTTTTAATTTGAAAACCAATTTTTAATAGGCAAATTTAATCTCTAAATTTTCAAAATATTTTTCTAATATTTTTTTTTTATTGTTATTAAAAAGTACTTCACCTCAGCTCCAATACTTGCATATGGTATTTGAGTGAAATTATATTCCCATCGTTCACATGGAATTGTTCTATTTGTTTTCCATAATGATGAATGAAAATTTTTATTTATTTTCAAAAGATTTGTAAAATTTAAATCCTTACGATGACATGTGTCATAGTATGGATATTCATTTAATCGTGGAATTCCAGCTATAATTCTATAAAATTAAAAAAAAAAAGATTATTAGAAAATATTAATTTATAATATAATAATTTTTAATTTTTTTTTTTTCTTTTTATAATACCGATTTTCAATTGTAAAATTTTGTAGTTCATCTATTTTACACCAATGTTCCTGTGGTACGAGTGTTAAAAAAAATTGTGCAAAATATAAAACTGCATATGATACACTAAAGGGAATAAGAGATAACATTATAAGCCATTGATATCGTCCAAAATCACCCACACAAGGTAGCATATCGTCAAACGTTTCATATTTTGGTTTTAAAGCTGTATGCTCATCTGCTTCTTTAGTCATATTGTTTTCAATTGTATTATTATCACTATTCTGCTTTATTTCACTGGAAAAAAACAAAAAAAAAAAATTTCAGTAAAAATTGATTTAAAAAAAAACGACAAAAATTTTATTTTTAATATTTTTGCAAAAAAAAAAATTTTTTTTAAGTTAAAGAGAAAAAAAGTAGATATTTTTTTTTTTGTTGACAAAAAAAGTTTTTTATTTGATTCAAATAAATTTGTCTCTGCATATAAATGTAACAAATAATATAAGTTCAAACATTCAGGGACAAATTTATTAGAAACAATTAGACTCAATGATAAAGTTCCATTAATAGGTCAATAGCATTGTGAATTCAAGAAATTAAAATATTTTTCTATAAAAAAATGAAAAAAAAAAAAATTGTGGATAAATACTTGTTCTTTTTTATTTATTTTTTTTCTGTAAAAATATCGAATCTAATAAAAAATACTTTTTTCTCTGCCACATATATTAAGAACACCTCGTTAATATTATTGTTAAATATATACATTGATTTTTAAATAATACAAGAAATTTCTGAATATATCGGATGAAAATTGAAACAAATATTTTGTTTTGTTTCTCGCTTGCTAATTGAAGTGTATTCTATATTCAACGAAAAAAAAAAATTTTTTTTTCTTCTTTTAAATGACCATGAATCAGTACTTTAAATAACTTTAAACAGTATTTGCATATTTTAAATGTCTTATATGAATTTTTAATTAGTTTGTCAAATATTAAGTATATAATTAAAAGCTTTCCTTATTTATTTCTGTACATCTGTTTTTCACTTTATATTTTGATTATTATTAAAGAAGTTTTAAATATCAATATAATGTTAAACAATTTAAAATAATTTATAAATATATTTTACTATTTTGGATTTTTTTTTTTTCATAAAAATTTTATTTTACAAAAAATGTTCTTATCTTCAGAGAAGATTCTTATCTAAATGACAAAATGAAAAGAATTTTAATATTTACAAATAACACTAAGAATTTTTAAAAACAATGATAATGTGAAAAATTTCCTTTTAAATAATAATTATTATTTTTGTGATAAAAAAAAAAAAAAATTCAACAAGTAAAAATAAATTATAATATTATAGAACGATCGAACATTTTTTTTTTCTGTTAAATTGAAAAAAAAAATTTTCAATAAATCAAAATTGGTACATTGGTACAATTTAAAATTCTCCTGTTATAAAATAGACTATTGCGCCAATGACCTACAATCAATTCTCACACGTTTCTCTCACTCTCGTCTAGGTGCTTCGTGAGGCAAATATCGATTTCGATAGACGACGTTGGCCGAATGAAAATACACAAATATATATACATATATATATATATATATATCATTTTAACATGACAAATCAAAATTAAATTACACTATATATTCAGAAATCATGTATAAACTAAATGAAATTAGTTACATATGATTTGCACTAGCAAATAATGAAAAAAAAAAAATTACACTTTTTTTTCTCCCAATAATATACACTTGATCTATAGAAAAAAATTAATAACAATAATTATTAATTAATAATCATTATTATGAAAAAAAAATAATAATAATAATGATTATACTTTTCCCTTTTTGTGAATCGAATATCAGCAAATTCAACACTGCCAAATCTTTCCATATTTGAAAAATTATTGTATTGATAAGAAAAATTGGAAATAAATTTTTTGATAAGATATGAAATTTTCTATTTTTTAAATAAATAATTAAAAAAAAAAAAAATTTTTTTTTATTAAAGAAAACAGTATTTCGCGAACGAGCGTGCGAGTACAACTGCCGGACTTTTTTATTTTTCACTTACTATACATTTTCATGGTCATGTATTCTGAGGCTCAGTATCTGTATACCTTGTAGCATACTGTACTAATTGTTGATTTATCACTCTAATTTATTATTATATTAATTTTTTTTTTTGCATTTTTTTTTCACTATTGTTTCCTTACTCTTTAGTGATTTGAAAAAAAAAGAAATTATTTACAAGGAATACGAATAATTTTTTTTACATTAAAAATTATACATAAAAATAGATAAATAATAACAGGAATTGTATTTTTTAATTTGTTTCTTTATTTAAAATAAAAATTTTCAATTTTTTTTTATAAATAAATTTTTTAAACAGTTGCCTAATATTTTTATTAAAAATTAAAATAAAAATAATTACCCAATTAATTAATTTAAAAATATATAAATTAATCGAAAAATGTAGTAGTACCATTTGTTTTTGTTTTTAATTGTTATCAAAATATTTTTTTTTATCATATTTTTTCTCACGTTATCTACACTTATATCTATAAATATACTAAATCAGTAATTATTATATATTTTCAATTCTCTCTTATTGTAAATTTATTAATTTTTAATTTAATTTTTCGAAATTTTTTTTCATTTATTTATTAATAAATAAATAACGATAAATATAGTTAATAATAATTTTTTTTTAATTAGTCATTTTTTAATAAATATATATAATTATAGTTTTTTTTTTTAATGGACCTGCTTCTTTTTTCAATTTACTTAATAACAAAAAAAAAAAAAAAAAAAAAAAATCGTTGAGAATACGTTTAAATTACTTTTTATTTTTGCCTATACAAGTGACACTTGTAACTGTTGACGCAACAATTAAATTTATTGCGCCAACAATAATTGATTCATCCACAAAATAATAAAATTCATAACAAAATTTTATAAAAATGTGTTTTGTCTCAAAAAAAAAATTTTAATAAATTTTCCTAATTAATTCTTAACAAATAAAAAAAAATAACAAATTATAAAAAAATTGTAACAATACATTTACGATAATAATAATAATAATAATAATAATAATAATAATAATAATAATAATAATAATAATAATAATAATAATAATAATTATAATTAGGTATAATAATAATTATTATTATTTTTTATTATTATAATAGTAGTAATAATTTAATAAATTCATAATTAAATGAACAATAGTTTCTATAGACAATTGAAGCTGCAAAAGAATTTTATTATAATTGTATCGAAATTTCTCTACGTTATTAATTAATAACGGAACAATAATTGCATTCATAAGGTAAATCATAAATAATGAATAATTGTGTTCTTACCTTTTGTTTTACTAATGATTTCACTAAATATACTTGTTATTCCAGTTAAATTGTACAAATAATTATTGGCAAGTTAAAAAAAAAAAGAAAAAAAAAAAAGGAACACGAATATTTATGATATCAATTGAAAACAATTAATAACTTGTGTTATGTTCGACATCTAAGCTGCGTATGAAAAAGGAAAGTAATAAGAAAAACGTTCGCAGAGGATTCGAATTACATCTGGATTATTATATGATCAAGTGTTAGAGAGTAAAAATATTCTTATTTTCACTCACACTGTAATATAAATTTTTTCTCACCGCAAATCGTATATGTACCATTAAGAAATTTATATCTTAATAACCGTAGGGTTAAAGGTTAACTCGAAATTTCAAAAAAAAAAAAAAAAAAAAAAATTAAGACAAGGAAACGGGAAATAAATATACAAAATTATAAATATTATTATTTCTAAAAAAAAGAAATTAAAATTAAAAACAATTATTTTTAAATATTTAATTTTATATTAAATTATTATTATATTATTTTATATTACAATTATAAAAATTTGTAAATTATTTTTTTTTAATTTACATTTTTTAAAGACAGATATTAAAATTGTGTTATTGAATTAAAAAAAAAAAATCATTGTCAATTAATTTTATTTGTGTAAAATGTTTATACAAAAATTAATATTATAATATACAGATCACAAATGTGGAGTTTATACTCCTTCACATGTGTGCAAAATAAAAGCTTTAATAATCTTTTCTTTTCCCTTATACTGCAGTCATTTTTTTCTTTTTTTTTTTTAATTGGTAAATTTTTATTAATTAATCTATTACTTAAAAAATAATTTCTTTTATATTTATGAACATATTTAAATTAAACGCAAATTTAATAACATAATTTCACTTATTTACAGTCTATACATTTTTTTATCTAATATTAAATTATTCTAAAATTATTGGAAAAAAAAACCAAAGTTAATGACTCTCAAATTTTTTCAATGGTAATTTTTTATTATTAAAAAAAAATTATGCGTTTTTTTATATGGCAAGATTTAAATCAAAAAAAAAAAAATTTTTTTTATCAAAAATTATTTGTTATTCTTAATTTTCTTTTAATTTTTTTTTTTTGAAAATTTATTTGTTTGTTCCGTTGAAAAATTTTTTTGCTGAATTTTTGACTATTTTTTCAAGTTTTTAAAATTTTATAATTCCAAAAATTGAAATAGTTTTTTTTTCTTGTAATGAATCTATAATGGGAGAATTAAAAATTCAAACACATTATTACAATTTTGGCCTTGCGTGATTTAAAATTGTCCATTATTATTAAGACTTAAATGAGCATTGTGTCCTTCGCTTTCAAATGCACACGTCACAGCTCATTATATAGATATAGAAAAAAAATCCAGATCATTTAACAATAAAAAAAAAATTATTACTAATTATAAAATTCTTTTATGTAAAAATACCATCGTCATGCTTTCTTCATTCTTAATTTACATATTTAGAAATTATATACAGCACATAATATATAAAAAAAGCAGTTTCAAAAAAAAATCAATATTTTTTTTTCCAAAAATAAGTTCCTTTTTTTATATATAGTATTATAATCTTGCTACCTCAATTATTGGAGAATTGAGACTTTTTCGTGACCTCACACTTGATCTTTGTATCATACTGCTTCTTAAAGTTTCACCGCGTAGTGAAGCTCTCATTGATGCTCGAATTGAAGCTCTTTCAATGGCTCTTTTCATTGGTGGTAAAGGCGTTTCCTCATCTTCCGCTTTTCTAGGGGGGAAAAAAAATGCCATTTTAATAAATTTTTAAAACAATTTAAAAAAAAAAAAATTTCAATTTGAAAAAACATTTTTTTTTTACTTTATTAAGCATGGCATATCCCAAATGCCTTGATCTTTTCCAAAGTCCTCGCCATCCTGAAGTGTTTGTGGTAGATCCTTATCAAGGGTTTCTGGCAAAAGAAGCGAAAGAATTCCACCTAAAATTCCCAATGTTCCAAGAACAAGTAAAGGTAATACAGGTGATAAAAAATCCAAATAAACAACAAATGGTGCAGCAATACTTGCAACATAACCCATTATATGAATCAATGCAACACCTTGTGCCCTAACGACAGTTGGTAATAATTCAGCTGCATATTGTAAGCCAATATTATACGATATATTAACAAAGAATCTTCCCATAATTGCCAAAGTTGCCGCATAAATATCTAAAAGAAAAAAAAAAATAGAAATTTTTTTTCTAAAATTTCTTTTTGAATTTATGTAATTTTTGGGGAAAAAAAATTTTTTTTTTTCTAAAAGTTTTGTAGCTTTTTTTTATTTATTTTTTTTTTTTGGAAAAAAATACTTACGATCGGAAACAGTACAAGCCCAAACGCTAAAAATGCCTGATATAACCATAGAGCCACAAGCCAACCACCGTCGACCCCATCTATCTAAAACTAGGGTGAGAAGCGTATCCGCCGGAAGTTCCGTTGCTGCTGCGATAGTGAACGTGACAAAAACGTCAAGCCCGAGATTATTCACATTTCTCACGTGACCATCGAAAACCAACGATATCATCATCCTATATCAATAGAGAATATCAGTATTATTATTATTATTATAGCGAATTTGGTCGATTTAAAAAAAAAATGATCCGCCCTTTTGCAATTTTAAAAATTCAATATCAGATTCTTAATCAGCGACCCCAAAAACCCCCGTGTAACGAGTTTCAAGTCAATTTTGAAATTTGAAAAACTCACAACGGATTCGTAATCAGCGACTTTGTAAAACCCCGATTATCAAATTTCAAGCAAGTAGGATCAATTTTTTTTTTTTTTTTTTTTGAAAAATTGGGGCGCATGATTATGTTCTAAAAATCATTAGTCAGAATTTACATTTTATCGAATTTCATTTGTCATAATTGAGCCGAATTTTTATTTGTTCGAATTAGTATATATTTTGCAGAATTTTCATCAAAACGATTTTCTATATATTAGAGAATTTTTATATAACCGAAAATTCACTTCATAGAATTTTTATATGTTTTCGAATTTTTTATTGGTCAGAATTTTTATTTGCTCGAGAATTTTCATTTAAGATAATAGGCATTTTAAAGGAATTTTGTCTATTGAGTAGAATTTCATTGTATAGAATTTTCCTTTCAGATGAAAGAACGGCATATTCTGTTATGTTCTAAATAAATAAATTTTCATTTGTTCGAATTATTATTTTGATATAATTTCCATATTAACAGAATTTTTCATACTATATAGAATTTTTATTTAATCGAAATAAATCATTTACATAGAATTTCTAATTGATAGAATTTGCAAATGGCCGAATAAACAGACGATTTTAAAATCAACCAATAAAAAATTATCCATAAAATTGTGATTGGTTTATTTTAAAAATTGTGCCAAAATCTTTCTGTCGTCTGTTTGTTCGGCAATTTTGCCAATTCGGACAAAACAAAAAAATTCTATTAAATGATTATTCGATTAAGTAAAAAAAAGTTCCTGTAGTATGAAAAATTCTGTTATATGGAAATTATATCCAAATAATAATTCAAACAAATGAAAAATTCATTGGAAAGCAAAATTCTATGCAATGAAATTTTATCAAATAAAAATTCTTTAAGGCCAGGTCCAAGTGAGGAAGCGCTATCTATATTGAAACTAAAATTTTTGAAAATTTCCAACAGCCTTTTCTTGAAAACAAGAAGATAAAATGCTTTTTCCTTTATGGATAATTGATTATTAGCAAGAAATACACCAGCTAAAACTTTTTTTGGATTAAAATGATGAAAAAAAAATTTCATGTCGATAAATTAAATATGAGCAGTTTTTTCAACAAAAACTGTAACAGTACTTTCTCGGAATTAACAATTAAGAATACAATTTCCATTTGGAAAATTAATAAACGTTAAACAATACACCAGCTAAGATTCACCAATCACGAAAATAACAACAAAAAATTTTATTACATATTTAACATATATGGACACTGTTTTACTGATTGTGACAGGCCCTTTGGTAGATTATGTATTTCGGGTGGTTAGCAACAGCGCCAATCTTCTCCTTTCGGCAAAATCGCGAAACGTCTGGTGTCATATTTAACCTGCCAAACGGCTGTTATAATTAGTAAAATATGTTATGTTAAAAAACTTTTTTTTTGTTATTTTCGTGATTGGTAAATCTTAGCTGGTCTGTATTTTTTAGCGTTTATTAATTTTCCAAATGGAAATTGCATTTTTGATTGTAATTTCTGAGAAAGTATTGTTACAGTTTTTGTGAAAAAAGTGCTCATATTTAATTTATCGACATGAAATTTTTTTCATTATTTTAACTCAAAAAAAAAGTTTTAGCTGGTGTATTTCTTGCCAATAATCAATTATACATAAAGGAAAAAGCATTTTATCTTTTTGTTTTCAAGAAAAGGCTGTTGGAAATTTTCAAAAATTTTACTTTCGATGTAGATGGCGCTGCCTCACTTGGACCTGGGGCTTTAAAATGCCTATTATATTAATTGAAAATTCAAGCAAATAAAAATTCTGACCAATAAAAATTTTCGAACAAATCAAAATTTTGTAAATTGAATTTTCGGTTATATAAAAAATTCTGTATAATTTAGAAAATCATTTTGATGAAAATTCTGCAAAATACTAATATATACTAATTCGAACAAATAAAAATTCGGCTCAAAAACTAATTATGAAAAATGAAATTCAATAAAATGTAAATTCTGACTAATGATTTTTAGAACATAATCGCATGCGTTCCGAAAAATTCTATTGAATCCGCAATTTTTTTTTTTAATTTACTCACCAAATTAGAATGAGAAGTAACGTAATATTACGAAGACGTGGTGTTCTAAAAAGATCCAAAACTGAATATGATTTTCCTGTTTCCTCTTCCTTTTGTATTCTCGCACATGATTCCTATAATCAATTTTTTTCCAAATTAATATTAATATTAATTTTTGTTAACAATAATTTTATTAATAATAATTTTATTAATATTTTAGTATTAAAATTAAGTATGTATTTTTTTTTATTTAATCGCACAAAAAAGAAATATAAAGAAAAAAAAATAATATAAAAAAATTGTAAAATTACATTTTTTTTTTCCCGCAATCAAATCTAAATACACATCAATTTGCTTTGAATGAATAATTATTATTGTATGCAAATAAGAAAATAATTTTTCTTCTTCGACCATTCACATAACATATACGTTATCTTGTAAATAAATTTTAACTCATGTTCTTCAGCGTTATTTAAATCTATATATTGTTTTTGTAAAACAATTAATTTATTAAAATGTTTTGATAATCATCAGAAATTATATATGTATATTGTAATAAGAAAAAAAAAGAAAAAATTTCTTTACCCTAAATTCATCGTAAATATCGTCAGGTACTTTGGTACCATTGATTTTTTCAAATTTTTTCAATATTCCAATGGCTTTATCAATTTTTCCTTGACTCACAATCCATCGGGCACTTTCAGGTACCAACCATGGTGCAGCTATTGCCAAAATTAATGGAATTGATGTCACCAATGATGTCATTCTCCAATCAGCCAAAAAATATGCTATCCATGGCAATAAACATGCGGCAAATGTGAAAAATAATGCAATTGACATATTCGCGACAAATGTCCTCCATTTTGGTCCCACATATTCCAACACTGAAAAGAAAAAAAAAATTAAATTTATTATAAAAAATAATATTCTATAGAAAAAAAAATAAGATTTAAACTTTTTAAAATATTTCTTATATTTAATTATTATTTTATATTTTATTTATCTTTTATATATTTATTTTTCTCTCCTTATATATGATTTTAAATGGATGACTTTATAATTTTTTTTTTTTCCTTCTTCTAGCCATGAAAATAATTAAAACTATCTAAACGCCCTTCAGTGTAATATTCTTTTTTTATATACAGAAGAATTTTTTTTTACAACATATATTGGATCATATAAACGATAATAATGCAAACAAACCAATTAGAAAAATGTTTTTTCATATTAAAATTTTGTATAGAAAAAAAAAATTGCACTATAAAATTTATAATTTCCAATAATATTATTTGTTTTTCCAACTATATTAAATCTGAAACATTTGAAGGTTTTAGGAAATTCATATATAAAATTTGCATTATAAAAAAAAAAAATATATAAATAAATTAAAAACTAAAGTAAAAAAGAAACAACATATTTTGAGAAAAATGTTTTACAAAAATAAAATCGATAATAAAGGAAAATAATTTTCAAATTAATGTTATATATTCACATTGAAAATAATGGAAAAGTTTTTATTACAATTATTATGAATATTTAATGAATCACATTTGAGCATCCAAGAGAAAAAAAACCATTTCAAAAACTTTCACATAAAATATAATTTCTTTATATAAAGTACAAAACAAAAAAAATAAATTTATTATTTAACATCTATTTTTTGTTTTATTACACATTTTTTTTTTTTTTATTTACACCATAGATGAAAATTCAGTCGAAAAGAAACGCTCCGTTGAGAAAGATGTGAAAAAATTTTTTTAACTTGTATTCAACAATAAATGGTGAGTAATAATTTTTGTTTGAAAAATTTCAAAATTTAATATTTTTTTTTTTTTTTGTTGCAGTTTTTTATCAATCGAATAATAATGAATACAATGAAATTATTGATTTTAATTATTCTAACAACATTGAATTATAAACAAATAAATTGTTTAAAATCAGAAGATTGGCGACAACTTTTAAAAAATTATTTAAAAAATGACTTAAAACAATATCAAATTGTTTATATTGTTGAAAATTATGAAATTTTACGTGATTATGATTTAAATTATATTATACCAAATAAATTGGATTGTCCATCATTTATTTATACATTAAATGAAATAAATGAGAAATTATTTTCACGTATTGAATCATTGGGTAATCAATCGGAAATATCATTTTTTATATTTATATTTTCATCAGAAATATTTAATTATAAATTGGCAATGAATTTTTTAATTAATTCAACACATTCAGAAATGCGTCCAAAATGTTTAATAATTCATTTAACAAATAATAATATCACCAATAATTATAATGAATTAATGATTGATTTTTGGTCAAATCAATTTAGCGATGTTACATTATTAAAACCAATAATTATTAATAATGAAACTGATTATTTTCAATGTTATCAACGTAATGAAATTGGTGAATTACATTATTATAATTTATTTAATTATGGTTATAAAAAAGAAATAATACGTAATAAACCAATATGGTTTCCTGATAAAATCAAAAATTTATATCAACACGTAATGAATGTTTCTGGTGCGTTTAGTGAACCAGTTGATTTAAATTTACCAGAAACTGTACTTATGAATATTAATGGTGATTTTGTTTTACTTAAAGTATTATCGCAATTAATGAATTTTAAAATTAATTTCACTGGTAAAGTTGATTTTATCAAATTTTTTGGATGTAAAAAGGAGGATTATACATTTACAATATTAAAAGATTTAGTTAATAATGAAATTCAAATGCTTGTTAATCGTATGGCTAAACCAGGCATTAGTTGTACTCATGAACCATTTTTAATTAGTCAAATATTATCAGTTGAATGGATAACAGCAGCTGTACCAAGAAAACGAATTAGTACAACAATAATTGATATGGAACATTTATTTTTTATATTTATTGCCAATGTTGGTACATTAATTGGAATATTGATACTTGCATTTGTTTTAAAATTTAATAAAAGCATGTGGAATATATTGAATATATTTTTAGTTATTTTATCATTAGTCACACCAAATGAACCTCAACGTTTACGTGAAAAATTTGTTTTTGGCTGTTTATTACTCACGTGTCTTGTTTATTCAATTTATTTACATACAACATTAACAAATGTTAGTATAAGAAAGGAATATGAATTAGAAATAAATTCATTACAAGATCTTGTTGAATCTGAATTAACGCCAATAATGGATGGAACATTATTTAGTTATAGTAGAAGATATTTTTCAAAAGATCCAAATTATAAATTATTATTACATAAAACACAAATATATCCTGAAATTGTAACGCCTGAAAAATGTTTTCAATATATGATTGATTTTAAAAATATTTCATGTTTCGCCGATATTCGTAATCCACGTTTATTTGAAAATTATTTTTTAACAAATTCATCGCGTACCGATGCAAAAATTGTACCCGAACGTTGGATGCCAAGTTTATTAGTTTATTTACTTGAGCCAAGTTCAAGATTTGCAAAGCGTTTTAATGATATTATTCTTCGTTTAATTGAAAATGGTTTAATTGAAAAATGGCAAATTAGATCAAAAATTAATCTTTACAATATGGAAGCAATTGAACAAAAAACAAAATTCTCATCTGAATTAATGTATTTATTAATTATTATTTTATTATCCGGTTATACAATTTCAATTATTTCATTTTTTATTGAAATTATTGTTTCACGTTGGAAGAAAAATGATAAAATTTTATTTCAACGGCAATATAAAAAAAAATTATTATTAAAACGAAAAAATATTTTCTCACGTTTTATTTCTTTGATTAAGAGAAAAAAATTGAGAATTAAATTTAAAAAATTAAAATTCCAAAAATTTAAATTATTAACATTTGAAAATTGTCAATTAAATGTTAATTTTGTTACTATACTCAATCGATATTTTGTCAAAAAATAAAAAATTCTAACATCTTCTCAAAAATGAAATTAAAAATCTTTTAAATTATTGGTAACCTCGTCTGTTTCCGGTGGTGAGAAGGAATAAGAAAAAAAAAATTATATCCGCGTCTAAACAAACGGAACTTGAAGGTTCATTCAAAAACGTCATTAACATCAAATCACGCACCGTTAATCACACAAAGAACAGTAATTTTAATTTGCACACGGAAAAATTCCGCAATTATTGGAATTACAATTTTCTTGTCTCGTTCAATAAATATCAAAATATTTTGATTTGATATTAGAAAAAATTTGTTTTTGAACATTTTTTTTTTTTTTTCCATATGAGATGAAACAAAGACCTCGAGATAATAATCTCGAATAATTGTATAATTTATAATTGTAAAATAAAAACATTAATCGATTGTATATATTTCTCTTTTCCTGTCAACGTGTTTATGTAATTGAAAGAAAATAATATTGTCAATTGTAGTTTGTCAAATAATTTTCCTATATATATGATTGTAATTGTTCTATATTATCATAATTGCTGTTTTTTATTTATATGACAATTATTTCTCTTAACTGTTATTTAAAAAAAAAATGAAGAAACTGATTATCTTTTACATAAAGCATTTTCATCTCTACGGAAGGATTTTATGAGCAAGAATAATAATAATGCTGAGGGTAGTTTTTCTTAAAAAAAAAAAATGGGTTACAAGGTGAAAAAAAATATGAATTCAGTTTTCTTGAATTTCAATAAATATTCAATTTCATGTTGCGTTAATTTAATTAATTATAATTAATTTTTATAATTTTGAACTTAATTTAAAATTAAATCCAATAAATAATGGAAAATTATTTTATCTTTATTGAGATGAAATTTTTTATTTTAATTAAATGTGTTTTTATATAGAAATTTAAAAATAGCATTAATATTGTCTAATATAATAATAATAATTATAATTTTCTATAAAGATAATTGATTTTTATTTCTTCAAGAGAAAAAAGTGTCCTGAGACATTATTTTATTTTATGTCATGAACGCGATAATTGCACGATATTCAAAGGATTAAGTAGTCCAGTTAAGAATTGAGGGTAGCGTGCGCGATCGATCGTTAAAATCGACCCTAGGTCGAGGTTGATTTTATAAAGTGGTTTTCTTCTGACAAATTTTTTTTTTTTGTTTTTTTTTTATACTTTTTTTCTCTCTAGGTCATATACGCTTTTGGTTAGACTATAAAAATTATTAGCAAAAATTTTTTTGTTCCGTTTTATAAAAAAAAAATTGTGAAACTATGTAACTGATAAATTGAAATTAAAATGGATTTAAACTTATTTTATTTTTTTTAAATACTCACCTAAAATGTACATCATTGTGAAACAATTATCGAATGCAAAACCAAATAAAAATCGACACACTGCAAATTCCCAAAATGTTGTTGAAAATGCTGTCGCAACTCCTGCCAAAAATCCAACGAGATTTGCACCAACTAATGCTGGAATTCTTCCATATCGATCAGCAATCCATCCAAATATTAGACCACCAAAAATTGCACCAACAAAAAATATACTTTGCGCTGAACTTGGCAGAGCTGCATTATCGCAAACCCATTCCAACTAAAAAAAAAAAATTATAATCATTATTTTTTATGTTTTAAAATTACAATGGATTTAGAATTATAAATTTAAATATAAAAATTATAAATTAATCAGATTATTATCTTTATAATTGAATATTTGTCGATTAGTAATTACAAATTAATCTATCAACACCATTTATTTCCTGTTTAAAAAAAAAAGAAAAAAAAAATAATTTAAACTTTTCGAGATTTTTTTTTTGATATTAAAAATTGAAATAACGATTTTACTATGATGCAAATTTATCTTAACTGAACCATAACATAAAAATTTCATAACGATATGGTGCGCATAACGTTTAAAATAGTAATTGAGAGTTTACAAAAGCTTAGAATTATTTTTTATTATTTTTTTTTTTTTTTTAATAATCCGCGAGATATACATAATGCCTTTCTGTATCCTGCGTAAATTGATATCCTGTGAGAGAGTGTGTAACAACCTTGAATGATATTAAAACTAGAAAGGTACTTGCCATTTTATAATAAATAAATTTTAATATAATTCGAATATGATACACTCATATAATTAACGACCAGTTTCAATCATTAATAAATTAGATTATCTGACACGCGATTTAGATTGTTTAACGATTATAAGAAAAAAAAATTTATTTTTTCATTTTTTAAATATTATACAAAAAAAAAATTATTTTTTCATTTTTTAAATATTATACAAAAAAAAAATTTATTTTTTCATTTTTTTTAAATATTATACCAAAAAAAAAAAATTTTTTTATTATTCAAAGAATTTTCTTTATCAAATAAAAAATAATAGAGAATTGAAATTTTTTTTTCACTATTATATATATTATATATTTACACCTCGGTTGCAACGGTGGAATAAGGTATGACTGTATAATTGAATTCCCATCCATGTTTGCAATGTGTGATATTCCAATTTGGATCGGCGACAATTATTCCTTTTTCCAAAATCTCCGTGTAATTTACGTCATACATGGAACATTTCGAATGTGTTATGTGATCACCATGATGATCCCGAGGTATGGCCAATGCTACTCTGAAAGTAATTATCAAATTTTTCTTTTTTTTTTTTTTTTTTTCATTCTCTTTTTTCATTTTATATTAGTTTTCACAATAATCTACTATACAAGAAAATATTATTTTATATTATAATTATTATTATTATCAAAAAAAAAAAAAAAAAAAAATATTATTATTATCAAAATAATAATAATAATAATAATAATAATAATAATTTCTATACAAGAAAATAATAATTATTATTTAAAAAATTTTTTTTTTTGATATTTCCTTCCAAATTTTTTTGAATTTTTTTTTTAATTATTATATTATACTTAGTTAATAAAAAAACAAATATAATATAAATAATAAAATAATAATTTTTTTCTCTTTAAATAGAAAATTATTTCCTTTTGTTTTATTTTTTTTTTTTTTTTCTAGAAATTATTTGATAAAGAATTTTAAGAAATTTGCATAAATTCCTAGAGCGATGAAGAGAATTTTTTTTTTTTTAAATTAAATATTTTTATATTGATTAAAATAATCTCAAAGTTTTGTGATTGAAGTTTAAGTGTGATATTATAGAATGAAGTATGCATATATTTTCGCCTTCACGCTCTCATTGCTCTTATGAAGGATTTTTCAGAACTAATATGTGTCCATATATCCTGGCAATATTCGCACATACATATCAAAGCGATGATGACACCGCAAGGATCTTTAATAACGAGAATCTTCTAATTAACTTTACATTAAATATTATTGAAAAATTGTTTCAAGTATTTATTTCCAATATTTTTTTTTTAAACCTGTTTTTTAATATTTATATAATAAATTTTTTATTAATTAATTATATATATATTTTTAAAAAAAATTAATTTAATATCAAAATAAATAAAGTTAATTGAAAATAATAATCATATTTCAATTTAACTATTATTTGGGAATATTTGCGATATAAAAAAAATGCATCGCGTATTGCTAATAATTTTACATGCTCGCAACTTTTATATATATATATTAATTAATTATTAATTTTTATTGATTACAAAATTATTGAATGTAATTTAGGAACGTTCGAGCATAAAGAATACACACTACTTTATAGCAATATATATATATATAATGTAAAATCAGTGATGTAATTTCAACGGCCGACATTCAATTACGCGAAGGTCTTATGTCTTGACTTATACTGACTTTCTATGTAATCACACACCAACGCTCACATAATACCTTTTAAAGTCCTTTACTAGTTCAATTTGTGTGAATTATAAAAAAAAAAAATTTTTTTTTTCCTTTCTTTTTCAAATTTATTACAAAACACGAAAAAATGACCTTTAAATTAAGAAAAGGCCATTTGAAACTATTTAATTTTGTCGCGTCTCTAAATTATTTAGTTTTCAAAATCGTTTTTTTTTTAATAATTTATTTATATTCAAAGAAAGGAATTATAATAATTTTTCTAATATGAATAATGCTAATTATAATCACTATAAAATTAATTAAAAATTTTATATTACAATGAAACAATATTTATCGATAATGAAAATTTTATAATTTCAATTTTATAATTATAATTTTTTATAGAATTTTTTAATTGAGACAATAAATAAATTATTAATAAATGAATAATAATAATAATAAATATAATAAATATTAGAATGTCAAATAATTTTCCTTCAAGGACTTGTGAAGATCACTTTCTCTACTTTTTTAAATTATTATATACTTGATTATTATCGTAAGTAATTAATTAAGATTTCAATTATAATGAAAAAAAAGTCAATATGTTCTAAAATGTGAATATAATTTTTTCTTCTATTCACGTATTTTATTTTAATGCAACGTCAAATGTATTTTTATAAAATAAATCATTTTTAAAGTAAAAAAATATTTCTATATTAGAAAAGAAAAAAATATAGAAAAAATCTATTTTTTGAATTTCTATTATTTTAATTTCTATTTTCTAATTTTGTATTTTTTATTTCTTAATTTTTGTTTTTTATTTCTTATTATTTAATTTTCATTTTTTTTTATAAATATTATAATACTAAAAAAATATTATATTTATAATTATATGCAAAGAAAAAATTCAAGGATTATAATCTTAAATATATGAGTCATGTATATTCTTAAATTGAGAATATTTTTTTATATTTTAAAATTTATAACTCGAAAAATTAATGCCATTTATATAATTATATATATATATATATATATATATATATATATATATATATATTTAATAAATATATAATTGACAATTATTAAACACGTACTGTATATGAGAATAATATTTAATTAAAACTATACATTTATCTATATTTATGCGATGCTCATGAAATATAGCTAATTATAGATCTTTTTATAAAATCTTGATAATTATTAAATTATATACAAGTCATTCGTTTTTATTTATCATCGACAGTAAACTCTTCGATTTGAACTTTTACATCCGTTTGCCTTGTTATACATTTTACAATAATGAAGTTTCTTTAAATAGAATCAATGTAATAGTTTTGATTTTACAAAAAAAAAAAAAAAAAAAAAAAAAAAAAAATGAAAAATATAAAAAGCAAAATTTTTTTTTATTTTTGAGAAATTTAAATGACAATATATGCATAATTAAATGTAATTTCCATAATGTGAACGATTATGTAATTTACAGAAATATAAAGGTATTCTGAGTTTATAATATTGGGTCATTCAACTTGATCATAACTACAAGATTTCAATCTTGTTATTTAAATCTTACATAAAATATATATCTATTTGCAGAATGATTGATTTTCATTTATAGTCTGATGTATTACAAAATGATAGTAATATTAATTAAGTAATATATTTACTTATTTTTTTATTTAGTAATTTTTTTTTTATTTATTATTATTATTATATTATTATTACACTGAAAAATAATTTATTTGAATCAAATTTTTTTTTCAGTGTATTATTATTATTATTATTCATATTATATATTTTTTTTTATTTATTTATTATTAATAATTTAGTATCATTTTTTAGTGGGTTTTTATTAAATTATTTTTTTTCATTTGGTTTTGAAAAATAAATCCATTAAAAATTACTGTCATTAAATAAAAAAAACAAAAAAAAAAGAAAAAAAAATTAAGTAAATTTTTACTCTATGGTCGAGCTAAGAAATAAATTTTTAGATGCCAATTATCTTCAGGAGAAAATTACACATTAAATTGTAGTTAGTTCATTTAATAAATGCCTTTAACCCTTTTAGTGTCAGTGAATTTTAATGCGACATTGCAAAACTCATTTAGTACTGCAATCACTTCACTTTGATATACATTTCTTGATTTAAATTTGTTTAATGACTTACAAATTTTTTGCTTCAAAATCAAAATAAATATTTAGTTTTTAAAATAAAAATTAAATAATATTACAGAATTTTTTTTTTTTTGATAAAATTATTATTAATTAATTTATTATAAAAATTATTTGAAAAAAAAGATTTTAAATAAAATTTTTTTTTATTAATATATAGAGAAAAAAAATTAATTCTTAAATAAAAAAATTTCTAAATCCTTCCAGAATTCAGGTACTTTTCAATGTTTCAATAATAACAAAAGCACGTGAGTAAATTGGAATGAATTTTTCCTTGGCACACAAAACGATAGAATGGAAAAAAAAAACTTTTATTTAGAAATATTTTATTAACATAGAAATTTTAATACTTCCTTGTTTTGAATATCTAAACAAGTATTTAGTTTATTGTAAAAAAAAAAACAATTTTTCTATTTATAGAAATTTAAATAATTTTATTTATTTTAATAAAATAAATTTTTTTCACCTTTCTTCCATTGTGAGATTTTCGAGTTCCGGTATTTTACACCAATGTTCCTCTGGTACTAATGTAATGAAAATTTGTGAAAAATACACCCATGCGACAAAAAATGTAAATGGTATCATAAGAAGAAATAAAATTTTTTGATAAAATCCAAATTCACCAACGTACGGTAATAATTCATCAAAATCCATGTCCTTTTGTTTTTTATTTTCACTATTAGTGATTTTTTCATTATTTTTCACTGATAAATTTTGACTAATTGTCGATATTCGACATTGATTATTTACAGTGAAATTATCACATATTTCAGTTTTTGACACATGTTCCGAATCGGGTATACCGAAAATTTCTTGTGGTGGCATTTTCACAAAAATCAATTTTTTTTTTTTGCGATGGGAAATTTTTTTTTTTTTTTTAAATTTATTTTAACTATCACACACACGCGATTGACTATAAAAATCACATTTGTAAAATGTATAAAAATTAAAATTATATTTTAAAGGCATATTTTTTTTTTTTGTTTTTTAATTAACTGAAAAAAAATGAATTTCAAGATTTGCGCTCGCACTCTCGATTTCAATATTACTTTCCTTAATCCGCTCAGAAAAATTCTTCGGGCTTCTTTTAATTTCCATGAAATTCGAATGTTTCTTTTAAATTCATTTAATGAATTTTTTTTTAAACACTTATTCCCTTTTTTCCATTGTTATAATTTTATTAATATACTTTTTAATCTACATATTATATTTTGTATGATTAAAAACAAAAAATTAACACTTATTTTTTATTTGAAAATAGAAAAAAAAAAAAAATGATTTTCAAATCCAGTTGAAATATTTGAAAATTTAACTTTGAGATGAACACTTTTTTTTTTAAAAAACACGGGAAAATATCTTTTTTTCTCGCGTGTATAAAGAGAAAAAAAAATGATAAATTTCTCGCGTGACTTATCGTTTAATCGACAATCGGCAAAAAAATATAATTTTTTCAGGCTAATTCCGAAAATGAAGAAATCCTGATACTTTAAGAGACAATACTGAAAAGGTTGAGAGCGTGAAGTACTATATAACCATCGACTAGAATTCCCCCTCTTAACAATTATATATTATATTGAATGGAAAACTAAACACAGATTTTCTTAAGATGAAATTGAACAACTCATAAATCATACCAAGGAGGAATCTCTCATTTTTAAAAATATTTATCTAAATTCCTTCTCTTCTGATAAGAATATATTTCAAGCATTTTTTTTTATCAGCTAAAAATCGATTGCAAAAAAAATATCTTCTTTATTTTTTTTTAAAAAATTGTTAAATTGCATTTTTTTTTATCAACTAATGAAAAAAATATCTTTTTATTTTTCTAAAAAAAATTTTTAATAAATTTTTTTTTTTTTTTTGAATTTTTTTATTAAACCAAGATTGCACAGAGAAAAAGTGGAAAATTAATCTTTTTATAATATACTGTTAATTATTATTAAAACAAGTTACACCTACGGATCTGATAATTGGATTTCGAAATACTTTTTTTTTTATAAATAAAATTTTTTTTATCATTTAGACATTTTTTGTAATAAATATTAAAAATAAATTTTATTTATTTTAAATAAATTAAATTTATTAATAGAAAATTGAAAAAAAAAATTAGAGAAACATTAATTTGTTTCGTGCGTCATTTGAGCCCTCAGGTAAATGAAGGTGTCAATGTTGTGAAATTTTTTCTCTCTTGCAATATATTTATATAGAATGTGAAAGATAAAATTTTTATTAATTATATCCTCTCACTGTCTATATACTAAATAGCATGTACGCTAGAAGGTTTTTTATACAATTATAAAAAATACTTTTTTCATCTGTAAAAAATAAACTAAAAAATAAAAAAAAACTTTTTTTTGTCAAATTTGATTATTCTTTCTTTTTACTGGATTTCACGAAATTTTAATCGAAAAAAAATTAGTAGATGCAACAAAATGTATTGATATTTTATTATTATTATTATTATTATTATTATCATTATTAATTATTATTAATAATAATTTTTTTTAATAATATTTTGTTGGAATTTTTTTTTGAAAATATTGATAACTTCTAAATTAACTGTATACAAGAAATAAAATAATTTATAATAAAAAAAAAATTGAATACAGTTTGAAGGAAGTATTTTAATGAAATTTATTTAATTGATCTTATTAAATTATAATGAGGATACTATATACATTTTTTTTTTAAATTAGGTCATCTATTCGACATTGATTTTCCTTCCGATTCGTTAGTGATTTGTGGTGTTAAATCATTTTGCAAGAAACCTAGAAATGTCAATATGAGACTTCCTCTATTTGCTATTGAATTTTTAAACATATATTTTATATATATTTGTAATATTCGTTTCCTTGAAACAATTTGTCGAAAAATTATTTATTTATATTGACAAAAAAAAAATAGAGAAAAAAAAACTGTTTCATTTAGTGAGAAAATTTAAATAAAAATTTGAAAAAATAATATTAAAAATTTTTAAATGGGAAATAAAAAATAATATAATTTGACTTATTTTTTATATTATATATTTAAAAAAAAATCACCCTGGAGTAATTAATATTTTTTTTTTCAATTAAATACCGTAAGCTTGATATTTTATAATGAAAGAACCTTGTAAAACGGTGGCACGTGTTGGTTTACTTTTATTAAAAGAATGTTGACTTTTTTTAAAAAAAAGAATCTACCGTTTTTCTAATTGTTTATAAATCTTATATAATGAATTGAAATTTATTACTGTATATTAATTTAATTCACTATTCCAAATTAGAATAAATTTGATTATTGAAGAAAGAAAAAAAAATGTTTTCCCATTTTTTTATTTTTTATAATAAAATTTTTCTCCTTTAATTTATAAAAAATTATTTATCATTGAATAAATAATTAATATTATGAATAAATTAATGAAAATATTTTTTAAAAAATTTTATTTATTTTTAATATTTATTTGGAATTTACGAGAAATATTATAATAAATTAGAAAATGAAGGAGAAAATTTTGAAAATGTTTTAAATTCCAGATATTAGAAAAATAAATCATATTTCAACAGTTATAGACATTCTGACTGACATGAGTCGTTTCTGAACGATTTTCAATGCACATTCATGAATAATTTGAATAATATTTAGATGAAAAAAGTATCAACTTCTTGGTCGAGATCTGCATAAATGCAAAACAAACATGCTTTTCTTTTCAATTCTAGAAGGTTGGTCCCCACATTTATGCCAATACGAAACTGAATGTTGAAATTTAACTTCAGTAAAAAAAAAAATATATATATTAATTCGTATACACATTTCCAATTTTTAAAAGAAATCTTTTTTTTGTAATATTTTATTAATAAAAAAAAAGTAAACTGTAAAATATTTTTTTATTTAATCTCATTTTGTTTAACGTATTTATTCAGATTTTTTTTTTCAAATAAAGAATTCAATCACATTTGTTTTCATAAATAATTTTAAATGATTGTCACGTTTTAGATTAGTTTAAAATAATTATGTAATATGTACTAAAAAAAAAAAAATACATACGAAAATAATTACATTTTTTCTGATTTATCTAAATGAATTTCATACATGAAATACATATTTTACGAGTGTAAAATGGTTGCGGTATTAAAAAAAAAAAAATTTCTTTTATGTATGTTTTTTTAAAAAATCATTTTTTTTTGTTAAAAGAAAATTTTTTTTTCTACAGATTTTCTAGAAAAAAAAATGATTGTTTCTCAAATTGTATTATTAATAAATTATTATATTTTTGTAATATAAAATTGAAAAAAATGAAAATTAATCACGAGACTATAATTACAGTAATTTTTTAATTAAGTGCAAGGCAAGTTAATTTGTGTGAAAAATATATTTTATTTAATTGCTTACAAATATATTACATATATATTTGTAATTAGATTTATAAAGCGCGAAAAATATATGTATAAAAAGAATATTATTGTATTTAAAATGATTTTTGCATAATAAAATCCGTCAACGATTTTTTTTTTTTTTTTTATTTCTTTGTCACTGGTTGAGCATCGAGAACGTGAGAGACCTCATGGGAAACAATGACTGATATACAATGATCCTTTTTTTTCAAATTTAATTGTATACACATTGACTCTGTGTGTGCCTGGATGCTTGATTGATTTAATCTCGCGCGAAGGTTGAAATTCTATCCGGAAAACAATTAATTCTACAGGGAATTAATAGCATGATATGCACATTTTAGACTATATATATATATATATTTATGCAAAATGCACTCGAAACGTTATTTCCCATAAATATATTTCGCATTTTCAATTTAATTTTCCTTTTTTTTGTTAATTAATGAACAATTTCAAATTTCATTATTTTTTTATAGAAAAATTTGTTTGAGATAAAAAAATATTGCTTTTTTTTTTGTAAAAATAATTACATATATGAAAAATTGTTTATATATTTATTTTTGCTTATTTATATTTTTTTATCCTTTAATTTAAAGTTACAAATAAAAAATATACTGTAAAGATCAGAGAAGGTCAATAAAAAAAAAAAAAAATTGTTAATCTGTAAATAAGGACAATATATTAGTCCTGAATCCTTAAATGTGATATTCGAGGACAGAAATAATTGGCAAATTTTTTTTATCTACATAATTAAATTATTCTGCATATCGTCTTGATGACGATTTTTAAGATTATTTATTTTTATTACATTAATTTTTATTATATAATAAAATAAATTATAAAATTCTCCTGTATATAAATTACAATACAATGAAATAAAATAACAATATTTTTAAATATAAGAAATAATGAAAAAAAATTAAATAAATAATATTTAATAGTATTTTCTAGAAAAAAAAATTGAAAATTATTAAATATTTTAGCTGAGACTTAAACCAAGTTTCATCAGTTTTATCAATTGTGGTTGAAATTCTACATTATATTCTTACTTGCCAATGAATGATAAATCATTCACACAAATTTAATTTATTATTTATTTTCACTAAAAAAAAAATAAATTATTTATTTATAATTGTTTTATTTATATTAATAAAAAAATCAGTTTTTTTGAAATTAAAATATTTTGTGAATAATTTTTCATTTTTGTATAATAAAATTTTTTTAAAATCTTTTTTTTTTTTTTTTTCTTTATGAAAAAAACATTTTTTTTAAAGAGAAATATCAACAAATATTTATTTTTTATGTTTTTTTATATATATATACATATATGATAAAATTGCAAAGACTTTGTGCGACCATTTATGGTTGCTTCTCCTATTGTATAAAAATTCAAAGGAACGTTCTCCACACATATAGAAATGGCAAAGGAAGTCAAAAGGTCTGGTATTCGTATATTGGTATCAAAGAAATGTCAGTTCACGACTATATATAAAATCATCGATATGTGTGCTCGTAGAGTCATTCGAAGGTGTGGTGAACGACTGGTTTCGAAAAAAAAAAAAATTCTATAAAAAATAAATATTTTAATACTTTAAATAAATTGAATAATAACAAAAATAGATTTTCAAAAAAAAAATCACTTTTTTTCTCAATTTATATTAAAAAACCCCAAAAAAAATCAGTTATCATTTTTCCATAATTTATTTTTCTCTATAATGATTTTTTTTTGCAATAATTATGCTTTCAAAATATGACCTCCTTGTTATAATGCTTTTCCTATAATCATTTTCCCACGATTTTCCAATATTGACGAAAAAAAATTTTCATTGGAAAATCATTATGAACCTCTGCTTTTTTTTTCTTTTCATAATTATTTTTCAAGTTTAATTGAGAAATTTTTTTTTTAAATAAAATTTTTTGTGAAATTTTCAATAGAAAAAAAAATGTTTATGGAAATAATTTAACATGTATATATATATATATATATATGAAAAACGAGAGGGCGTATAAAAACCTTTCTCCTGTGGGATCCTGAGAAACGAGGGATCTCACTTGATGTATAAAATGCCCCAATAGTTATTTTCTCAAGCATTATACTTCATTCTCTTGTTCAATATTCTTATACCAATATGCAAACAATTTTCGTAAGTTACATATTTATTTTTATAAAAAAAATTTTTTTTTTTTCAATTTTGTGATATGTGAACAAGTGTTATTTATAAAATTTTAATTAAATTTTCATATTTTTCAAATGCTAATAAATAAATTTTAGTAGTGTCAAAAAAAAGTGTATCTTCGATTCCTTATTAATTTGTAATAAAAAAAAAAAAAAAAAATTAAATACAGTTGCTTCTAGTGAGCGTTGTGGGCCTTGGAAAATCTCAAGATCCACATTATCAAGAATCACCGAGAAATGCAGCAATTTTAAGTGACACTCGTTATCTATCAGGAGATGGTACATTTGGAGCTTCATATAAACAAGAAGATGGTGTTGAATTCAAAGAAGAAAGTGACGAATTTGGCAATCGTCGAGGATCATATTCATACATTGATCCCAATGGAGAAAGAAGAACCGTCACTTACACTGCTGGAAAAAATGGTTTTCAAGTACGAAAATTTAATTTAAAAAAAAAAAATAATTTTTAATATTTAAAAAATATTTTTAAAAAAGATTTTTTAATTTTCCTATAAATTTTTGTTTTTTAAAAATAAATTCTAAAAAAAAATTAATTTTTCAGGCATCAGGTGATCATATACCAACGGCACCACCTCAAATTCCACCTGAACCAGTACAACCCGAATATGTACCACTTCCTCAATATAATCCCCCCGATTATCAATTTCCAAAAGAGAGATTTTATGATTCTCGTTTTCAATCAAAAAAACATTTTGCACCATTAGTGGAGGCACCAAAAAAATTAGAACCAAAAATTACTTTTCAATATGAATATCATAACAATGAACCAAGTTCATCATTGAAATATCATAATAATGAACCAATTTCATCATTGAAATATCATAATAATGATGCAAGTTCATCATTGCGATATCAATCGGATTATGAATCGCAATATCAATTGCAAAATTATCAACCAAGAAAATATCAACCACCACAACCATATCAATCAGAAGGTTCATTTCAATATCAAACCCCACAATATATTCCATCAGATTATCAAAAATCATATAATTCCATTCCTTATAGAACGCCAGCTCCTGTTTCGGAATATCGTGCCATTTCTAAGCCACAATCACATTATAATAATCAATTAACAACACCGGCACCAAAAAGATTTTATCCACCTGGAAAATTAGATTTCAATCGAACACCCGATGGATTTTCCTATAGTTTTAGCAAAACGTAAAAAAAAATTCAATGTAGAAAAAAAAAACGAATTGAAAAGAGAAATTTCTTTTTAATTCCTTTAATTCTTATTTTTATATTCAGAGTTCATATAGTGCCATGAAAAATTTTCTATTGGTATTAACAAAATACAAAAACAGAAAAAAACTTTTATTTATCTTCAAAAAAAAAAATATTAATATATTAATCCGCGAGAGCGTTGGTAATAAAATTTATTTCCCACATTTAATACGAATTTCTCATGGCATTTTGAATATTCTTTTCATTTTTTTTTTTTTTTATTTTTTTACAATTACCACATATATCTCGGTACATTCTTGAATGAATCGATGTTGAAATTAAAATAATGTAATATAAATTCTAAATAATTACGATTTTGTTGATGTGTCTAATTTTTCAATATTTGTTAATAAATTTATTCCAATTGCGCAGTAAAAGAAAAATAGTTTATGTATAACAATAATCTTCTCATTGTGTGATGGTTCCCAAGTTTAGTCGTGAAATGTGATTTCTGTTTAGGTATACTTAAATCGATTTACTTTCATCTGGTAACCTTTTGAATTCCTTTAATGGCGCAATGAATTTTTTTTTTCGAAATTATGGTACAACTTCAGGTTAACAAAGGTGAGAAAGTAAACGTCGCTGTAAGGAAAATCAATTTATTATAATATAAAAAAAATTTCAAATTTCTTCCTTTTGAAAACTATTATTTAATTATTCAAAAATTATTTATTATTTTAATTCGAATTTGCCCTTTTTGTTTAATAAATATAAAAAGAAAAAAGTTGATAAAATGTTTATATTAAAATAAAAAAAAAAAAATACAGTAAATAAATTTGCGAATAAATAAACAATACAGATAAGAGATCAGAGAACCGCCTATGACCATTTTTGTGGAAAAAAAGGCGTGACTCGGTTTCTCACAAGGCAAACCACCTTTTGAGGATCAGGAACTCTGTACAACCTTACATGAGGAGAAATTTCTTCTTAAAAAAATTTTTTTCTCTTCTTTTTTTTATTTTTATCTTCGATATCTCATAAACATTCTCTCATGCATTATTCATCACAGGATGCAACGACACCTCGTTATATGTAAATTCCTCAACGACTTCTTTATCAATCTCAAAACAAGAAAAAAAAAATTGTAGAAAAAATTTTTCATATAAAAATAAAGCAATTATTATCGATGAAATACTAAAAATAAAATGAATTTCTTCCTCCAATATTAAAATCCTGTATAATTTACATTTTATTCGATCCACTTAAAAACATATTTTCTCCTGTAATTACACTAAAAGAATTTAATTTTTTTTTTTTTTTAATAAAAATTAAATTATAATCACTCGTATTTTTATATGATAATTTTCTTCTTTTTTACGAAAAGTTGATTATGGAATAATTTCAAATGCTATTTATGGAAAATTCTGAAATTATTTCTTCAATTTTTTTTTTCTTACTTTTTCTTTAAAAATTTGTTTTAATTCTACTTTTAGCAATTTCTGTATTTTTTTTTTTTAATATGTAATTCTTTTTTTCAATGATTCCATGGTTCATTTTTTATATATAGTTCGATAATATTTATTTATAAAGTTGAGTATACATCGTGTGTAATAATTACGGTAGTACTTCATACTGGCTCTGATTAGCTGCGCGTGACATCAACAGTATAAAAATTAGTCTAAAAAAACAGCTATTAGAGGCAATGGAACGTTCAATCCTCGTGACAAGAATAAAAGTGTAAAGAAACATTAATTCTAATTCTAACTTACATTAATTTATAATATGTATATGTCGATGTGCCTCCCGATCCGCTTATTTATTAAATAATATGTCATGCTCTAATATAAAATGCAGTCAAGTATATTATATTATATTTAAAAAAAAAAAGTTCCAAAGAGAAAAGCTCATTGTCGAAATCGAATTTCATTTTCTTTATATAAATTCACGAAGTAATATCGATTTACATAATATTTTTTAAAAAAAACCTAATTAAATCACTTTTGCTTATTTTCCAGCAATTTTTCCTCAAAAATATTCTTTTTTTTTAATTACTGGACAATACAAATTTTCATATAAATAATGAAAATTAAATCAATCTTAAAAACACTATTTTAATATGTTTTATAACATAATTATATTTTAAAAACATATTAAAATTGTGTTTAAATTTAAATATCACAGAATTCTTATTTAATTCGGTTTACAATTTTTTCTAATTAAAATTTCATGCATTTTTTAATTAATTACTGAAAGTGTATAAAATATTTTTGTTCCTACTTTATAAACATGTCGTTTATAGATATTTTTTTTTATTATTTTAATCACTGTAAATATAAAAAATGGTTTTAAAAAAATTTTTTTCTCAATTGGAACATATCAAAAGTCTTTTGTATCACAATATAGAATTAAAAATCGTTTAATAGAAATATTGTCAGTATTATATTTCTTATTATTATTATTTGAATTTACAGATTTATTTTCCCGCAAAAAATTGTTCGAAGATATTTTTAAAAACTTCACATAAACAAGTAAGTCTTTTGTTGCTCTTGAGTATTTGATTATATATAGTATATTTATATATAAAAAAACAAACTATTTCTAAATATCAGTCGGAGTTTTGGTCGTAGATGTTAAAAATCACGACCGAATTTGAAACATCTATAAATGTTAATGTAATTCAAGAATAGGAGGCACATCAATTATAAATTCTTAATCAAGTCTACTGATTTCTATTCTACCGCAACAAGAGGAAGGTGCATTCGAGTTTCACGTATAAACAGCCATTTTAAGATTTTCATTTTGCGTCGCAAAAATCACTTATGAAAACAAATTGTTTTTTTTTCTTGAAAATTTTTCAAAAATTTATACTAACTGAAATATTTTCACTAAACGAAAATATCAAATTTGGCAGGACAATCACGTGAAAATCGCACCTAATCAAATAAACTTAAACAAGAAAATAACAATTAAAAAATGGAAGTCAAAAATTATTATGCGAATGAATATTTCTAATAAAGACTTTTTCCACTGTTAATAGTTAATGATTTCAAATGATAAAATAGAAAATAAAATTTTAGATTTAGAGAAATATTATTAACTCTGAAAAAAATACAATTAACAGTGGAAAAAAAATAAAATTTTACATTACTCTTATTTTGTTTTAAAATTGCAAAAAAAAAAAAGAAAAAAAGATGAAGGATACGCAAGTAACTAAAACTAATCAAAATTCATATGTAAGAAAGTTAATACATATTTTCGAATTATTTTTATGTCAAACAAGTATTAAAATTAAGATTAATAAAAATCGTTACTTGATGTATCCTTTTTTTTTTAAAAAAAAAAGACAAGAATTAAAATTACGATCACAATTTTCATACCAAGCTATGCAAAAAAAAAAGAAAAAAAAATCATGTGTGAAGACAAGATGTGTCATTTAAAGTTGTACTATGGTAAGACACGGATCGACATCGTGGATTTTAAATGGGGAAAATTCTAGCTGCATAATCCAGAAGGATCGACGAGTCCTCGTGCAATTAATTCAGCAGTTGCAGGATCATTGCCTTGTTTTAAACTTGAACGTTGCGTTCCCGTTTGTTGTGCATGTGGCTCAAAATGTGAACGTACGTGAAACATAAATTCAGCCTTATCATTGAAATCAATGCGACACATTGGACAAAAATTTCTATCGGGCGTATATGGTTGCGATGGTGCTGCTGATGCTGCAAAATATGGTGCCGCATGTTGCGGTGGCACCGATGCCTCTAAATGTGATCTGTAAATTTTTTTATTAAATTCAAAATTATATTATTTAATTATTAATTTGATTTATTCAATGAAAAAAAGAAAGATTTTAGAAAGTTAATTTTTTTACTAACCGTGCATGTTGCGTCCATTCTTCTCTAGTAGCGAGTGCTCGACCGCATAATTCACAGGACCAACTCATTGGTTCTTCTTTTAATTTATGAATTGGATCTTGTCGAGATTGTTGCTGCTGTTGTTGTTGTTGTTGCTGTTGTTGCTGCTGCTGTTGTTGTTGCTGCTGTTGTTGTTGTTGCTCAACAGTTGGAGGTGCAGGAGTTGATAGTGGCGTTACACCCGGTCTATGCCTCAATTTATTCATATGAATGACAAGTTTATCTCTTCTAGCAAAGGCTTTGCCTAACAAGAAAAATAACATAATAAAATTTCAATTCAAAAAAGAAATTATTAGGAAAAATAATTTTTTTCTTTCTTTCTTTCTTACAACAAAATATTTAATGAAAAATAAAAATTTGAAATTTCTTACCACAAACTTCGCATGAATATGGCTTTTCGCCGGTGTGTATTCTCATATGTATAACGAGTTTATCTTTACGTGCAAGTCCTTTTCCACAAACTGTGCAGGCAAATGCTTTCGTTGTTGGTTCGCCAGTATTCGTTGCCTTTGAAACAGAACCCGGTCGAATTCCAATAGTGTTTGCATTACGCAGTGGTTGATTTATTGTCGGTGCACGGCCATTTCCAAATTGTTGTTCCGTTGAACCGGGAAAAGCGGGCATTGTTCCTGTTGGTCGCATCGCTGCCGAATATTCAGGAGACCTAATTAAAAAATTTTAAATTACATACAATATTCAAAATTATTATTACAAAAAACAGAAAAGAAAATTATTTAAAAATAACAATTAATTTACAATATATTATTAATTAATGAGAAAAAAGCAAGATTAAAAAAATCTGTAAAAAAAAAGAGACATTGATTGAGAATCGAAGAAAAGAATTCGCCTGTGAGAAAAATTTATAGAAATGAAAGAAGAATAAATTAATGAGTTTGATTTGAAATGAGATGGAAATTCGTCTTAGATAAATGATTAAGGAGAAATTTTTAATGAGTATTGTGTACCAGGTTCCAATGGAACGAAGGACACGAACTCCATCGTCATATCCAAGACCATCATCGGGTAAAGTGAAGGTTGGATTGGGTGGTTGTGGTGTTGCAGCAGCAGGTCCTGGTCCAGCTAACCTTGCCTGTGCGGCTTGTTGCGCCATGTGTTGTTGCACTGCAGCATGAGCAACAGCATGAGCTTCAACATAAGCTGTTCTCTGTTGTTGTTGTTGCTGTTGTGTACCATTCGACATTTTATTATCTTTATTCTCTCCAATCTATCGCAAAAGAAGAAAGGAAAAAAAATTTATTATTAAAATACAACTAATTTAATACATTTTTGAAAATTAAAACCAAAAAAAAAAAGAATATATTCGAAATTAGTAGTAGTAATTATTTAAAATAAATAACATTGATTTCTTTTAAATTGAAATTTATTTTATTATCATTGCATTTTGGAATTTTAATTTTTCAAACCTTCCGATGAAAAGAAAGAAATAAACGAAAGGACAAAAGAACTTGTGCGAGTAAAATTAATTTGAAGAAGTCGTAAAAGTGTAAATAATGCATTAAGCCACCAACGCACTTTATGTCGTACAATGACCTACGGCTTCCTTTCTTTATTTAATCTTTTTTTTTTCTTTCTTTGAAACGCGAAATTTACTGCTCCGACTATAAACGATCAATACTCTACTCTGAAATACAACAAGTTTAACGAAAATGAAATAAAAATCACCGTGATAAATTTTCTTTTAATTCTTTTCCATATAAATTTCTTTTAATTCTTTTTCTTATATCAAGAAATAAGAAAGACGAAATTTTAATTTAAAAATTCCAAAAATGCAATTACAACTAAAAATATTATAATTTAACTGTGAGATTCAATTATATTGGCAATATTTTAAGAGTATCTTTTTTTTCGAATAAAAAAAAAAACTTTAATAATTAATAATAAGAAATTATATGGGGAAAATATTATTTAAAAATTCAAAAACTATTTTAAAAATAGTAAATAATATAAATACTGTTTCGAAAAAATCCATTTTCTTCTTATTCACAATTTTTTTGATTATTGAATAAATGTCGAACAATTTATAACATAATTCACACACAACAGAAAAATATTTTTCTACTATTTCTTTCACATTTTCTCTCTATTAATGTTCAATTTAATTTTGAAAAACAAATTGAATCAATTCTTTCAATTCACTTTGTTAAGTTTTTATTTTTTTACTTGGGAATTTTTTTATTTCCGACACGCGTACACAAATTGAAAATAGTAAATAAATTTCACTCTCGTTTTTCATGGATACTTTTTCAGTGATTTTTATCCATTGCCAAGATCGCGAGGGAAAACGACAGCAACGAAAAGAGAGGAAGACGTGCGGTCACCTCCAACACATATACACACTATCGGGCGAGAGGGGAATTTTAAGAAGGATGTGAGGAGTCTGGCCGAGGACAAAGATGCAAAAAAAAAAAAAAAAAAAAAAAAAGAAGAAAAAAAAACCCCCTCCGAAGAAAAGGTTTAGAAGAGAGAAAGAGAAGAATACACGGTAGCTGTATTTTTTGTCATATAAATAAAATTGCAAAAATTTAGCAAATCTTTACTAAAAAAAAAAAATAGAAGGAAATTTTTGCGACAAAATTCCCGTGTATTTTGTAAAATTATTTAATCTGAAAAGATTAAAGAAATAAATATTTCAAGTTTAAAGTTGAATCGAGTAAAAAAAAAATATTAAAGATATATGTAAAGGGAAAGTATGAAATTCCAGAGTCAATTTTCGGGGCAACAATAAATGTTGTGCGAGAGATTCTGTATCAAATCGTTAACTGCTCAAGTGTCTCGCCCTGATCGTTGCTCCTGACGTTGGTGATTCTGGTGCCGCCACAATCGACTGTAGTGCGTCGGCCCGCTGACCTTGACACTGACATTGAGAACTTCCAGAGACAGAGAGAGAGAGCAAGCGCAGAATTAAAATCGCGAAAGAAGCATATATGCAATAATTTATATATACACATAAGTAAATTGTCATTTTATTTACAGAATTAAAGAGAAAAATGAACTTCAATTTTTTGCCAATTTTACAAACGAGAAATCATACATAGAGAAGAATTTCAATTATGAAAATTGTTTAAATTTTTTCAAGTTTGCAATTAATAAAAATTAGAATTCATATGAAAAATAAAATTTTCTTTTCCTCTTTTAAAAATTAAAAAGAAAATCCAAGAACGGTATTTTTATCAAAATATTTTATAAAAAAATATCAAAAAAAAAACTGTTTTCGGGACTTTTTTTTCTATAAGTAACTGTTTTTCAATAGGATTTAAATCTTGTTTTCCCCCTCGTCATGATCGAGTAATGTCAAAAAGTAAAAACCCTTCTTCTACCTCCTTAGCTCATTCTCCTTCAATTTTCAGTAGGAACGAAACAGGTTTTCAACGATGCTGGGATTTTTTGTTTTTTTTTTATTTTACTCGCCAATGTGAAAGAAGCAGATATACACCTGTACCTATGCATTGGCAAAGAACAGCGAATGTAAAAAGGGGGGTAAAAAAAATTTTTTTTTTTTAAAAGAAACAAGTTAGAGAATAAACAGAGTGTAGAGAGAAATAAAGAGAAGGGGAAAGAGAAAATGCAAGGAATATGGAGAAGACAAAGACTGACAATGAGACGATGTAAAAAAAAAAAAAAGCGAAGAGGTGAACTGCAATAATTCGAGCTAACAGAGAGAGACAGGACTAGACTAGACACTAAAGAAAAGAGAATTGACTTTCGCTTTCTGTTGCAAAAGCGACGCGCAGGGTCGAGTCGAGTCGCGTCGATCAATAGCGTCGCGACGGCTCTCATAACTCGTTCCTATTTCTCTCTCACTCTCTCTCTCTCTCAATCCATTCTCAATTTTTCTCTCTCATTATTTTCTTTCATAAATGAATACTCCATACATCCAATTGTCCCAAGATCAGACAATGCTTCGATTCAATATATATATATATAAAAAAACCTATGTCATAAAAATTCAGTTCCTTAACTTCTGGAATATTGTCTAGAAAAAGAAATTTTATTTCTCACACATTTTATATTAAAATTATTACCAAAATATTTTTATAAATAAACAATTTTCTCAACATTCAAATCTCAATAGTAAATTTTCAATTATTTACAACTATTTTTTTTAAAATGAATTTTGAATTAATTTTTCAAATCTTTTTAAAGCTTTTGAGAAACAAAAAAGAAATATACTTGAGTGTGCTTAAGGTACTTTATAAACGAAATTTGAAAGTTTAATTCGCAATTATTGAGAATTACCTGAAGAAATAAGTGGGGTGAAAATTAAGAGAGAGAGAAAAAGAGAAGGTTAAGAAAAAGCCAAAGGGGAAAAAAAACAATCAAGGTTTCTCTGAGAATTGATCTCAGAGAGATGCCCTTGTATCTGAAGACTTTTAAACTTGTAAGAGATGAAAATTTGTCGATTGAAACTTTTTCGAGTCATTATTTCTTCTTTTGCTTTAAATTATTTCTCTCAAGTGTAAATAATTTTATTTTTTTTTCGCATCTTTATAATTTAAGTACAGTACTCTAAGAGAAACTAGATAAAAATGAAACTCTCACCTGACTGTTTACAACTGCAGCAAGATGTTTTATACTGTCAGCATAACTTTTTAAAACAGTCTCTGTAGTCATACAACTAACACGAAATTCATAAAACATATCCAATTTGTAGACACATCTTTGACAAATATTTTTTGGAAGTGCATCTTCTTTTGTTATCTGAAAAATAATTTTAAAAAACAACATTAATTAATTTTTTTTTGTAATTTAATTTAAACTAAATTTTTTCTGTAAAATAAAAATATTTTACTTACGATTTTAGTCTTTTTAATTATAATTGTATTGTTTATAAATATAATCCTTAAAAAAAAATTGAATCAAACAATTAAAATAAAATAAATATCAGTTACTGATGATTTTATAATATTTAATTATACAGTTAAGGAATTTAAAAATGTTAATTAAAAACATACACAAAAAAGAAGTACAAATATATACTAAAAATATTTAAATACAATATATATATAATTTTTTAATAAAAAAAAGTATAAGAATATTTTTTCTATCAAATATTCATATTATTGAAAAGACAAACAATGAATAATAAACAAGACACTCAAATTAGCTACTTAAAATTATATTATTAAGCAAAAATTAAATCTTTATTGCGATTTTGTAACTTGATATTTTAATGAAAAAAAAAAAAAAAATTGGCCACAAAAAACTCACCACTGCAGGAATACATGAACGTATTTTGAAAAGTAATTGCCGCTGTTCACCTTCCTTGTCAAATATTTGAAGTTGATGATTACTTTTTAATGAGCAAAGTCTGCAGAGCTCGGAAAAATTAAAATCTTCACTCATTGCCATTGTTTCGTTAAATCCCAAACAAACCGCAAATAGGTTAGGAAATGAGAATTCCTCGCAGGATTAATTATATAACTGGCTCAATAATATTATTGACACACTGTTCTTTATTTAATAAAAATTCAAGACACAAAACTTGAAAATCAATTTCTAAAATTGTTTAAAACATAGATAGATTTATTATTAATAAAGTTGAAAAAAATAAAAAAACGTTGAAATTTTAACACATGAGGAGCCGACCGACTCTAATGTTCGCCATCTTTGGTTTTTCTGTGACCATAAAGACACACAAAGCGAGAAAACAATAAAAGTATGATTGTACTTTTTAATTCAACACAAATTTAGTGTAAAATATAATTAATTTATACTTTAATACACTTCACAAAATTGTCATAATTGAGTTATATACTTTTAAATTAATTCTACTTTCAACTATGGTTGAAAATCAATAAATGTTCAATTTTTCCAACATACTGTTTTACCATCAGTTAATATCCCTCCCCCCCCAAAAGAAAAGGTTTTCTTAGCGCGAATTTCAAAATTATGAAAATAATTTAATTTTCAATTAGAAAAAATTATCACCGGAAAAAAAAATATTGTTAAGGTAATTTTTTTAATTTACCTAAATAATTTTAAATTATTTATAATTTATTTATAAATGACAAATGATTATATATATAATATATTTAAATTGATGTATAAAAAAAAATTACATACACAAAATGAATGTTGCATTAATTGTAAAATCCATATTATTAATAATAATAATAATAATAATAATAATATTATTTTATTGTATTCCATAAAGTTTAAGCGTACGATCCATACTAGTTGAAGCAATATATTGAGCGTGTTTTCCAAAACGAACGCCAGTTGCAGTTGCCGTGTGATCGTTAAACACTTTAAGTTCTTGCCATTGTTTACATAAATAGATTCTAAAACAAATAATATTGTATTGAAATTTAAATAATTTAAAAGAATTGGAAAAAGAACAAAAAATTAAATTATAATTTACCTAACATCAGATCCAGCGACAGCGAGATATGTTCCACTTTGATCAAAACAAATATCTTTAACTTCATAAGACTCATCAAGTTGTAATGATTTGAAATTCTTTAATTTTCTCAAATCCCAAAGTTTCACGCAAGAATCTTCAGCAGCTGTTGCCAAATAATAACCATTTTCCGAAAAGCTAATTGCAGATATCGCCCCATTATGACCGGGGAAATTTGCAACGTTCGATTGTTCTTTGAGATCCCAAATTTTCACTTGCGAATCAGCTGTACCAGTTCCAAAAATTAAACCATCAGGATGAAATTGTGCAGTTGTTAATGGCTGATTTGCTTGTCCTGCAACCTTAAAAAAATAATAATAATTTTTGAGAAATCAATTTTTTAACTCAGGACATTATACGTAAAATGCCTCATATATGTAACTAAATAGAAATATTTATTGTATTTTTCCATTATCATTTGAAAATTTCATACTTTTGTCAATAATCGTCCAGTTCGAATATCAGAGAATGCCCAATAATGATCCAACGATGAACTAAGTAAATAATCGCCAGTTGGATGTAGTGATAATCCAGTAACTGGAGCATCGTGATGTCTTAATAAAAGTGTTGATTGACTTGTTGCAACATTCCAAACGCGAATAGTCGAATCTGGCGATGCTGTCATTACCACATCCTCCTCAGGATGATAAATAACTCTTGTTACCCTCTTTGTATGTCCTTTAAGAATAGCTATCACTTGTTCGGTGTCTTTATTAAATACTGTTGCATTTTTATCAACTCCACCAGTTAATATTTTACTTGTATCCGCACTATGTATATCGAGAGCAAGAATACCAGGTGTACTTGCCGAATGAAGACCCTAAAATGAGGATTTAAATTGTAAAAAAAAATTTCTTTTTAATATAAATGAAATTTAAATAAATTATTTTTTTCTTCTAACATACAGGATGATTGGCCAATAGTTGAAAATTGCGAATACTATCAGCTGGAAGAAGATCTTCAGGAACAGATCGACCACGTCTTTTTCGTTCTTGAGTGAGAACGGTGGCTCTGTCTTGTAATTTTTGTATAACTTCCTCTGTAATTCCAGCTTGTTCTGTTGGTTGTGTAGCTGCACCACCAGCTTCTGCTGCCACAGCCTGTAAATGTAATTATAATTAACAAAATTTAATTAAATTATTTCTCTTATCACTTAGATGAAATTCTTACAGGTTGTGGTATAGCTGTTGGTTGTGTAATTCCAGCTTGTGGTTTCAATGTGGCTAAAGCTTCTCGTGCTGCTGTTACTTCTTTTGTTAATCTTGCAATAACACGACATGCGGCATCGTGTTGATAAAGTGCATGCGAAAGTTCTTGACGTGCCGTTTGTAATAGTTGTCTAAGTGTAAATGATTGAAGCATAACTGCGTCCCATTCGTCTTGAAGAATTTTTAAAATAGCCGGAATTGATGTGGCACTTGCCAGTTTAGGTCTTACAATTGGCGTTGCTATTTAAAATAAAAACGATAATAAAAAAAAACATTCTTTTTTTTTTAATTTTATAATATTAATAAAATATCATTTTACATACTTTTCACTTCAATAAGTTGATCGACTGTTAGTTCTTTACGTGAAATTGGATCAATACCATTATCGGCGAGATATTTTTCAATTAGACGTTTTTCAAATATTGCTCCCGATACAGGTGAAATGACAGGATGCTCTGGAACCTCATTTGAAACTGAAAAATTTATTTAATATTCAATTTAAATGTAAATAAAAAGTAATTTATATTAATATTTATTTATTTTTTTTTTTACAATTTTTGAATAAATTTAACCTTGGAGGAAGGGGGGGGGGGGTCGGAAATACATGAAAGTATTCTGCGAACAAAGTCGGGTGGATATAGACGTACGTTTAGACGTTTTTTGATGTCCGTCTAGCCGGACGTTTAGACAGTTTGATAAATTTAAATAGATTTAATATCAAGTGAATTAGAGCTAAAGTAAAATAATTAAATTCATAATAATTATTAAACAAAGTTATATTATAATATGTGAGGAATTGAAAAAGTTTGAGGTTAGGTTTTGTAATAATAAAGCTGTGAAATTATTTGGAGTAACTATTCAATTTGTTGATTTATAAATCATATATGAAAATTTATTAGACAATTTGTTATAATTATAAAATACTCACGTGCACAACACATAGACATTTTGTTTTATTTTCTTTGGCGGCTTTGTCAGGAGAGAAAATTGTTGCTGCCTTTTCGAGGCGTTTTTAATATAGGATTTTAACCTACAATTACCAACTGTGTAATCATTATCTACTTTATCTGCAATTAAAAGTGGTTCACAGTTACAAAAATTGCAATCAACAGGGTTGAGAAGTAACTTGAGACTTTTTAGTATATTATTATTATTATTATTATTATTATTATTATTATAACAAAATTTGTATTGTAACAATTGTCATCTAATTGTTGCAGATTTCATTCATTCTTAAATAAGCACAGAAGCAGCTTATCAGGACTACTTATAAATTAATAATTTATTAATAACCTACAAAATACCATCATGACAGACATGACCGGCAAGGTAAGAAAGAATTTTTCTAATTTTCTGCAATTAAAAATTTGTAGTTTTTAAAAATATATATTATCGCATAGTTTATAAATAGTTATATAATTTTTCTCTTCTTATCGTTTGTCCTACTTAGTGTAATTTACAAAAACAACTTGTTGCGTTAGATAATTTGATGAAAATAGAAACAAAATTATTTTATAAAACGTGGATTTATTTTAATATAATATAATTTAGATAATTATAATTTTGTTTTTGCTTAATTATAAATTTAAAAATGTATAAGGAAATTATGTTATTTTTCAAACAAAAATGATTAATTTTTGATAAGATATATATATATTCTTTTAATTAATTAATTTCGAAATATTATTAAGGCTTTGGATATTTTTTTTCCACTTTTATTTAGAAATATGAAATTTTGTGTAATTAATATTGTTTATTTTAAAATTAAAGGTTATCAAATGTCGAGCTGCAGTTGCTTGGAAAGCAAAGGAACCATTATCAATCGAAGAAATTGAAGTAGCTCCACCAAAAGCACATGAAGTTCGAATGAAAGTTGTACATAATGCTCTTTGTCATACTGATGCTTATACTTTAGATGGTTTCGATTCTGAAGGAACTTTTCCCTGTATTCTTGGTCACGAGGGTGCCGGAATCGTTGAAAGTGTCGGCGAAGGTGTTACCGAGTTTCAGCCGGGTAATTTTTTTTTTATTAACATATATATATGTATCGCTTATAATAAAATAATTATAAATAGCAAATTTGAGAAATTTTAATATTTAAAATATTTTTCTTATTCTATAGGTGATCATGTGGTTCCTCTCTATATTCCTCAATGTGGAGAATGTAAATTTTGCAAGTCGCCAAAAACAAATCTTTGCAGTAAAATTCGTTTGACTCAAGGAAAGGGATTGATGCCTGATGGAACTTCACGTTTTACATGCAAAGGCAAAATACTCGCTCATTTTATGGGATGTTCAACATTTTCTGAATACACTGTCGTTGCTGATATTTCTCTTGCTAAGGTAATGAAAAAGAAAAAAAATTAAACAATTTTTTCGATAAATTTTAATTTTCTTTTTTGTGAAAAAAAAAAAAGATTGATCCAACTGCTCCATTGGATAAAGTTTGCCTTCTTGGCTGTGGAGTTTCAACTGGATATGGAGCAGCTTTAAATACAGCAAAAGTTGAGCGAGGAAGTAGTTGCGCAATTTGGGGATTAGGAGCCGTTGGTTTGGCCGCTGCACTTGGATGTAAAGCTGCCGGAGCAACTCGAATTATTGGCGTAGACATTAATCCCAGCAAATTTGAAAAAGGTTCATATTAATTTCAACTACAATTAAAAAAGAAATAATTTAATAAAATTGAAACATTAATTTTTAAATACATTATTGTTAATTTTGTCCATATTTCAGCGAAAGTTTTTGGTTGCACTGAATTTGTTAATCCGAAAGATCACAACAAACCAATTCAGGAAGTCCTCGTGGAAATGACCGACGGAGGTCTTGATTATACATTCGAATGTGTTGGAAATGTTCAAACAATGGTAATAAATTAGTTTTTTTGAAAATTAATTTTAAATAAAATTAAATCACTTGTATATTTAAATTTAAATATTTTTTTTTTTTTACAGAGAGCTGCTTTGGAATCATGTCACAAGGGATGGGGTACTTCAGTTATTGTTGGTGTAGCTCCTTCCGGTCAGGAAATTAGCACTCGTCCATTTCAATTAGTAACTGGAAGAGTTTGGAAAGGAACTGCCTTCGGTGGTTGGAAATCAAAAGAAAGTGTTCCAAAACTTGTTAAAGATTATCAAGAGAAAAAATTAATTCTAGATGAATTTATTACTCATAATTTACCATTGGATAAAATTAATGAGGGTTTTAAATTACTTCATTCTGGAGATTGGTGAGTTTCTCTTTTTTTAATAATTAATTATTATTTTTAATTTTAGAAAATTTTAAACAATTAATTTTTTTTTCAGCCTAAGAACTGTTATTCATTTTTAAAGAAACATTTTTTATTGCCCAAATATTATTAATTAATCACTGATTCAATAATATTCAACAAAAAAAGGTAATGTAACATTTCTATTTTTGTAACATAACTATTTTCTAAAATTAATGTTTAGAAAATAATTTTTTATTGCTGATAAATAAAGTTTCTGATTAAAGGAAAAAAAACACAATATAAGCAAATTTTGTGATAAAAAGTACAAATTTATTTATTATCACACCGATTTCATGGAGATACAAAATATACATACAATAAAAAAAAAGTCGTAGAAAAAATCTATTACAAAATATATATTGAAAAAAATCAGTCATATTTTCCTCACTTAAAATTAAAATAATATCGAATATTAAGATTCGATTTTTCTTGTACAGATCGCATTGAAAGACACAGTTTACTTTCGGAAAAAAAATTAAGTACATTATAAATTGAGTATTAATGTTGACAAATCGCTCTAAACCCTTTGAGACACAATTCTTGATTGGGAAATTTTTATAATAAACTTTTCTTAAAAAAATAAAATAAAATGTTTTCAAAAATTTGTAAACAATACAAATTGTGATAAATTCACAACAAAAAAAATATAAAAAGTTTGGAATTATTAAAAAAACTGCTTTTTCCAAAAATGAGATAACATTAAGAAATTTTCCTAATTTTCATTCTCAAAGTCAACGCACTATTTTTTTTTTTTTATCGGAAATTAGAGAATTGTAAATTTACATAAAGTATATATATGTAAAATAACTTAATTCTTTTCTAATGAGTAAATTACAATTCTCAAAAATAATAATATTGTCGTATAATTTATAATATAACTTATTCACTTATTATAAAAATATATTAATACATTTAATATTATAATAGCTATAATATTAATTATATATCAATAAATTTAATACTATTCAATAAAATAAATTTAATACGATCAATATATATAATAAATTCAATACTATATTTTATAAACTAAAAAAAGAAAACTTAAAAAAAAAAAAATCTATGCAAGAAAGGGTTAATAGCATTGTTGGATTAACTATATAAAATAAACATCTAAGGTTCATTTAAAACCTTTTGTCGTTTAGAAGGATGAAAGAAAAGATAATAAGTTATCATTATTGCAACACCAAAAACATAAGGAAGAAGACAAAATACTGGAAGAGCACAAAGATAGCACATGCTATTAAAACAAAAACAGATAGTTCGAACTGATGGTGTTAAAATCCAAATAGTACAAACTATCATATTTTCAATAATACATACAGTATAATAAAAAAAATGTCTCATGTACGTACTATTGTCGTCAAAATTTACGTACGCAAAATTGTAAATAAAACCAAATAAAAATGAAAAGCATGTCGAATTAAAACGTTCAATTAAAGATAAATTTGCGTGCGGTGGCTTCTCACGATTTCTGCAAAATTCCGTTGTACCATGAGAATCTCTTATTATCCATGTTGTCATTGCAAACCAATGTACAACAATGAAAATTACACTTCCCACTGTTGAGAGCATCAATGATGTGGCAAATGTTATTATTCGCGAAACTAAAAATAACAAAAAAAATATTTTCTAATTAATACTTTTTTTATTCTTCACACAAAAGCAAAAAAAAAAAAAAACTTACCAGTTATCAATAGATGCCACAAAAATTGTAAAATAGTTCCAGTACTTCCAATATTTAATTTATCATCTTGAGCTAAACGAATACTGCGATTATACGATGCCATTGTCCATCCCATACTAATAAACGAGCTGGCAATACATAAAATTTGGTGGACCACTAAAAAAAAAAGAAATTATAATTAAAAACTCTAAATTATCAATTTATAAATGACCCTTTAATATCTTTGAAAATTTTCATATTTAATAATTCAAAAATATTAATATAAGTCAAAAGTGAAAATAATAATTTTGAAAATTACAAGTAATTGAAAATTCGCCTCGAAAATTTGTCAAAATAATTGAACATTGTAACACTTGTTGTGGGGCCGTTTCCAAGAAACATTCTAAAATTGTTATCAATGCAATATCTTGATTTTCTTTCACCATTTTTAAATAATTTTGCTTCTGTCCAGCAGTGTCTTCTAATTTTTGACATTTTCGTGATGCCAAACTATATTTCAAGGCAGTCCAATAACGTCTCAATGGAGCAACTTGAAATATTATTGACGAAATATTTCCAAATATTTTCGAACAATTCCATGATTGTTTTTCCTCTGAAGTATTTTCTAAAATTTTCTAAAAAAAAAAAATATTAAACTAAAAAAATGCACATTCCCGCGAAATTATTAATAGAAAAATATTCCAAAAATAGTAGGTATTTAAAAAATATTAAAAAAAAAAAAAAAAATTGCTTACAAATCACTGTGTGCCAAGAAATATTTGTTAACACAATGATTATAAAATAAAATAAAAGAAATAAAATTACCTCTCTATCTTGTTGACGCATTCTATAGCTAACGGCATTGTTTATGAGAGATGGAACTAAAATGACAATAACTGTACTTGCAAAATAATTGTATTCTTTGATATAAAAATAATGGCAAGCAACATTTATATCAAATATAATATCAGTAATATGCGTAACTATTGACATAATAAGAATAAACACTTCATAATTAGAGACTGTTGCCTTTTTCGAAGGCATGTCAATCACATCAAATTTTGCCGTTGATGATGGAGATTCTTCAATTTCTGCCTCATCCGTCGCATTTGTTAATTGTTCACAAGTCATTTTTTTTTTTTTATAATTTTTATTTTGTGAAAAAATCTACCAACTAATTTAAAGCAATTATTATTAAAAAAAAAAAAAAAAATGCACTAACTATCTACGAAAAAAAAAAGGAAAAAACAATCAGTAAACAAACAACTGTAAACACAGAGTTTGGAAACTATACTAAAAAGAAAAAAGAAGACGCTTCTTGTTGGCATTTGTGACGCGTTCGTTGATTGGTTATTTTTTTCAAAAACTAACCAACTAACGATGAAATATTCTACATTTCCCATCCCTGGCACGCTTGCTATATCTCTCTTTGTCTTTTTCATTGCTTTTAAACTGTACGAAAGAGAGAGAGGAACAAGAACCCTGTGAACTGATCATTAGAATTGAAAAATTTTAAATAGTTTAAAAAGAAAATTAAATCATCATAATCAATTATATTAGAGGATTTTCTCTCATTATGTTTATTTAACATTTATATTTAAATTAATTTATTGTTATTACAATTTTTAATTCTCGCGCTCGCGCTATTAAGAAACTTGTCCAAAAAATAATATCACTTCCTGTTTGGAGTAGACTCCCATTTTTTTTTACTTCATATAAATATTTAATTATTGTGGCTATTAATATACTTTTATTTAGAAATAATAATAATAATTATACAATTTTTTATTTTTTAATTTTAATTTTTGATTTTCTTTAGTGTCGAAACAATTTTCTTTATAAATGAAAATTGTCTTTAGAGTATTTTTCATTAAGGCATGGCTGATACAGGAATGAGCTTGGATGACATAATTAAAAAATCAAAACCATCAGCAATGAGAGGCAGAGGGTAAGAAAAGTGTTTATTTTTTTCTAATATTTATATTTTAGTTGTCTAATATAATTATTTTTTTATTATTTAAATTAAAATAGTTTTTTTTTTAAATGTTTGAAAACAATTTCCACGTTTGCAAATAGAAATATTGTTTGATTACAACTTTATGTCAATTTTATCAATTTTTTTTTTTTTTATATAGTGAAACTTAATAAAAATAGTTAATTAGTTTATAATATTGTTAATCGGTCAAATTTTGTAATAAATTCTCTGTGAGTTTTGTGATTTTCAAAAATTTATCATAACCTTTAATTTTGGGAGAAATGAATTTTTTTATAGGTTATTTTTCTACTTGGGTTTGTTATTATTTTTTTTTTATAAATTTGTGTTTTTATTTAATTTATAGGTAATTAATTTTTGTTTATAATAAATTGTTTTAAGGTATGTTCTTTAAAAGTATAAAATTTTTATTTTTCAATTAAAACAATTTTTAATATGTATAAATTAGAAATCGTCATGGAACAATACCAACGAGAGGTCGTGGAATTACACAAAATAGAGGCGCTCGTGTTAATGGATCAATTCGTGGACGTGGAAATGGAGGTGTTACGGATGCTAGATTTAAAATAATTCAAAAAAATCGATTAAAAATGACTGATGCACGTGATAAATTAGCACAAATTGCTAAACAAAGTGATGCACGATTGAAAATTGATAAATTACGTGCGACACAATTAAAGAAAATCGATCCATTTTTATCGATTGCAAGAAAAACAGGTCGCAATGGTAGAATTTCACTTTCAACAAATAAATTATCACAATTCAATGATATTTCTCATAATGTGCCAAATACTTATGTACAATCGCCAAGGAGAACTGTTGGATATAGATCACCATTGGAACCACATTATGTTGATAACATATCAATCGATTATGATGATGGTATGAAAAAAACATTTTAATAGTTTATATAATTTAATTTTACTTGTTTTTTTTTTTTTTTTTTTTTTTTTAATTGTACATGTTTTTAATTTGATTTTAGAATTTATAATGGATTCACCGCCATTAAGACGAACTGTTAATAATGAATATGCACCTTCACTTCCACCTCCGCCTCCGGTTTTTAATATTAAACCAGCAACACCATATACGTGGGTTAAACCATCGGGTTCATTAGGAAAAAATTCAATAGTCAGAAAACAAGAATCAGAGAGACCAAGGGACTTTAAAGTTATTGCTCACAATTCAATGGTAATGTTTGTTTTGATATTTTTTCTGAAATATTTAAAAGAAAAATTATCAGGGTGGCCACTATTTTTTAGAATTTTTGCCTCCCGGTTTTTTTCCCGTTAGAAATTAAAGATTTCTCCCGGTTTACAAAATACATTTTTTCTATACATAAATCTATTATATTTATATTAATATGCAATTGTAAAAAATAATGAACACCAAAAGCATTCGATGAAAATTTATAAAATTTAAATTTTATGAAGTACATTGAAATAAAATATAACAAATTTTATTATGTATAGCAGACATTTTAATAAACATTTTTCAATTTAGAAAAAACGTGTAAAAAATGGGAAATATTGATACAAAAAATAATATATACTTCTGAAAATATTTTTCAGTTTTTAAGAAATGTATTTCAAATTTTAGTAAATATTTACGAAATTTAATATAATTTATAGTAATCATAAAAAATTTTTTACTGAGATTTAATATATTTTATATCATTTTTAGTAATACTTAATATTCTTTTTTTTTTTTGACACAGAATTTGATTAGACGTAGTATAGAAGGAATCTGAGGATAGATCCTTCAATATCACGTGGAATTACTCATATATTTGAAATAATTAACACGAAATTTTTAAATGGTTAAAAGTTAAACAATTTTCGAATAATTGCGCGAATCACAAAACTCATAAAATCTCTCGGATTATTTTTTCAGTTCCGGCTTTCTCTCGATTGGCTGGCCACCCTGTTTATTTTTTGTTTTTTAATGACAAATTATAATGCTGATTGCTATTGTTTTTCTTTCTCAGGTGAAACATGATAATTCGTATAAGGAAGATTGGTCATTTGGATCAAAATCAAGAATCATTCTGTCGGATAATGCTGGCGATGGAAAATATTATGATTCTAGAAATCATAGGGAAGTTGGAATAAAAGCACGACTCGACACATCACCTGTTAAATCGAGAAATACTGGAATGCTTCAGCAAAAAATGATAACAACACACACCACAGGATATCGAATTGTAGTATCAAATTTACAACCAAATGTCACTCAAGAAGATATTAAGGTATGAATATAATATTTATTTTACTATATTAAATTGATTTTATTTAAAAGAAAAAATTGTCTTTTGTAGGAACTCTTCGAAGATGTTGGAGAACTTCTTGTGTCTCGATTAGTGCGTCCTGGTACTGCAGAAGTTATTTATAAGACTTTAAAAGATGCAACAAAAGCAGTTGAGACGTATCACAATAGACAACTTGATGGTCATCCTATGAAATGTTTATTGGTTAATGCAAGACCAAGAAACAATCCTACTGGACCGGCAATCAGACCATTAACAGAGTAAACAAAAAAACTTCTTAGTCTTCATTTAAATTTTATTTATTGTGATTTATTATAAATTTATATAAAATATTAATTTCAGATCTAGAAGAGGTACTGGTTATGTTCAACCTAGTTTAGGAGCAGTTCACAGGGCGTTATTTGAAGATTAAAAATCGCAAAAAAAGTGCTTTTTATCTATTTTTTTTCTTTAATTTAAAAAAAAAGTAAATTTATCAATACATTTTTTTAAAATATAATTTACAGCAAAGAACATCAAAAACTTTAGCTGTATATAACATATACATAAATTTGTTTATATCAACATTTTTCATTAATTTATATCAAGACAATATTTTAGTTCAGGGAATTATGAGATTTCTTAATAGCAGAAGAAAAAAAAAAATTATCAATTTAGATCTAGTTTTAAAATACTTTTTTGATTTATCATATAAGAACAAAGAAAATTTGCCATTCGTAATATAATAATTTAATGATTATATTTCCATGTACTAATTTTACAACATTTGAAATTAATCACTATAATTAGTTTTTAATGTATTTCTTTTGCATATAAATATTTATGTAAAATTCAATTTTTTTGTTTGAAAAAAAAAAAAATCTTTTATTAGTTACATTATAAATCTAATGTTGGAAATAAAGTAAAAAATGAAAATAAAATTATTTGGATTTATTTCGTATGATAATTATTTCTTGCATGGACAGCATCAGCAGCAGGAATTCATTATTCGCGAATTAGGTTAACTGCCGGAGATGATGGGTTATGAATTCTGAATAAATATGGAAAAAATAACCTTACAAAAAGAGTGAGTATATACCGAGTGACAGCCAATATTTCCAAGGTCATTTATGATTGTGCCGATTACCAAAATATAGACGAAATTCAAAAAAGAAAGAAAATTCATTAATAATTATCTATTTTTTCAAATTTTGTAACAATACAATAATTATCTTTTATTGTTTATCAATATTTCCCCTTATTCAATAAATTATTGTTAAATTCACTCGTTTACTTTGTTGCATTGTTATAATAATCTAGGCTTAATTTTCAGTACACTATACCAAGTCTTCTAACAAGATGGCGACACTGTGATGAGAATATCAATTAATGTCTGAAGTATTCCCTCATTAATTTGAAAAAAGTATATATATTTATTTAAAGAATATGAAAAAAAAAATACAAATTTTTCGTCGATTTATGATCTTTTAATATATATAATCAATCCAGTCCAGTTCCATCAAGAAATAAAATATTTTTTTAAGCTGCGCAGATATTCCATCTTGAAGATTCCACTGCTTACTGAAGTGACCGTAAAAAAACAGCCTATATTTATAGATGTTCATGACCATAGCGCCCACCAATCAGCGTACCACTGAAAGTGGCCCCACCAATCAGCGCACGGCAGCTGAGGTCGTAGTATAAAAGCTAGTTTCACGACAGCGCACGCTCACTTCCATTCTGGACATCTTAAAGGAAGGATCTGCGTCGGTTCGAAAAATTTTTTTAAAATCGTTTTTAATTCAACAATCACTGATTTCCTCCACTTTTTTGCAGTAGAAGAAGAGAATTATAGGTATGAAATATTTATTTTATTAAAAAAATATATTATTTTATAGGTACTATGTATAATATAATAAACAAAGTGTCTAAACGTCCGTCTATATCCACCCGATTTTGTTCGCAGAATACTTTCGGGCATTTCCGACCCCCCCCCCCTCCTCCTCCAAGGTTTCCTTAAAATATACGTAGACGGACAGAATTATCAAAAATTATTTTGTCCGGACGAATAGACGCAGCGTATAATAAACTTAATTAAAATTAATTGATTAGTATATTTAATCTTATAATTTTATTTTAAAAAATTTCGACAGTTACCAAACTTTGCGTCATTGTTGCTAGGTGGCGCATTGCATCTACATACATATGCCTTTATATTGAAATGAATAATTTATTAAATATTAATCTGAATATAATAAAATATGAATAAATTAGTATTAACTATAAAATAATTTCTGTACTATTAATATTATATATATATATATATGTATATAATATGTTAAATGCCTTTAGAGTTAAGTTGGTAGCACTGTAAGAAACTTTAGTAATTTAGGTAATTTCTGTATATAACAATTGACAGTTGAAAGTGTTGCGTATTTCGTGAACCAAAAAAAAAAAAAGTAATTCTAATAATTAATAACGTGAATAATATAATATTCAATACAGTTTACTTTCAGTTTGCCTGAAGTTTGATAATTGAAAATAATTTTTGTTGGCAAATATAAAAATTTGCAATAATTCATGAAATTTGCTTTCGATTGTGATATAACCTCAAAATTAAAATACACGCGGCAAATTTCACAGTGTTTTGGTGTTTATGAACATCGTTCACAATTTGAAAACAAATTTTCTCAATTTTTGTCATAATTTCTAATTTTTGAAAGTAATTTGTCTAGTGAGCATAGCTTATTTAAAAAATAATTATTAATAATAATGAATAATTATTCATTCGCAATGGAATTAAATTATAATTGTTATTAATATTTATTTCTTTTTACAGTGTTTTTGGAAGAGGAAAAAAATGAGTCTTCAGAGAACGAGAATAAGAACACAAAAACAATCATTTCGCTGTGAGAATCTACAATTATTGGCATTTGGTAAGTACTTTTTATTTCTTATACAATATAATTATAGTGTTGAATTATTTTTAATTTATATTGATTTTCATTTATTGTGCGAAGTAATTATGAATTTAAAAGATCAAATTTACAAGTAAAAATCTTTCGTTTCGAACTTAAACGAAAATAATAATTAATTTTTCCGAATATCAAATTATATGAATTTTACAGAAGATTTTTTTCTTTAAATTGAACAAAATGCATTTTCTCTCGTATATATATATATATTTCTTTTGCCTTTAATAACAAGGTTAAGAGATATTTTTCGCATAAAAATACACATTATCGTAAAGATAAAAAAAAGAAAATGGTGAAAGAAACATTTTTAGCATTAATGTGACTCAGGTGACATTTTAGTTGGCTCGAACTCATTTTATATATAAATATATAAAATTGATAAATTCTAATGTGTCAATTTTTATATTTTGTTCTATTTTTCTGTATTAGTCGCACATTTGGAATATCTTCTCTTATTTTCTCCTGCAATTTTTGCTTTTTTTGGAAATGTTTTTTTTTTTTGAAATTATAATAACAATTTGACGATGGGATAAAAATTGAAAAGGGGCACCTGTCTGTATAGTGTCTCTCCTGGCACCTGTTGTAAGTCCCTCGACGGGGGCCTCAAGTGACAGTAGATGCTGCTTAGCGACGTGCGGCAGCTTGGCGGCTCATCATTTAAACACGTTTTTCTAAATTCATTCAAATTATTCAGTTTATTTCCCATTATTCATCAATGAATTCTCTTTTTTTGAAATATTTTTTTCGCAAATTCATTTAAAAGAAAAAAATAAAAAAAAAATCCTTATCGCTTTTCTCTTTATAATTCTCTCTTTGTAAATGAAATATAAATAATCATTTACCTGATTCTCAGTGTGATTATAAATAGAAGTGAGTTGTGATTTAATTGCTTCTGTCGGTTGTCTATGTTTAAAAAAAAAAAAAATAACAATTTTCATAAATTGCAAGTGGAAAAAATTTGTATTTTCAAATTACAATATAAATTTTTATAAAATGATTTATTATTAATTTATTATTATAGAAAAATTTAAAACTCTATAAACTAGAGTTTTTAAAAAAGAATTTTTATGATTCATCATTCCAACTATCAAATGAATTACGAAATTAGTTTATTTTTAGAATATTCTTTCTGATTGTAGATTTAAATATTTTTCTTTTTTAATGTAAAAATGAAAAAAATTTATTACGATTATAATAAGAATAGTGTAGTCAGTATAATGTTGGATTCCGATGCATCGAAGCGAATAAAATGCTTGTGATAATTTGTAGAATGTCATTTTAAAAAGTAACGAGATTGCAATAAAATCGATTTTGAAAAAATTTGAAAGAATTGAATGCACGTGCGTTTGAGTAAAATGGGTCGAAGTTATACGCGTGAAAATCAGCTGGCAATATATATATATATATATGTATATCAAGGTTGTACGTGATAAGTTGTTGCAGACATTAGAGAGAGAAATAACGATTTAGTTTAAAACTTCCGGTACACAATGTATAAACATATTTCCAACAAGTATTTTACATTTAAACACAAGTATTCCCCAATGATTTTTACTAATAAACATTTGTTAACTTAGTGGTTTTCCTTCCCAAGTTACTAATATTAATTATCCTCCCCCCCTCTCTCTCTCTCTCTCTATGGAATTATTCCATTTACCGAGAAAATAATACAGTTTCTCTCAATATTTTTGAAATTTCACTAAATTTTTAAATTATTCAATTTATTTTTCTCATAATGGAAAATAATTTGAGAAAATTTTAAATTTTGCACCAAGTAAGTAAAAATAGGTATCTTATTTTAGAAGAAAAAAAAAGTTATAAACACGATATTGATATTTTGATTATTATCGAATGAAATCAAAAGGGACTTAAATATTTTCATGACCTTGAGTAAATAATAATAATAATAATTTGAGATTTAGGAACTTTTGTCGAATTTGTCCCGTTAATCTGATGGTTAGTGTTGTTATTTTTATTTAGGGAATCATCAAAACCAGTCCTGGAATCTTGAATACCGTAAACTTATATTTAATACGAAAAAGGAGCACGAATTTTACGAATTTTTTCACTAATATAGATGACATAAAATTTTTCAAAAAAAAGTTTTTCTTTTTAATATTATATTTTTTGTGGATATTTTTCTTATTGGGTATATTGGATTTTTATCAGAATATATTATATATTAGTTAAATAATAATTATTATTGAAAAATAATTATAATTATTTAATAAAATATTACATATTATTATATTTAGTTAGAAAATATTTTTTTAAATAACAAAATTTTATTCACTTTTTTTATGTGGAAAAATGACTAATAAGTAATGTAACGTCAAGGCTGCGTGTATGATGTAACATAGTGTCATTCACGTAGGTATTTTACATATGATAAAAGTAATATATAAAAAAAGAAGGCAGAGAAATGTTTTACAAATTAGGAGAAAAAATTAATTTTTTTTTCTAGAAAAGTACCCGTGTGGAAAAAGCCACGATCTTGCCCTCAAGAGTTCGGGGCCCCCGGCGGGGGCCCATGAGGGCTGATCCATATGGCGAATCCATGAGAGGCACCGTAGGGGCCCCGCATGGATCGCCCTCATGATCGATTAGCAAAATTTTCTAAGTCCAAAAATCAAATATTTTTTTATCACCAAAAAATTAATGTTTATAATGATTCACAACAATGAAAAACGCGTTTTTAATTAAAATATATTTTCACTTTTTTTGAAAATAACACTCACACTTATGGCGAATCCATGAGGGGCACCGTAGGGGCCCCGCATGGATCGCCCTCATGATCGATTAGCAAAATTTTCTAAGTCCAAAAATCAAATATTTTTTTATCACCAAAAAATTAATGTTTATAATGATTCAGAACCACGAAAAACGCGTTTTTAATAAAAATATATTTACACTTTTTTGAAAATAACACTCACACTTATGGCAAAATAGATGAGGGCCACCGTAGGGGCCCGCATGGATCGCCCTCATGATCGATTAGCAAAATTTTCTAAGTCCAAAAATCAAATATTTTTTTATCAACAAAAAATGAATGTTTCCAATGATTCAAAACAACGAATAACGCGTTTTTAATAAAAATATATTTACACTTTTTTGAAAATTCGCCTGAGATGATTCATGATAATAATCATAAAGCATATAATTAATTATATTTTATAAATTGCATTTGATTGGAAAATATAATTTAATATCTTAACTTTAACTAAATGATGTTAAGCACTTTTCTTTGTTAGGTATTTTTGAAGTTTAAATAGCATCAAGAAGTTAGCATTCGTTTTGAAGTAGCGTACGTAGCGTAGTTGGTAAAGCGTTAGACTCATAGTCCGTAGGTCGTAGGTTCGATTCCCCCCATGCGTTAGATTTATTTATTTCTCAGGTTTGCGTTTAATCATTAATTCTATGTATGAATTAATTGAAAAATGAAAATATCCGTTAATAGTATGCATAAATTAAATATTTTTTAATTTTTTAATTAATTAATTTATTATTACTTTTAATTATATCCGACAGTTAATTAATTAGAACGTTAATTAATAAATTCAATTTGAGTAAGAATTTAATTTAAAATTGAATAATTATTAAATAAATATGTTATTTATTCATAACTTAAGCTTATTTATTATTAATTAACTTTTATTATTAATATTATTGATTAAAAAACATTATGGCAAACTTGAGGGCAAGATGAGGGCAAACGTGAGGGCCCATAAGGGCGCCCGTAGGGGCACCCTCATGGATCGCCCATGCGGGCGCCCTCATCGATGAGCATGTCGTTTCCATGAGGGGCCCCTATGGATCATCCATATGCGGCCCTCATGGCATGAGGGCGATCCATAAGGGCCCCCGCTGGGGGCCCACATCACTTTTCCACACGGGTATATTTAAAAATTTTCGTTTTGTTAATAATTTTGTTTTGTTTGATATTAAAATATTTTTATATTTACTATATATTTTATAAAGAAAACAAAAATTTGAATTAGAAAACTTTTTGGAAATTTTAAATATTTTATATATATATTGTCATATTTTATTTTGGCACACATAATATTGTAAAAATTTGATTTGAGATTCATAGATTTTTTTGTTTTTCGTTTTTCGTTTTTTTTTTTTTAAATGCAAAAAAGCGCAAATCCTCAGTTAAAATTTTCTCTCGTGGTGCGGTTCCCTTGTGGAACAGAGGTAAACGCGACCTGCATAACATTATGTTTCAAGCCCTCCTATGTCAGTTTTATTCCAACACCTTTAACCCTGTAGAAACCGTAAAGGGACGTCTATGGAATGCACACGTCCTTGCCACACGCAAGCAAATATTCTCTTGAACAATTCTGCGTGTTTTTTTTAAAAAAGTCTCACAAACACACACACACACACAACTTTCACGATATAGAAACTTGAATATTGCCATAGTAAAATCTTCCTTTATTGTGTTACTTAGCGGTAAATTGCAAATGAAACTTGTCTAAATTTTTTTCTTAAATTTTTATTACAATTAATAATAATAATATAATAATTAATTAATAATTATATAAATAATTTTTTTATATAATAATTAATTTTTATTATAAATAATATAATATTTTATTATTTTATTCACAATTTAATAATTTATTATTAATTAATATAATTATTTTTTAATTAAAAATTTATTTATTTCAAATATTAGTAAATGGTAGTTGGAAGTGAAAATTAAAAATAATTTTTAATTAAAATTAATTTTTTCATATATAAGTATATGTTTATATTGTAAATAGAATTTTATTATTTAGAGTAATTCACAATAGATGAATAAATTATGATTAGTAATTATATGTGTGCAAATTGGTGATACTTGTGAATGTATGAGATGGAAGAATTGCAATAGGAATATTTTAAATTGTGCAATATATCAGTAACGTTCAGGTGAGTGGTATCTTCGCGATGCATGATTATTACGAAATGATATATAGTGGGTTTTTTTTTTTTTTTTAGAAAAGATGCTGCATCCGCTCCTATTTTAATATTGCGTCCTACAATAATGATTTTTTAAAAATTATATTAAAATTTAATCAAGTTCGCAACGTTTTCAAAAACGAAAAATTAAAATAGAAATATTTTTTCATGTCAATATTTATCTCTAATTTTGATTTGCACAAACTTTCAAGAAATTAATATACTTTTATATAAAAACCAGTTACCACCGAATAACTTTAATTTTAACCAAAATTAATGGATAATTGTTGAATTATTTTTTTGTTTTCGTTTATAAAAACGTTGCTAATTATCATGAAATTTACACTCACTAAAATAATAAAATATTTGATTTAAATAATCGGTTATACTTGATTAGGTTAAAGAAAATATTTTTTTTTGGTTCAAGTAAATATTTATTTGTTTCAAGTAAATATTTATTTGTTTCAAGTAAATATTTATTTGATAATAGTCAAAGTTAAATATTAATAATTTAAGTTTTACTTTTGGTAACGCGCTTTTTAGTTAAGAAAAATCTTCTTTTAAAAAAAAAAAAAGCCGCAATGAATCTCGCCATGACAATAAGTCTACCCTCTATAAATAATGACGGAAAATTGCGAAAGACGTTCTTTTATTTTCGATTTTATGAGAAGACATTCTATTGCAATAGAAAAGATGCAGGGTCTTTCTTCTTTACGAAAAGAGGAATGGAAAGTCTTTTCTTTTCTCATATATATGTTGACCATATTATAAAAGCAATGAACGTTGAAAAAAGTACCTTAAATTTTTTTTTTTTTTTTTAATTGAAAAAAATAATCGTACAGGATATATATATATATATATATATATATATATCTATCTCGGTGAAGGAAGTGTTTATAATAACTATAATTTGTGATACTAATGAAAAGTTTACTATGTAGTCGTTTTAACTGACATCGTGTATGAATCCCGTTGGAAGCATACACTTTATTGTGCGGCAATTTCCCTATCACTGTGTATGCATTTATATACATATATGGTCCGTTTTTTTTATATTTTTTCTTATTTTTCATTTATATTTAAATAAATTTTTTTATCAATATATTTTAGAATATTTATAATTTAATAATAGTATTAAAAATAATTTATTTTCACCAGAGAAATAAATTTATTTGATTAAAATAATATTATTATTTGAAAATGAAATATTTATTTGATTAAAATAATTATTATTTGAAAATGAAATATTTATTTATATCAAAAATAATTATTTTATTTCAGTCAATTAAATTATATATTTGTTTTAAATATGAAGAAAATTATATTAATTCGAATACAGTTTATATTTGATTTAAATAAATTTTTTTTTCTAATTTTTTTTAATTGAAATAAAAAATTAACGCAGTAAAATAAAAGATAAAAAAAAAATTTTTATGAATGAAAATTAAAAATAAAGGAATTTAAATTAATTTATTTTCATTTTAAAGAAATTGAAAATAGATATGTAAAAGTAAATAAAAGCAGGGAATATAATTTTGAATTTTCTAGTAAAGCTGAAGCCGAATTTAGGGAATTAGTGCCGTAACAGTAATACTCCTTGTCACTAGGAATAACATTGTGAAGCAGTTTCAGAAATTCATCCAAGGGACAAATTTCCTCGCAACCGGGAATTGTTTGTGATAAATACATTTCAGTAACTCCAGTCCATAAAAATATCTGCAATTTAGAAAAGAAATTTTGAAAAAAAAATATCATTTAAATTAATTTATTATAATAATTTTGTTACTTACCCTAATGAAATAGTCATTATTTTCATTTTCAAGAGTCTCTATTATAAAAGTCGATCCATAATTTGGTAGTACAGGTGTATTTAATCCTAATACTCGAGCAAATGAAACAACATTTAATTCATGAGCTGAAAAGAAAAAGGCTTTACGGTCAGGAGGCTTTAATGTTCCTCTTCGCACTTCCTTTATGTCGTCCGTTATTTTTCGTAAAAGTGTACCTGTAATTTTTTTTCCCATTAAATTATATTCGATATAATTTTTTTTTTTTATAATAATGTTATTAACTAGGAATTTTGTTATAATTATTCAATTTGTTTAAATATTGATTCGTTTAAGAAGGTTAAATATTGATTAAATAAATATAATTTGGTTAAATTAAAATTTAGGTATTAAATGGATATATATACTCTCACCCCCATTTAATCGCTTTAATATCGTTGTATTTGATCTGAGATTAAAATCCAAAGCCGTGATATTCTTCATAGGAATTGGATAGACATTTTTCGTCCATATTGGTAGAGATAAATTTTGTGCTGCCTGTAAATTTTTTTTTACATAATTGCTCATTAATATTCAAATTAGATTATGAAGTTTATTAACTTTTATTACCTTATAGCCATTTTAAAACAATTATTGTAATTATTGATATAATGACGCAATATAGTACTTAATTTTTATCAATATTTTATAATTGAAAAAAAAGAATTTAATTTCAATATTATTTTATATTATTTGTAAATTATGTGCATTTTCTTTTTTTTTTTTTTTAATATTCTATTGTTAAATTTTATAAATTATAAATAATTTAAATTTGTTTATACCTCTTCTTTGAGTAAATTATACAAATAATAGACAGCGCTTGTGGTTTGAACTGTTTTTCCTGTTTTTTCTGTTAAGTACACTGAAAAAAAAATTTATTTGATTCAAATACCGGTGTATTTGGTTATTATCAAATAAATATTTACTTGAATCAAATATTTCTTATTTGAATCAAATATATAGTATTTGAATCAAATATTTCAGTATTTGAAGCAAATACCATTTATTTGATTCAAATAAGAAATATTTGATTCAAGTAAATATTTATTTGATAATAACCAAATACACCGGTATTTGAATCAAATAAATTTTTTTTTCAGTGTAGTCAAAAACTTCCTTATACGTGTTCAGGACATTCTTCGTTTCCGTTTGACTGAGGAATTTTTTATACACTTTTTTATATCTGAAACATACGGGAATTTAAAATAAATACTTTTATAAAAAAAACAGGTACGCGATACGTCAGTAGTTGAGATAATAGGAATTCTTATTCGTTTTTTAATAAAATTATATAAAAAAAATAATATTAAAATGTTTTTATACAAAAATTAAATTATTATTATTATTATTCTATTATTATTATTATTATTCTATTATTATTATTATTATTATTATTATTATTATTATTATTATTATTATTAGGTATTATTATTAGGTATTATTATTAGGTATTATTATTATTATTATTATTATTATTATTATTATTATTATTATTATTATTATTATTATTATTATTATAATCATTTATATTATTTCACAAAGTTTAAAATTTTTTTTAAAAATGAAAATTTCAAATTTTTATTTTTTCGAGAGAAAATATTTATTCTCTCATAAAAAAATTATACTTTACGTGCCCTTAAAATAAAACTAAAAATCCATACATGAAAATAATAAATCAATATTTTTTTTTTATATTAAATGAGACAGTATAAATTAAATAGTTAATATTTTTTTTTAAATGCGCTAAATTTACTTAATTGAAATAAACGTTCTGACTTGAAAAACACGTGTTTGCATGTTGAATAATATATTTTACGTTTTTTTTTTTTGTAATCTTCTTTTATCTATGTGCATAATTGGAAAAACGTTATAACTTTATTATATCCAATTATATTGTAATTTCAATTGATTTAATTTACTTATTTCTATATATATATATATATATATATTTTTTTTTATGTCTATGAATTTCATTGTTTTACTCGTTGGGTTGAGGGGGAAAAAATAAATTACTTAATAAGATAGTAAGAAAATAAAAAAATAATAAAAAAATAAATTTTATATAATAAATAAAAGATAAAAAAAAAAAAAAATGCAAAAAAATCACGAAATTCTAAGAAAAATTGAGAATTTGAAATCAATTTTTTATTCATTTTAACATTATGCACATTTATTCAAAAAATTCCTTTATTAATTCACTGATTATTGGTAATTTTTCATTGTACTCAATTAAAAAAAAAAAAAAAAATAAAAAACAATAATTAATACAAATTATTAAAAAATAAAACTTTGTTTTAAAAATAGAATTTCATTCAAATAAGTATTTTAGTAAAAATTAATAAAAATTATACATACAACAGCAACAATAACAAATTAATAATAATAATAATAATATTAATAATCAATATTAGAATGTTTATAATAAAAAATACATTATTGTTATTATTTTGTATTAACTTGAAAAATTAATTGTTAGTAAAATAGTTATTTGCGTTTTTTTTTACTTACTGTGGACATGAAGTAGGAAACAAAAGATAATCCTTATCAACTGGGAAATATTCTAAATCAACTGGAATCCAGGGTAAATTTTTATTCCATTCTTGTTTTCTTGATGGTGGAAATAATCCAGAAAGAACTAATTGAAGGGACATTTTTGTTCGCGCTACATCTGTTGATTGTGCATAAATTAATGACGGCCAATATTGTGATCCAAAATAATCATTATATTTTTCGCGAAGTAATAATCCAATTTTAAATTCTCTCATCATTCCCAACTAAAATTGCATATAAATCAATTATTATTTTCCAAATTCTATTTATTCTCTTTATTATTATTATTATTATTATTATAAATACTTATTTTTTTTTATGTTGAAAACTTACTGTTGTTAAACCACCACTTTCAATTGGTAGAAATGAATGATTACCATGTGGGTCATTGGGATAATTTTGAAATAATTTATCGGGAATTTTGTCACCATGACGAAAAAGCTACAATTTTGCATAGAGAAAGAAAATTAATTTATTAAATTTTTTATTTACAAATTTTTAATGGAAAAAAATTTATATATATTTAAATCATGGAAAAAAAATATTTTACTAAATTATAATTTAATTATTCAATGAATAAAATGATAATTTAGAGAAAAAATTTTAAATATCATGACTTAAAAAGTAATATATAATTTATATATAGTTTTTTTTTTTAATATAATAATATTATTAATTTAAAAATATAATTTTCAATTATTTTTTAATTATAAATAAATAATTGAAAATTTTTTTCTGAATAATGAATTACCACGTGCAGCATTTTTAATTGAAGTTCACTTTGTGCATTGCCAATAAGAAAAGTAAAGAGGACACAAATTAAAAGAAATTTTCTCATATTTATAAGGAAGAAAAAAAAATTGATAATTTTTCAAAAAATAAAAGAAAAGTTAATAAATTTTTTTTTTTTTTTTTTTTGCAACTGCTTGGACAATATTAAACACAACCTCTATGATATCTCACCGAACTCTACAATACCTTTGACGTTTCTGCTTGACTTGACTCTCTCACTGTAACAATTTAGAGGGGGGATTATAAGGAAAAACTAACAGGTTTATGTGTCGATTCTTTAAACATATTAATTTTTCATTAACACGCACTTATTCTCAAGAATTTTGCTGACTCTTTGAGAGGCAATACCAAAATGTAACTAATTACTGTTAATCTTATTTTATAAATGACGAATGGGATTTTCTCAAATCATTACAAGAAAGTTCAAGGATTGGTTCATTTTTTTTTACTATAACTTTTTTTTTTAGATTATGTGGAAATAGAAAACGTCATAGAGTGAATGTAAAATTTAATCATTGAATTTTTTTTTATAAAGGATAACTTTATTCTTGTATTGAAATTTGAATTCTAATTTTTGGTCCTTGGATTTTTTTTTATTGATCAGTACACACAGAGAAATTGTATATTTGTCTCCGAGCCTACTAACTCATTTATTTGTTGCAAATATATTTTATTTCATTGAAATAAAAAATTTATTTGAGTCAAAGAAAAATTTATTTATGACAAATAAAATTTTTATTTACGCCAAATAAATAAGTTAATAGGCTCTGAGACAAATATATATGTTTATTTAACTCACATATATTTTTTTTGGTTCAAATAAATCATTTCTCTGGGTGTAGTATCTTAATAAATAAAAATTTTTTTGTTAACAAAATTTAGAAAATTTATAGTCAAAATATAAAGATAAGTTGAAAATTTTTTTAAAAGAATCATATTACAGTGGAACCTTGATTATCCGAACTAACCTAGACAGATCCGAGTAAAGTAAAACAATGTCACAGTTAAACTAAATATACTGAAAAAAAAAATTTATTTGATTCAAATACTCGATTACTTGATGTATTATCAAATAAATATTTACTTGAACCAAATAATTTTTATTTGAATTAAATAAATTTTGTATTTGAAACAATAATTTTAGAAAAAAAATAAATTAATTTAACAAATATTTATTACTTTAGAAAAAAAAATAATGAATTTAATAATAAATTATTGCACGGAATTAATAAATTGAAAAAAAAATTTATTTGATTCAAATACTCGATTACTTGAGTATTATTAAATAAATATTTACTTGAACCAAATAATTTTTATTTGAATTAAATAAATTGTATTTGAATCAATAATTTTTGTATTTGAAACAAATACCATATCAAATAATAATTATTTGAAACAAATAATTATTTATTTGATAATAGTCAAGTAATCGAGTATTTTAATTAAATAATTTTTTTTCAATGTATATTTAATTTAATATAATATTTTAAATGGACAGTTCGAATAACAGAAGGTACGGATAACAGGGGTTCGCATAATCGAGGTTCCACTGTATTTAAATTCCAATTTAAATTTTAGAAAAAAAAACAATTTAACAAATATTTATTATTTTAGAATGAAAAATACTGAATTTAATAATAAATTATCACACAGAATTAATATACTGAAAAAAATTTATTTGATTCAAATACTCGATTACTTGATGTATTATTAAATAAATATTTACTTGAACCAAATAATTTTTATTTGAATTAAATAAATATTTACTTGAACCAAATAATTTTTATTTGAATTAAATAAATTTTATTTGACACAATAATTTCTGTATTTGAAACAAATGCCATCTCAAATAATAATTATTTGTTACAAATAAATATTTATTTGATAATATAAGTATAGTCAATGATTTTAATTAAATAATTTTTTTTCAATGTATATTTAATTTAATAAAATATTTTTAAATGGAAATAAATATTTATATTAAATTAAATATAGAGTTAAATAATAATTAAGATATAAATACATTAATATAATAAAAAGACAAAGAAAGTTCGGATAAAATGTTTTACAGTTCGGATAACAGAAGGTACGGATAACAGGGGTTCGCATAATCGAGGTTCCACTGTATTTAAATTCCAATTTAAATTTTAGAAAAAAAAAACAATTTAACAAATATTTATTATTTTAGAATGAAAAATACTGAATTTAATAATAAATTATTGCACAGAATTAATATACTGAAAAAAAAAATTTATTTGATTCAAATACTCGATTATTTGATGTATTATCAAATAAATATTTACTTGAACCAAATAATTTTTATTTGAATTATAATAAATTGTATTTGAAACAATAATTTTTGTATTTGAAACAAATACCATCTCAAATAATAGTTATTTGAAACAAATAATTATTTATTTGATAATAGTCAAGTAATCGAGTATTTGAATCAAATAATTTTTTTTTTTCAGTGTATTTAAAAAAAAAAACTAAGTGTCGACAATTTATTATTAATTTCAGTATATTTTCTCTTTTTTTCGGGTATATATATGTTTATTAAGAGTGTCAGAAACAAGGTTTTATATTTTTCCATTTACCTAATTTCGTGTATAAATAAAAGGCGCTTTTTGGCCTGATTAAAAAAAAAGAAAAAAATGTCATTTGCGTGCAAATGCGAGAAAGTAGAAAGCCTAAACCATTTCAAACTGTCAGTTTCTGAAATTATTTTTGTACTTAAAGGAAATTTGCATTCCACAGGCGGTAAATAATTGTTTTTGACACTTTTATGTTCTATTCATATTGTGTTTCCTTGTTTTTTAATTCTGATTTTAAGATTTTAAATTAGTAAAATGAAATTTTTTTTTTTTATTTAAACTATATATATAAAATTATATTTTTTCATCTGGAGCATTTTTTGTGAATTGCATTGCCATTTTTTCTCTTAAACTTCATCATCGACGATAATGTTTTACATAATTGATAAATTTTTATTTTTTTTAGTTTATCGAAAGATAAAATATTGTTTTATGCGAGTATAATGGATTTTTTTTTTTGTTTTTTCTTAAAATCTCAAACTAGTTCGAGTAATCTCTTAAATCATCTCGTTAGAACACACGAGAATTTTCGTAAATTGAGATTACTCGAGATTTAATTTATGAGCCACGTGCACGGTGGAATGTGTCTTTTGAGAGCTGTGGTTATGCAAAAATCTCTCCCCTATCTTGTATCATAAATTATTTCAAAACAATAATTTATGCTATATTATATGGTACTTTCATATGATACAAACTTTGTGTTGCCAGTTTCGTTCTCTTATTATAAAAAGGAATTTTCAAAGTGACAAAAAAAAGAGTCTTTTCTTATAAAAGAATATATATGTGTCAAATGATGTTTAGTGTAATATTTTTTTCTTTGATTTTACTTCAAGGTATGTTGAAATTAAATATTTATATATATTTTGTTTTTGATAAATTATATAAAATGAATTTATTTTATTTATATAATTTAATAATTACAGTTGACGGTACACAATTGTCGACTAAAATTATTAATGGGATTAATGTTAAAAGTGGAATTTATAGTTTTATGGCAAGTAGAATTTTTTATATTTGTATTATTATTATTATTAATTTTATATTATTGTATTTATTAGGTGTCGATTCAAGATGATAAAGAGCATATATGCGGCGGTGCAATTTTAAATAAATATTATATTTTAACAGCTGCTCATTGTTTTGAAAGGTATATATATATATATATAATATTTATTAATTAATTGGATATCAATTTGAAATATTTTTTCAAAATATTTTTTTAATGAAATAAATTGAATTTTAGTTATAAAATTAATGAAATACAAATAAAGGCAGGAAGTACAAATTTAAATGGTTTAAAATCTCATAAGGTTGATAAAATAATTGTTCACAAAAAATATAGTTCTACAACTGGTGAATATGATATCGCTTTAGTTAGAGTGAGAATATATATATATATATATTATTTAATTACAACTAGAAAATAATTTGTTTAAATGATTTTGTTTTTGTTATCTATTTTTTCTTTTAGTTAAAAAAACCATTCTCATCAAATGATAATTTAATTCAATTTGTTAAATTGCCAAAATTTGATAATGATCCAAAAGTGAATCAAACAGTTTTTGTTGCTGGTTGGGGTAGAACTATTGTAACGTATAGTTTTTAATTTTTTTGTATATTAATGTAAAATATTTAATTTTAAAATTTAATTTAAACTATATAAAATTAAACATTTATTTAGGACAAAGAAATTTCAAATGAATTGATGAAAATTAATCTTATAGTAGCAGATCAAAAAAACTGTATGGAAATTTTTGAGGACGAATTCTTGTATTTTAAAATAACTAATAGAAATTTTTGTATTCGAAGTCCTTCTGGAATACATGGTCCATGCATTGTATGTTTATTTATTATAATTACATATTATTTGCCTAAAACTTATGACAATTTTTTTTTTTCTTTAGAGGGATTCTGGTGGACCTGTGGTATCATTTAAAAAAGAAAAAGGAAAAAAAATTCCAATTATTTTAGGTATTATATCATGGTCTGATACTAATTATTGTGGATATCCTGAATATCCAGATGTTGTTACTAAAGTATCAAAATACTTGAATTGGATTAAAGTTAAATCTAATGTATAAATTAATTTTTTGTTAATGTATATTATTTTATTAAAATATATTCCACTTTTAACTGAATAAAATAATTTTCAATTTCACCTGGTTCATTGCGGATTATATGCATTCAATTAGAGTATATAAATAATAAATTAGAAGTGAAGTTATCATGCGAGAAAAGATGGCAATGGAAGATAAAATGGTTCCTGAAGCCTTTTGCAAGGTTAATTGATCTATGTACACTTTAAATAGAAAAGAAAAATATTTTATCAACTACAATTCAAATCGTATACAATGTTAACATATTAACGATTAATAATTTTATATTGTAAATTTTTAGAATTTCGCTTTTTCATTGTTCTCATAAGTATACTCGTAATTTTGTCCTCTTTCAATTTAAATCTAATCTTAACCTTTTAAATCATTTCTATTGATGAGATAAAAAAAAAAAAAATTCTTGAAACCATTTAAAGTCGAGATAATTTTATGTTGATTTAAAATTTTAGAAATACTCTTTTATGAGTAAATGATAAAAAAAAGAGAAAAAGAAAAAAAAAACAAGATTGCTATACTATCTTTTTTGTCGTAAAAGTGCAAAATTAATTTGATATATGTTTCCCTACACAGTATTTTTCTAGAGATTATAACTAAATGGAGGGTACTATATAAAGGGTTTCATTTGAATGAACGTTAGTCGCTTAGATATATTTAAAACTTAAATTTTTTAGTCGTAATTTTTTATTGAATTTAAAAAAAGAAAAATAATTTTTAAAAATTTCAAATATGGCACTAAAAGTTACTTTTCTTTTTATGTTCGTGGCATTTTTACAAGGTATTACTTAACAATTAAATTATTTCTCAGATATATTATTTGCATTAATATAAAATTGGGTTTCAGCTGAAAATTTCAAATTAAATTTACAAGATAAAATTATTGACGAGGATAATGCAAAATATGGAGAATTTTCTTATCAGGTTATAAAAATTAAAATAGTGCTTTTTTTTGAAATTTTTTATTTAAGAAAATAAATATATTTTTTTAAAAATTAAAATATAGGTATCAATTCGAATTTTTAATCAACATGTTTGTTCGGGAGCAATTATAACAAACAAATATATTCTCACTTCTGCTCATTGTGTTGAAATGTAATTTTTGATTTATATATATTCATTAATCATTCAAATATTATACAGTGAAAAAAAAAATAATTTTATTCAAATAATCTATTACTATTTTGTGATTTTAGATCACGGATACTCTTGTTTGGAAAAAATTTCTAAATTCTTGATTTTCTTTTCATATTATTAATCGATTATTTGAATCAAATAAATTTTATTTCAATGTAATGAAAATTTAATTTTAAAGATGATTATTAATTAATTTATTTTTTTTTCTAGTTTTAAAAATGATCCTCTGAATATAAAAATTGTTGTTGGTAGTTTGAAATTAAGTAGACCAATATTAATTTATTATGCAAGTAAAATTAATATTCACAATAATTTTAATCGTATAACTGGAGAAAATGACATTGCTTTAATTAAAGTAAGAAATAATTTTAAAAAATTATTAATTAAAAAATTTTTTTTTTATAACTATTTCACAATTTTGTGATTTAGATATTAAATAGAAATTACATTATATCTTTAAGGTGAGAAATCGCTTTATCTTTAGCGGTATAGTGAACGTTATTCGCCTGCCAAATTCGAATCACACTTTAAATGTTAATCAAACTGTTATAGTTTCCGGATGGAGTCGAGTATATGTAAATTGCTTCAGTTTCTATCATATATAAATATTGAGAAACTACTCAATTATTTATATAATTTATCACTTTAATAAAAATTCCAATGACTACACTTTTGTACAGTATATATCGAAAATTTATCCAAAAAAATAAATCAATCTTTCGAAAAGAATTTACAGTTTTTAAAAATCTATTATTATACAATAATGAATTTTAAAAAATATTTGTTTTTTAGACGGGACAAGGAGAATTTTTATACTACTTTTTATATTAAATTTATTTATTTATTATTTATATAATAATAAAAATAATAATAATATAATATTAATAAATAAAATATAATTAATAAAATAATATATTAGCTGACAGTAATTTTTCTATACTTAAAAAGTGAATGTTGCCTTAAGAAAAATCTTTAAATTAAATTTTCTATTTAAAATGTGAATGTTACCTTGACAAGACAGCACTGTAAAAATTTTATTTGATTTAAATAATCAGTTTTTATCAATTTAATATTTATTTGTATCAAATAAATTATTATTTGAGCTAATTATATGATATTTGTTTTAAATGCAGAAATTATTAATTAGAGTAGTTTATTTGGTTCAAATAAAAATTTATTGTTGTTCATTTTGAAATAAATAATAATTATTTGAATAAAATAAATTATTTTTCAGTATATTTTTTAAAAATAGAAATAAAAACCTTCTTACCCCGCAGTTAGTAATTTTATCCCTGCCTTATTAATTCGAAATTTGTCAATTGTAGTCGTTGGATTTTTAATATTTCTTTATATATTTTTAATTTTTTTATTGCTATTTTTATTTTTACATCCAATCGTAAATAGCATAACAGGTGCAAGTTTTTTTTTTTTTTATAAAAACCATATAACCCTGTTATGCTATCAACGGAAAAAAAATTAGTCTTTTCTTTATTAATGATAATTAAGAAAAGTTATTCTTTATTAAAAAAAAAAAAATGGATAATTTTTCATTTGCAGTTCAATGGTTACATTTCTGATCATTTACAACGTATTCAACTTGTAATAGGAAATCATAAATCATGCATAAAAATATACAATAAAAAATTATCGGCAAAATTTTTATTTTTAACATATCATAAAAAATCCAAAGTATGCTTAAATAATAATGGACCATTTCGTGTTAGAGAATATCAACATTTTTGCGCATATAATCCAAATGTTATGCAGGGAACTTGTCAGGTATATAAAATTATAATTTTTGTAAATCATACATTGAAAAAAAAATTTATTTGATTCAAATACCTGTGTATTTGGTTATTATCAAATAAATATTTACTTGAATCAAATATTTCAGTATTTAAAGCAAATACCATTTATTTGATTCAAATAAGAAATATTTGATTTAAGTAAATATTTATTTGATAATAACCAAATACACTGGTATTTGAATCAAATAATTTTTTTTTCAGTATTTCGCTTCAAACAAAAGAAAAGAACGCTTCATTTTTTTTTTTTTTTTTTTTTTTTTTAAAGTAATATTCATTTTGTTGAAAAATATTTGACAGAAAATTTAATGTAAAATTACAAATATTATTTGAATATAATTAATTTTTTAGTTTGACTCGGGAAGTGCTTTGACAGATAATGGAATACTTGTTGGTCTTGTTTCATGGGGTGATCCTCATCATTGTGGTGGAGTTGATTTTCCAGTTGTTTGTATTCAAATTTCAAATTATCTTAATTGGATTAATGAAAATGTTATTTAACTTTTTTTCCTGAATATTTTATAACTATTTTCATAAACAAAATAAATAATAAATATTATTATTATTATTATTATTATTATTATTATTATTATTATTATTAAACATATATTGGTAGCAAATAAAAATAGCAATAAAAAAATAATTAAAATAATATGAAAGTTATATATAAAAATGCAATGTTTTTATAGAAATTCTTTGTTTATATTGTGATGTGAATTTTTATACCATTTTAAAAAGTATAAGGTATATAAAAAAAAATTTTAATTTCTTTTACATTGTTAATTAAATATTGAAAAAAAAATTTAATTTCCTTAAACAACAGAATAGATGTAGAAACAATGTTTTTTGAGATGAATTTCATTTAAAACGTATGTGAACTTCTTTTAAAGACCTTGATTTATACAGGTAATAATTGAATGTATCGACATAGTTTTCACTTTTCATTTATGCTTTGTGAATACGTTATATATATTTCACTGCTTTATATTAGTAAGCGTATATTGAAACAAATCCGGTTTGCAAGTACATATTATTATATTATTTGTATTGTAATTAAATGTATGTAACATTTATTAATTTTCAATTACAATTATATATATATATAGTTATATTTGGGTGAATGTTTTGGCAAATATTTTTAATATATTTGAAAAATAATACGTTTTTTTTTTTAATACAGGTTTGTTAGGTTATTCTGATATATTGGTTGCTAGAAATTTTCTCACAGAATGTATAATCAATTAATCGTACCTCACTATATTTCTAGATAATTTATAGAATCAACTGATATTATCAAACACCAACCTTGGTGAATATAAACCGTGTTAAACTATAAGAAAAAGTATTTATAATAAGAAATTATATTATTGAAAATTGAAATCTAAAGGACTAAAAATGTCGATATGTATACCTTCAGTGTGGTTTTTATAAAATGATTTTGAAATTTCCATCCGCTAATTTAAATCCTTTTTTTGAATTCATTTTTATATTGAATTTTCTTTCTAAAGTTATTTTGTGATTGACGATCCGAGAGAAAGAATCAGTGAAGCAGTCTTGCGTAGAGAATGAATAGGGTAGAAAAAAAAAACAATATTGTTACATTTTCCCTGTTTGGCTATTTTTATTCGTTCATAACGATTTCAATTTGAAATCCTTTCTTTTCTTTTAATAACGTTTTCTTTCTCTCTCTCTTGAAGCTTCTTCTACAAACGACACATTAAATTAAATAAAAAGAACAAGTTTTTATCATATTCAAATAACTATAAAAAAAAAATGCGAGTTTTTAAAATTAGATTTGTGTCATTTTTAAAATGATTATTATATAACTGGGAGACAGAAGGCGGCATTGACATTGGCATTGAACTTTATAGTTTGCATGGTATTTGGAATAGGGAAGTAGTATATAAAATGGGTCAGAAGATGAAGTTACCCTGGACCACTGCTCTAGCTCTTTCTCTCTCTCTCTCTCACCTCTTTATACTGGAACGACATATAAAAGACCTTGTACTGCTAACCCACTATAGCTACATATCCAGGAAGCGTCAAACGTCCTTCGCCTCCCGATAATACAACCTATACACCTCCCCCTCTAATCATTCGAAATTTTAGAGAAGCTGACCCACTTATATTCTTTCACTTTGTGCGCGGTTAATATTTATAGTCATAAAAATAATAATGTCCCGCAATCATCAACATAAATTCTTTAAATGTCCTCACTTCCTTTGTATATACAAAATTAATTCATCCCTCACAAAAAAAAAAAAAAAAAAAAAAAAAAAAAAAAAAAAAAAAAAAAAAAAAAAAAAAAAAAAAAAAAAAAAAAAAAAAAAAAACAGTAATGTCATGGGTCAAAAAATTTCTATTAATTTCATCAAATTATTCTTCAATTATTTTTGTTGTTTCTCTATTTTCAAAAATTTATTTCCTTCTCAATAATTTTCCATTTTTCAAAATTATTGAAGAGTTAACTTCACAAACAGAATTTTTTTTATATATATACACTGAGAAAAATATGCTATTGAATCGACAGCATTTCTGTCAAAGGTATTCAATAGCATATTTTTTGCAGAGTAGAAATAAGAGTAAATCTCAAATGGAATTTGAGAAAAGGGAAATAAATGAAACTAATACTTTTCATACATTTCTTATAATTTTATAAAATTTGCTTATAAAAAAATACATTGTCTTATATATATATATATACTAAAATATTTTATCAAAAACTTTATCTTGTATAAAACTTCAACCTTATTAATTCCAATATACAACACTGTGTATTGATTTTGCTGGCAAACTTATTGTCACAGTACCTTTAGATCCATCTTCCAAAAAAACATCTTTCTGCATATTGTATCTGCGTGAAAATTAAAATTGAAATTTTTTTTCTTACTTTACTATATATTTAGAAAATACTTACGGATTCATAAGAATTAATACAGTTGCTTTTTCAGGTGTTACAAAAGCAACATGTTTAATGTCATGAATACCTTTTTTAATGGTATTAATTCTTTTACTACCTGGTAATATAAATCTAGAAATGAATAATTTTTAAATAACCACTATATTTGAGAATGAATTTTTTTTTTACTTAAAGAAAATAAGTATTTTTACTTGGAAAAATGTCCCATGACATAGTACATTGGCTGTTTGTAAAATGAATTTTCTTTTGTATTTACAATTATTGGAGAATCCACAAAATTACGAACCCAATTGGGACCACCTTCCATATTTAAAGCCATATTCCAATCTATCCAACCAGTTACCCAATGGGATAAATTTTCAATAATATTCTTCGCATAATTTTCCGCTCTTGTCCATGAACCGAGTCTTACTTTTTGAACTATAATGTTAATAATTTTTATTATTATTTTCTTTGACAATAAAAAGATTAATATCAAAAAAAAAAAATTAGATATTTCAAAGATATTTCTATCAAAAATAGATATTTATTAAGACGAAAAAGAGAAAACACTTACCATCAACAAGTCCCTCTGAAGCTTCAGTGTAAATAATAAATTTATCTGGATATAAATTATTTGTCTTATCCAATGTATTTGGTGATGTTAACCAATCAAAATACCAATGTGCACCAATGCCTGATACTAAATTTTTTGCTTCATTAGTTTTGAGAATTTTTGGAATATAATCAGTTAATAGGGCCCTTTGACCATCGCCTACTATTATTTTGATATCATCAAAATTTGCTTTTTTCATAATGGGAGCAAAAAATTTTGTTAGCCATTCACGTTGATCATCCGCGTACCATGTCATTGTTGGCATTTTAACTTGCATTAAATGTGCAATTACTGGTTCATTTTGAATTGTTGTTGCCCAAAATTGAATTTCATTTTTTTTATACTCTTGAAAAAATCTGTATTTAAAATTATGATAAGTTCCTTTTATATAATTAATATTGTGATATTATAAATTTTAAAGGAAAACTCATATTCACTTTACGAAATAATTAGCCCATGTTTGCCAATATTCACGACGAAGAAATCCTTTTCCAGTCCAGTCACCTCCAGTTTTCATCCATGGACTTGGACTCCATGGTGAAGCTATTAAATTCACTTCTCTTTCAGTGATTGTATGAATTTTCGTTAAAAACGGTATCTAAGAATTGTAAAAAATGTTACTATCGCATTTGAAAATCCAATATTAAAAAAATTAATATATGTTCATTTTTCTCAACTGATAATTGAAAATATATACCTTATATTTATAATCTTCTTCAGCCAATGCAAAATTGTCCAAGGCAAAATCACTTTCTGTCATTGCATAGCTGTATGGTCTTGGAGAAAAATCAGAAGCACCCATTGGTACTCTAATTAAATTGTATTCAATACTTCCTGGACCAAAGTAGGATCTAAAGAATTTTATTTAATTATTTCACAACACTGAGAAAAAAATATGCAATTAAATATATAATTTTTTTTTGACTGTACTCCAAAAGTTTATCTTGCACATCTTCTGTTAGGGATTTAATATTAATACCAGCTGCATCGGTCATTGAACTACCAAAACCAATAATATTTTGATAAGCCTTGGTATTATCGATAGTAATTTTTATATAGGCACCTTATGGAAAAAAGAAAATTATTTACTTATCTATTTTTGAAATTTTAATCTACTATATGTTATACTTACGTCCTTGTTCTTCTTTTCCAAATTTACCATTTGTAACATGAAACCGAAGTCCATCTCTGCTGGATGAAACAACGGTGTAATCTAATTGATCCTGTGATTTCACTACATTTGGAACTTGATCGCAATAATTTGAATCACAAATACAGTATCCACTGTCACCTTTAACAGCTTGATATTTGTCACATCCGTATACAAAAATATTCCCTATGAAAAATTATTATTTTTTTTTTGCAAATTAAATATTTGTTTTTAATAATCGTTAGGAAAATAAAATTTCTTTTTTTTTTATTTTAGAATTCTAGTAAATGAATAAAATTTTCAAAAATTACCTGATAGAAATGCAACTAAAACTATCAATAGCCCCATTGCTAGAAAATTTATTCGACTTTGCAACTGAAGATTTCATTTACAAATGAAGTCTTTTTATAGGTATCCACTATTCTGATAAGGCACTCCAGTGTTTTTTTTTTTTTGAAAAAAAACATCTTTTTTTCACTTGCACTCAGAAATCTAATTGAGTTTTTATCTTTAGATAAGATAAGTTACAGAAAAGGAATAACTCTGTTTTTCGTAATAATTTTATCAGTGGTAAAAACTAGTGATATGGGTCATTGATGAAAAAGGACTTTATATGAAAAAAAAGAGAAGCTACATTTTTATTCCCATCAACAAAGATTTTAAGCGAATTTCCATTTCAAACACACCTATGTATTGATTACCGATACAGATTCCATATACAAAATTTTTATATTATACAGATACTTCACACAAAAAACAAATACTGAAACCGTTAACATCTTAAAATCAAAATGCTTGGAAACTATCGTAATTTTTATCTTAAAACTAGATTAAGTCAATTTTAGGACATACAATCATACACTCAAGGCTGAAATTCAGTAAAAATACTTATGGTTTTAGTCAAAAGTGAACTGAAACTATTATTTTTTAGTGTGTTTTTACCATTCTGGAAAAATTGCATTCTTATAAAAACTTTTGGAGATTCATTAAATTTTTGTAATTTTCTTTTTATATAAATTAATTATTTTTTGATTCTTGTCGTTTTTTGAGAAAGTTAAATTCATTTGTGACAAGTATAGAAAAGACACTAAGTGCAAATAGTTAATGATTACATTATGTACATATGTGTAACATCTTGGATTAGCTTATCATTGTGCAGATATTTATATTCTTTATTGACTTTAATATTTCAATTACTTCCTAATATAGAAGTATAGTAGTCATGCAAATTTTCAAATATTTTTTACATATTAAATTTTGGGATCAAAAAATATATTTTTTTTAAGATTTATTAAATTTTTTATATGCAGATATTTATGAATAGTGGAAAATAAAAAAAAATTGTATTTTATGTTTCAGAAATATTGAAATTGCAAACTGTATTATCCTTGGATCAGATTCATTTGGAAATTTAACATGAGCTTCAAGGAATGATCATCAGAAAAGTTACAGGTTAGTGGGACAATTTACAAAAAAAAATTTATTTTTAATAAAACTTTTAACGAAACAAAGGTTTATTGAAACTGGTTTTTTAATCAATCATTTTATAAAAAGTATAATATGTACATTGAAAATTTTCTAATTAAAAAAAAAAAAAAAATGATTTAATTAGTCCGCTAATTAATTATTATTTCTACCAGTATACCATACTGTGTATTGATTTTGCTGCAAGAGTTACTTTTGTACTTCCTTTTAATGCATCTTCTATGAGAATATCTCGTTTGTTCTTGTAGCTGAAAAAATAAAATTTAAATAAATCTTTGTTTCTTTTTCTACTTAAAAAAAAAAAAAATTCAATTCATCAAAAATGGTATTTTATAATTTTTAGATATAGAAGCTTTTTTTTAAAAGACTTTTTTTTAAAAAAAGTTTAAAAACCTTTTTTAAAGATTAATAATATACTTACGGATTTAAAAGAATTACCACTGTTGCTTGGTCAGGTGTTAAAAATGCAATTGATTTAATTTTAGCTGAACCTCTTTTAATAGTGCTAATCCTTTTACTGTCCGGTGGTATAAATCTGCCGTTAAAATTTAAAAATAAAAAAATTGAAACATTTTAACAATATTAAATATTTTATTTTTTTATTGCATTATATTAGTAAAAGAAAAAAAAATAGGATTGAAATTATTCAACTAACTTTGAGAAATGACCCATAATGTAGTAAGTTGGTTGCTTGTAAAATACGTTAGCTGATGAATTTACAATTATTGGGGAATCTGCAAATCTGTTTAGCCAGTTGGGACCACCTTGTAGATCTAAAGCCATGTTTGAGTCAATCCAACCAGCCACCCAATGGGAAAGGCTGTCAATTATACTGTTAGCATAATCTTCAGCTCGACTCCATGAACCTAGTTTAACTTTCTGCTCTAAAAATAAAACATTTTTTTTTAGTTAATTAAGTTTTGATGTTTAGTTTTCATCAAAAAAAAGAGAGAGAGGGAAACAACAAATATCATTTTTTTCTCTGAAAGAATTGTTTCAAAATTTCACGATACAATTATCCTCAAAACAATTTTTACAATTAATTAAAAACAAACAAATTAATTTCAATTGGGTTTTTAAATTTGTTCCACAACCCAACAATAAATATTTTTTTCAGATTAAAAATAATTAAGGGAATTTTGATTTTAGAAAATAAAAGTTATTATTTTAGGAAAAATTCTTTTTTTTTGCAAGAAAGCAAAAAAAAAACAATTTTCTATTTTATTGTTATATTGTTTATATTTAATATCAAAGAATAGAGTATTTATTTACCGTCTTGAAGTATTGCTTCAGTGTTGAGAAGAAATTTATCTGGAAAAAGTTTTTGAGTTCTATCAAGAAAATTAAGCGATGTATTTTTATCCTTATAGGAATGAACAGCGATACCGGAGATAGTTTCTTTAGCTTCTTTAGTACTTAGAATTGTTCTAACAAAATTAGGTAGAAGTTGAATTGAACCATCGCCGATAATAATTTTCAAATAATCCAATTGAGATAATTTTAATGATGGCGCTAAAAATTTTGTAATCCATTCACGTTGATCTTTTGGTTCCCAACCCATATTTGGTATTCTCACCGTTGAAAATGCAACTCTTGGCTCATTTTGAGGTGTAATTCCCCAAAAATTTAAATTATTCTTTTCATAAGCTTGAAAGAATCTGTAAATTAAAATTTGTTTTCTATTAGAATTTTTCTTTAATTTTGTTCTTAAAAAATTTCTTTCGGCCCACAACTAAAATAATATTACACTGAGAAAAATGTTTTCTCAGAGTAACCAAAATTTTGTTGATATTTAAGCAACCAAACTATTTGTTTAAGTCAACCAAAAAAATTTGGTTGAGTGTTTTTTGTTGGCCTAACCAAATGTTTGGTTGAGATAACTCTACGACTTTGTTTCAGCCAACCAAAATTTGGTTACAAACACCAAAATTGCCTAATCAAACAATTTTGTTGAAAACACTAAAATTTTTAATCTTAAATATTTTGTTAAGAGGCCAAATATTTACCTTTATAATGTTTATTTTAATTAAAATTTTCATAATGCAAGATTACCTTCTCTAAAATTTCAATCAAATAACATTCTACTAACAGGAGACTTGATAGACTTGAACATATTTGAAATCAATTGCCTTAAACTTAGAGTGAAAGCTCGGTTTTCCAAGCTTAAAGTTAGGTAATACAGTTTTCGATAATTCAGAGTTTCTCCATTCTATAGTGTAATATAGAAATGAAAAATCAATGAAAATTGAAAACTGATTAACATTTTTTTTTTACATTAAATTGGGCTGCATGATTATCCCATAAAAATCATTAGTTAAAATTTTCATTTTAAAGAATTTTATTAGATATAATTATTTTTTAGACCAATTTTTTATTTTTTCAATTAACATTTGAGAGAATTATTTTTTAAACAAATTTTTACTTAACATTATTCTTATATATCGAATTTTTATGGTACAAAATTCTTAAAAATGCTGAATTTTTATTTGTCCGAAATTTGCAAATGACCGAGCAAATAATCGACAGAAAGATTTTGGCGTGATTTTTAAAATCAACCAATCATAATTTTTGATGGGTTGATTTTAAAAATCGCGCCAAAATCTTTCTGTCGATTTGTTTGTTCGGCCATTTGCAATTTCTGACAAATGTTAGTTTGAAAAATGAAAATTCGTGTAAAAAATAATTAATATGTAATGAAATTGTTGAAAATGAAAATTTTCACTAATAATTTTTATGGGATAATCATGCTGCATCCCATTAAATTGATCAATACAATTGTGTCTGATAAACAATTTTATAGTTGTAGTAAAATTTCACTAATTTCATAATAATTTGCTATATAATTGAACTTGTTATAAAATTAATTATAATAATGAATCAATTATAAAATAACAATAGATAATTGGAATTATAATTAATTTTGCAATTCTTAGAAATGTATTACATTTGCATATATAGGTGTAAAGTGTTTCATACTTTACAAAGTAATTAGCCCATGTTTGCCAATATTCACGACGCAGAATACTCTTCCCAGTCCAAGTTGCTTGAGTTTTCATCCAGGGACTTGGCGTCCATGGAGACGCTATTAATTTCAGTTTCCTTAGAGAGAGTAAATTAATCCTTTTTAAATTTGGTATCTGAAATTTTTTTTTTTTTTTACGAATTCAAATTTTAAGAGCAATATTAATTTTCTAGCCTTTTTGATGAAAATAAAATAATTTGTCTCTAATAATAGATATTATTAGTTACAATTAATTAATTACTAAAGATTTTATTGAAAATACCTTGTAAAGATTATCTTCACTAGTTAAGGAAAATTTTTCTAGGGCAAAATCATATTCTGACATTGCATAGCTGTAGGGCCTTGGAGAAAAATCGGTTGTACCAATTGGAACCCTTATCATATTATAGTCGATACTATCATATCCAAAATAGGATCTGATAATAAAAAATATTTTTTTTCAAATTAGTTATTAATTTAAATTAATTAAATTTCATTAAAAGTTGATAATTATTAAAAATAATAGTTAATAATAATAATAATAATAATAATAATAATAATAATAATAATAATAATAATAATAATAATACATAAATAATAATTAGAAAAGGATTAAATTATTTTTGTACGCAAACCTTATATTTTATTTTAAAAAGATTTTCTTTTTACCCCAATAATTTTTCTTGCATGTCATCAGTCAAGGATTTAATATTAAATCCAGCTGAATCGGTCATGGCTCCTCCGAATCCCAGAATATTTTGAAAAGTCTGGCCTTTATTGATTGTTATTCGTACAGGAACATCTAAAACATTCCGTGTCGAAATTTTTTTTTTCATTTTTCTTTCGTAGGGATGCGCCAATTTTTTTTTTCTGCTGACATTATTATTTTTATTTGAATTATAAATTAATTATTCGAATGAATAATTTTTTCATTTAAAATATAAATATACTTTTTTTTTTTTTTTTTTATTGACTCCAATAATAATTATTATTTAATATAGAAATAAATATTCTAAAGAATTTTAATGTTCAGATAAAAAATTTGATGCTCCCAAGAGAATAGAAATTTTTGAAAAATTTTACTGGGTCTTGCATTTGAAATAGAATTGCTGAATGTGCCATTGGTAACGTAAAATCGAAGACCTTCCTTACTGGATGATATTAGGGTATATTTTAAATTGTTGGATGATTTCGAGACACTTGGTACTTTATCACAATAATTTGAATCGCAGATACAATATAAACTGTCACCTCTATTACTTGAAAATCTTTCGCATCCAGATATAAATGGCATCATACCTTTAGATATACAAATTAAAGATATATTTTAACGATAAAGAAAAAATACTTGAAATGTTTTAAAATTATCACTGAAAAAAGGGGTTTGGTATTGAGAACCAAACGTTTGGTTGGTATTTAAGCAATTTTTTTTTGTTGAATCAACAAAATTTTAATTGTCTCAATCAAAATTTGTTTGACACAATCAAAATTAGAAAAAAGGATTTTTGTTGTCCTAACTAAAGTTTGATTGGGACAATCAATACCAACTTAAATACCAACTAAACGTTTGATTGTCAATACCAAACCCTTTTTTCAGTGTATATTATTTTATAGTTAGTTACACTGAAAAAAAATTATTTGATTCAAATAATCCGCTACTTGATTTATTATTTGAAACCAAATAATTTTTATTTGAATTAATTAAACTGTATTTGAATCAATAATTTCTGTATTTGAAACAAATTTAGTGGATTATGATATACGAGAGTAACACTCGCAGATAATTATGTCTAAACAATAAGTCGCAGTGATTATTAAACACTGTCTCGAGTGTCTTATATAATATCGCAAGCTAATATTAATGAGCTTAATCAAAGTATAATAAATTAGATGAGCAGGAGTAAATGGTTTCAAGTGGAACACACTAGATACCTGGTATTTCCACTCGGACAAGTGCAACCGAGTGTGAAACGCCAATACCCTATTCCATCGGTTCTGTGAATTCTAGTCTGAATAAATCGATATGTCTCTATATACCTAATACCTGCTAGTAATGCAACCAGAGTTACCACTGAATCCATCTCGATATAAATATATATATATATAAAACGATTTTTTCTTTTAAACTGATTTTTGTCTCTATAAATAGATTCTTTTATTCCATCACTATTGTCCTTTGATGTTGGCAATCATTTCCAATAGAATTTCAAATCTCGATATATTCTACTTAAAATAATAAATTTTTTTCACTCCTTCAAAATCTTTGTCAAACTGTAACAAAAAATAATTTAGAAATGGAAGAATTAGTAAATAAATATGTTATTTATTCAATTCAAATTTTGATTTATTTGAATCAAAAAATTGTTACATTTTATGTAAATAAATTATGTATTTGAATGAAATAAAATAATAATTACCGCAATTAAAGAGGTTTTAGTTTCAATTAAAACAATTACTTATGAGAAATAATCGAATATTTGATTTAAGAAAATTTTTAGTTGTTTCAAGAAAAATATTTTATTAATGCAAATAAATATTTATTTGAATCAAAAAACATGCAGTATTGAATGAAATAATATTTATAATTGATTTAAATAATTATTATTTATTAGCTTTGAATATTCCATTTATTTGATTTGAATATTTTGTATTTGATTTAAATAACTATTTATTTGATACGATAAAATAAAATACTTAGGTTTAGTAAATGTGTATTTGGTTTAAATACATATTTATTGGATAATATAGACAAGTAAATGATGTATTTGGATCAAATACTTTTTATTTGATCCAAATAAATTTTTTTTTTTAGTGTATATAGAAATAAATTATTTTGATATTATTATCAGATTTAATTATATAAAAAAATAAATTCTTATTTAATAATTATTGAAAAATTATTTTTGTACATTTATAGATAAATATTGATAAAATTACAAATACCGTGTTACATATATATAAAAAAAAAGAAGTAAAATTCGAAATATATAGGTTGTTTAATCATATATTTATTTATTATCTCATCGTGACATTTTGAAATATTGCATTTGTCTGTTTCCGGATGTTCTTTTAATGCTTATCATTGTCCAAACGTTGTCATTTTATGTTAGTTAATAAATTGGGTGTGACACTTTATGATAAATGATTTTCAATACGCGCAATGTTACAATTAAAAGTATACTTTTTTTCATAACGAAATTCCATCTTAATTATGAATATAAATTAAATTTACTAAAGAGATAATATTTTAATATATATAAATTTTGTATAAAAATAAAAATATATATAATAATAATACAATTATTTTTGTTTACTATTTTCTTTAACAATTGGTTTTGCTTTAAATATCAAAAAATGGATTTTGAGAAAAAAGGACTAATTTGCATATGAATTGTATGCACTAGTGACTCCTTTCACTAAAGCTTATATGAAATGATTTTCTGCCATATATATATACATATATATACTTCAGAACAAGTAGAATGTACATTTTATTTTACATTTAGAGATACATTAAAAAGCTTTTTTTTTTTTTTTATAAAAAAAAATTTTATACAAAACAAAATTTTAAAAAGTGTAATTCTGCATGAAGGTTGAAAATTACAAATGCATTCAATACGGCTAAAAGTCATATTGGTTTTTGTCAACAAAAGAGAATTTTATTTTTGAATTTTAAACTCCAAACATATAGTTCCATACACTCAGAGAAATGGTATATTTGTCTCCGAGCCTACTAACTCATTTATTTGTTGCAAATATATTTTATTTCATTGAAATAAAAAATTTATTTGAGCCAAAGAAAAATTTATTTCTGACAAATAAAATTTTTATTTACGCCAAATAAATAAGTTAGTAGGCTCTGAGACAAATATACATTTATTTAATTCAAATATATTTTATTTGGTTCAAATAAATCATTTCTCTGGGTGTACAGTTTATTAAATAATTAATTTCTTTTACTTTGTATAAATAATTATTATATTTAGAATAATTATTAATTATTTATTATTAATAATTCAAATTTATTATTATTCAGTAATTTGGCTTTTAATTATTTAATTATATTTAATTATATATTATAATTTAAAGAAATATGAAGTAAATTGAAATACCTGAATATTACCGATCGCAGACACAACCAAGAAATAAAACATTTACTCTGGAAGCTCTTTATACCATCTTAAGAAAAAACGTCACACTACTTTGTATAAATTAAGTCATTGTCTTTTAGTTTTCCTCCTTTTTATAACAATTAATAATAGTTCATTTTAATGAACACCTGCACTTTATTTTGATGGACAAAAAAAAAATTTAGTTTCTTCTTATTTTAATGCAAAAAAATAAATTTAAATAAATATCTGCAAATTCTCATATTATATTATTTCTTTATAAATAATATATAGATTTAAATTAAAAAAAAAAAAAAAATAAATAAATAAAAATTATAAATATTTTGAAGAAAAAATTTCGATATTTAACAAAATTAAAGATATGTTTAAAAATTAAATTAATTGCATAGAAAATTTTAACTATAATATAATATTTAAAAAAAAAATTTTTTTTCTTAATAAATTATAATTGAAAAAATATAGTAGGTTTATTATTATAAATATAATATCAAAATTGAATTACATTTTTTGTAACCATAAATGGCAAAAAAAAAAAAAAAAAAAAAAAAACAGTTGCTGCACAATTCTTTGTATTGGCATCTGGTGGTGCTATAGATGATTCTGTTTCCGCAAAACTTTTCCTCGGAGAGTCGATAAGAGCACTCATTCTATGCATTTTACGTTAAGATATAAATAGTTATTCGCGCATGATTAAAGTTAAGGCTAAAGATATATATAAATATACCTTTTTTATAAAAAATTTCTATCAAAAATTATTTTAATTTAAAAATTTTATTAGTTGTAGTAATAGCAACAGCAGTAGTATATTATTATTATTATTATTATTATTATTATTATTATTATTATTATTATTATTATTATTATTATTATTACAAGTTCAAGTCTTTTTAAAAAAATATATTCGTTTAGCAAATTATTATCATTTGTTATTTACGAAATCATTGAACGAAAATTGTTTACTTGTTTTTTTTTTTAATGCACCAATCGTCAGGGTCTGGATTTTCCTTAATCGTTTTCCAATTTCTATAGACAAATTATTCTCTTTTTCTCTTATAAACGAAAGTCTATATATAAGAGAAAATTTTCGCTCTATTTATTTAGAAATCAAAATTTTTTCTCCATCTCGAGATTTTATAATTTTTTTTCTTTTTTAGTAATGACAAATTTTTTTAGAACTCGATTTATGAAAAAAATAATTCTAATAAAAATAAAGAAAAATTATGTAGATATAATTTTCAGTAAGATGAAAAAAAAAACTTTGACAATTCAAGGGTAGGATAAATAAATGAAATAATAATTTATCTACAATATTAATGAACAAATAAATTCAATAATCTTCAATATATATATATATATATAATAAATAGCTGCATAATTTCTATCTAACCTGTCAATACAATTGTGGTTATATACATATCTTTTCATATTTATCCACGTGAACACAATCAATGTCGTTAGACAATGAGATCATGGCCATAAATTATATCGCGCACGCGCGATTCAAACAGGATCTTCTATTATTTATTGTGTTTTTTTTTTAAAAATTATTTTCCATTAAAAATCTGTTTAAAAAAACATTAAGTATATATAAAAAATTTTATTATAAATTTATATTATAACATTTTTTCTTGTATTTATTTCCTGGTGTGTAAAATAACATTGGGAAATTTGATATTTTCGGAAATTTTTTTTTTTTTATCCATTGGATGCTGTTGGTCCTAGTGAAAATTACTTAATTTTTTTTAGAGCACTATTTGAGGATAACTCTCCTGCTGTGTCCAAATTTCGAAAATTTAAAATTTCTAAATTTGTTATCCACTTTGGTCCAGTGTATAGCTTGGATGCTGTTTGTTTTATCAAAAAAAAAAAAAAAAAATGCCCGTACATTTTTTGTAGAGCACTAGACTGTCCTGCTATATTCCAGAGAGTTTATCTCGAAAATATTGTTGGTCCATTGCAAATTATTATTTTTGATAATAATAATTTAAAATCTTTATTTTCTACATTATATAGAAAAAAGAATTTTTTATTTACACAATTTTTTCATTTTTTGTGAGAGAAAATTATAATAAAAAATAAAAAAAAAATTTATTTAAAAATAAATAAATCCCACACAGTTAATTCATGAACGAGTTTTTTGTTTTATTTGTTCGCACATAGACTGTATATTCATTGTTGCTTTCATCACTGTCCGCTGAAAAGTTAAACTAATAGTTATACAATTAGATAACACATGTGGTCCAATAAATGACTGTCTCGTAGTAAACCTATACCTCTAGCAGTTAATGGATTAAACTTTTATCAGTATAATGAAATTTTCAGTTTCTATATTTCATGATTAAATATTTTTTTTTTTTTTTTATATAAACTTTTTTTAAATTCTAATAATTTGCCCAAAAAAAGAACAATAATTATTTCCATAAATAATAATTATTTAATATTTTTGAAAATAATTAGAATAATTTATTTTGTAACTAAGGCCTCGTAAAAATTATTATACAATATAGTAAAAACTTTATTTATGAAAAAATAGAAATCTGATTTTAAATGATATTATCTATATCTTCATTTCTCGTATCTATAAAATCTAAATTTTCATACTTTTCACATTATTATATTACATATATATATATATATATATATATATATATATAGAGAGAGAGAGAGAGATCTACAAGCTCACTAAAAGCTCAAGGTTTGATCCGCTTGAATGTCAGAAAATATAATCCACCCTTCGACCCTTCTAATCTAGACACATCGAATTGCGCCTTTGAATATAATCTCAAGTCAGATATCCCCTCTTCTTTGAGTTGAAAATAGAGACGCAAATAACCAATTTACCCTGACGATTGAGATCATTATTTTCTTATGAAATAAAAATCATGTTCTAAATTTAGAAGGATAACATTAATAAAAATATAATTCAATATAATATTTGATTAATATATTATATATAATAAACTTTCTCGCAACGTTTCGAAATCAAAATCATTTTCTCTTTAAGGAGTTTAATTTTAATAATATAAAAATAATAATAATAATAATAATAATAATAATTACAAAAAGGGACAAAAAAAATGAAATATTAAAACATAATAATTTTTTTTTTTTTAATAATTGTTGTATTTTGGTTTATTATAATATACTGAAAAAGAATTTATGTGATTCAAATTTAAGGTTGCTTGACTATTATCAAATAAATATTTACTTAAACCAGATAATTTTTATTTTGAATTAAATATATTTTAACCAATAATAATTTTCGATATTTTAAATAAATATCATTTATAATTGATTTTAAATAATAGAATTATATATCTTCCTATATTACAAAAAGATATCGCCGCCGCCGCTGTTTCAAGAATTCTTGATCTAGGAGGGGGGAGTCCCCCCTCCTAAATATTGAGGTTATGTTCGTTTCAAGGCTCTGAATATAGCCGCAAGTCCCCCCTCCCTCCTCTCATTTTCCCTCCTCCGTCAAAAATGACCTAAATTTTGAGGTTATGTTCGTTTCAAGACTCTGAATATAGCCGCAAGTCCCCTCCCCTCCCCCGACAGAAATGACCTAAATTTTGAGGTTATGTTCGTTTCAAGGCTCTGAATATAGCCGCAAGTCCCCCTCCCTCTTCTCATTCCCCCCCTCCGTCAAAAATGACCTAAATTTTGAGGTTATGTTCGTTTCAAGGCTCTGAATATAGCCGCAAGTCCCCTCCCCTCCCCCGACAGAAATGACCTAAATTTTGAGGTTATGTTCGTTTCAATGGCTCTGAATATAGCCGCAAGTCCCCCCTCTCTCCTTTCTTTTCCCGTCCTCCGCCAAAAATTGACCTAAATTTTGAGGTTATGTTTGTTTTAAGACCCTAATAAAGCAGTAAGTCCTTATCCTTATAGTAGGCACGGAGAGTAATATATCATTTCTAGGAGTGTAAAAATTATTTGGTTTAAGTAAATATATCTATTACACAGTAAAAACAAAGTCTTTAACCGTTTACACCTTAAATTAAGCCCATATATTTTGCATAAGACTGTCCTTTTTTAATTGGTCTGACTCCGTTTACACCTTAAATTCAGCCTCAAAAATAGGCTGAAATCAAGATTTCTTTTTTAGTGTGTATATTTGATAATAGTCGCATGTAACCAATTATTAGAATTAAATAAAAAAAAATTTTTTTCAGTGTATATGTGAGAAAAGTTTTTTTTGTTGTTAACGGGGAAAGAAAAGTGCGGTAAATCTGCAGCTGTAGACATTTGTAAACTATAAAGAATTTTCTTGGCAAAAAGCATAACGCGAGAGGGGCAAAAAAAAAAAAGAAAAAAACAAAAAGGTTACAAGAGAGAAAAACTAAATGAACAAATAGCGTCTTGAGAAAGAGATGACACAGGACGAAAGGACGAGACTATAAGAGACAACGGGATGAAAGAGAGTAAATGTATGTAAGAGAGAAAGAAAAAGGAGAGAGAGAGAGAGAGAGAGAGAATTACATGGTATACCGGCCGCGGAGGCTGCGCGGAAAAATCGATAGAAGCACAAGCGGTGAGAAACGCGAAGTGTGGCAGACCGCGCAGTCAGACTTGGACCGGCACCCCAAATAACACGCGGTCGCGTTACCGTTACACGTTATCATATTAGCGTGGTGATATTTCCGGTTTCATTAAAGAAAGAAAGAAAAAAAAAAAAACCCTTCCTCTAAAAAATTTTTTTCCCCTCCCCAAAAAAGGCAAATTATTCTGAAATTTTCAAAATATTTAAAGGTGCCTCAATAATTTCATTTCTTTTTTTTTTTAAACATATCCTTTATTTATCTCATTTACTCTTATTTCACCGCTATATTCTCTTTTTACATTTCCCCCCCCCCATTTTCAAGTACGTCCAATATTTTTTACAAAATAATAATAACGTCCAATTTTCAATTTAATCTTTTATCATTATTTAAATTTATAATTTTTTTATATATTTAATTTAATTAAACGAAATTGAATTATTAAAATTTTGATAAATTAATAAAAATAATTTTTAAAATATAAATTAAAAAAATTAAAAAAAAAAAAAATTAAACATGATTATTTATACAAAAATTTTTATACAAAACTCTTGTTTATTATTACATAAAATAAATAATAATTGTTACTATTCGCATAAAAGTAAATAATTTATATTTTAGAAAAAATGAATTATTTTTGATTGTAGGAAAACATTAATAAGATCAATTTGATTGGTTTACTTTTTCTTTATTTAGGAAGTCGAAATCTACCCTAAATTCACACACGTTTAGCGTTAGGGAAAATTAGGAAGCAGCTTTTATTTCCGTTAACACTTTTTTTTTCGAGTTAAGGGGATGATTTTTTTTTGACAACTTTATTTTTTTTTTTTTTTGTAAAATAATATGAATGATTTAATTTAGATATTTTCTAATTATAAGTAATATTTATATTATTATTATTATTATTATTGTTCAGTTATAGTTTATAACTGCATTATGTAATTTAAATTTTATTTAAAATTGTCAATATTTAACAACCTTTTTTTTTTTTTTGCCGGTATGGTTTTTATACGCAGACGCATGTTGGAAAGCGTCTCTTTATATTGAGCAAATTTTTTTTATTTACATCAAAATTTTTATTTATAAAACAAAAAAAAAATATATATAAATATATATATATATATAAAATAATTATATAAATAATTGAATTAATAATAATTAAATAAATTAAATACAAAAATTTTGTTTTTATAAAAAAAATTCATATAAATGAAAATATGATAAAATAATTGGAAATTAATAATTTACGCACAAGTTTATATTTTCTATTATATATATGGAAAAATAAAATTTATAAAAACGAAATAAGTGAGAGTGTCTTGAGATAACTAAAAGGTCGCTGCCCTCTGTTTTAACTTGGCGCACTAGTCACGTTTACAGGGTTAAACAGCGCCGGCTGAAAAGGATCTCAATCCGCCATTCCGATTTCCGGCATTATTTTATTATTTAGAAAAATTGAACTAATCAACAAAAATTTACAAAAAATTGTTGCCATTTATTTTATTAGGTAAAACAATTTTAATCTCTTACTGTAAATTAACCAAAAAAAAATTAAGAAATTTTTGTTTTTTTATAAAAATATAAATACCTACCATTTTTTTGTGTAATTTACTTTTTACACTTTTTTTTTCCTGTAAACATTTTTTATTTTTTTTTTGTAATTATTAATAGAAATTTTTGAACATTTATTTTTTCTATTAAAAAAATAAACTTGTAAATATTTTTTAATTTTTTAATTTTAAAAATTAATAATAAAAATAAAAACGTAAGATGTAAAATTTTCATAAATGTAGAATTTTCCACTAATAATGATTGTGATTGTTTAAGCTGTTATCATTATATATATATATATATTTGTAATCAAATCAATCATTAAATTAATGCAATATTAATTGAAAATCTATTAAAATTGTTGCATTTGATTCCCTCGAGGTTTTTCTGTGCAGAATGAATTTCAAATTGCTTTTATGTAGGTATAAATATAATATATATAGGTATATATTTAATAAATTCAAAATTGCAAAATTAATTCAATAATTTGTTTAAATTAAATTAAAAGCGTCTCTAAATATTTAATTAAATTTAAACAATTAAATAAATGTAATTAATAAAATTTATAATAAATAAAGATAAAAATATTTCTTTCATATAATAATGTAAAAATAATTTTGATTAATATTAACTAATTAGTTTTAATTAATTAATTTTAATTAATCTATTTAAAGTTAATTTCTTTAAATATTTTTTAAATGTGCGTTTTTTGAAAAAGTTTTTTTTTTTTTTTTTTTTTTGAAAAATCCTCTGTAAGAGGATTCTATAAGAATTTCTATCAGACCATTTATCTTTCTCAGAAACTCTATGGGTTTTTCTTTTCTTCTATCTTCACTATATTTTTCTTCGATGCTTCTTACACAACGTTAAAAACATTAGAGTTAGAGTTTCCGTAGTGTTTCTAAAAGTAGGAAAAGATTTAGATTAATATATAATCAATAATTTAGATTATTATATTGCTTTTTTATCATAACTGGAAAGAATTTTCATTTCCTTCCTAAAAACAAGTTAATTACAAATTTTTAATGTAATTGGAATAATAATAATAATAATAATAATAATAATAATAATAATAATAATAATAATAATAATAAATTTTGAATAAGTTTTTTTTTTTAAATGAAATAATAAAATTTTCCAATATGATTTTTTTTGTTTACCCAGCGCGTGTTGATGATGAAAATTCCCAGCATCCTAGTTGAATGGATGATAAAAATGTTTTATCAAGAAAATAATTTTATTTGGAACTATAAAGAAGTGTTGTGAGATCTTTCGTTACCTTATATTTAAAATTTGATCATTATTGAGTCTAATGAAGGCATGGACATCAGTATAGCAATTCAAAAAGTGTGGATGAAACCACCTATTTGTAAGGTAAGAAATAATTAATTTTTTTTTTTTAATTATTTCACTTTCTTTATATTCTTATAATTATAAGAATAAGAAATGTTTTATATGTATCCAATTTGAAAAATTAATTTCTATTGGAAAATTTTATTTATATTAAATAAATAATTAATTTTCTAAAATTTCATTTGAAATTGAATTTTTTATGGAATGAAATTTTTAGTATAGATGAAACTAGAGAATAAAAGAGCAATCTTCTATATATACACTATAGATATATAAGCAGCGATGAAACGTCTTGACCTTGTTTTTATTTTTTGTTTTTTTTTTCTTATGTGCATCTCATTTTCTCCCTGAAGCGTTACCCCTGAATACCTTATTTCGCCATTTGTTCCCCCCCCCCAAAAAAAAAAAAAAATTCTCACCCTTTCTTGACTAAACACCTTGTTGATGTAGTTATAACAGTTATATTATTATTATTATTATTATTATTATTATTATTTTATTAATATTCAGTATTACATTTTTAAAATTTTATTTTATAAAATTCAAAGTGTAGAATTTGTTTTCAAGTTATATTTTATGTACTCGAAAAGGAAGCAAAACTTGTCTTTTACTACTTTTTGAAATCCCTCGTTTCTCTTATATATATATATATATAAACAGTAATGTTTGAAACGTGTTTGATTCACTATATATACAAGTTAAAAAGTCCTCAGGGTATAAAAACTTGAATCATTTGCTGTTGTATCTTTATTTCCAATTTCTCTGATATAATAAAAAAAGTATTTCATTTTATATAATTTTCATCAATTCTCCTTAGTACAATTTTTTTTATATCAAAATATAAACGTATGAATATTTATATAAATATGAAAATTGCAAGAATTGTCTGACTAAAAATTGACCTTTATTACTGACAGAATAGTAAAAAAAAAAACAAAATCGAAACGTCTGACTGTAAAATGACTCTTACTACTGATATCTCAATTTTATACCTATATATATATATGAAATAACGAAACGTTAAAAAAATATCGTGAAATGTCTGACTAGAAACTGACTTTTACTACTTATTGACTAAATTAATGAAATGAGAATCGCTTGGTCTGACTAAAACTGACTTTTACTACTTATATGTACCAGAATTGTACTCATGTTAAGCGTTATGTCTGGCTAGAACATAGTTTTACTACTGATACAACAATTATATAAATTTCAAACTCTCTGTATGATATTAAACTGACTTTTACTACTGCGAACAGAATATTATAAGCGTTATGTCTGACTAAAACAGTTTTTGCAGAAAAAGCTTTCCTTCATTTTTTTTTACTTCCCTTTTCTCTACAAAGAGTACATTAGCCATGCACCCTTTGGGATAAAAAAAAAATATATATATATATGCAAGTCTATCCATCACAGTAAAAAAAAAAAAAAAAAGTACGTGTTGGTGAATTTCAAGTGTACGCACTTACTCCTTGTTTCTCGACAAAGATTTTTTTTTTATTTTTAAGGGGAG